CAGCCAAAGACAAGAAAGTCCTTGACACACACAACATAGACCCATTATGCTTACTTAGTCCGGTAAGCTTGTACGATGTAATCAATTCCATATTAAAAAGCAATAACATCCAGTCATAGCTATTAATATGCAGAATCTTTTGCGGCTAAGGCGGGGATTGAAGGCGTCCGTTGGAATAACGCCTCGTGAGGATGAACCAGATGGGATGAAATATGACGTCGGTGTTAAGAGCTAAAGCCTTTCGTAAGAGCGTTCCCACTCGTTCGACACGATACGATACGGACACGACGCTTGGGCTCCTAACAATTACATATTCAATTTGATGCGTTTTTTATGCGTCGTAAGTTCACTCCAGAGAGCATGTTTCACCTCGGCTTACAGGAATTGTAAAAGCCGTAAACAGTACTGGGTACGTGTTAATCAATTGAGGCCTACAACCGAGTATTGAGGGTCTCTTAGCCTCTTCCAGCTCTTTCGATTCTTTATTAACCCGCCTCGTTACCAAGTTTAAGGACGGAGCATATGCCGAGACGAGAAGGGTGACCCCCACAAGATTCATCAATATCGACCCAAAGGAAATGATAATATGTATAAACAACTTAAGTGGGAGAGAAACGAGGCGAAAAAAAAGTAATGATGGTCCCCACGTATCGTGAGTACAGTAAGTTGTAGATGTGATGCCTCAATGCCTTATCGCACTATCATCGCGATGGTTTTTTTCTTTTACTTTCTAGACCTAGGATGTACATTTAAAATTAGTGAATCGATGCTCCACTATCGACCTACGTGTACCTACCTACCTAATTCGACAGACGTGGTACCTCTCCATATCTATCGATCAGATATGGCACTATTTCACCTATCATTCCAGAATGTACTGCGCACCTGGCAGCCCGTGTGTTGTTCCAAGCAGAAACCGCGAACCTCTAAAGTTTCACCATTGATATAAGCTATCTCGTCAATTCTCGCTTCAAGAATTCAATCTTATTATGATACTATGTACATAGGCCGTAAGGCTCCCTCCGTTAATGATATTAAATGAAAATAGCAAGGGCCATCCATAGCTTTCGGGATATTTTCACAAAATCTACCAACCATATCCCTGGTATGCTGGCACGTCACTCCCCCAAGTGCCGTTAGCGCGAGTGGTGTTACAGTACCAGAGTACCGAAGTACCTTAAAGACACCCTAAAAAAGCATTCCATCCAATTCTCTTTCGACGTGCAATCCAAGACAATGGTGCTTCCATTAAAAATTATGGAACTGGGCTTTTTCAATGCCACGGCATCGAGATTCGGGAACAAGGACAGCGGTTCTAATGTTGCATAATGTCTTCCCCGGGTCAATCCAAGTTCTTCAATTAGGACTTCAATGGAACTCTAACAAACCTTGGAAGGCAACAAGGCAATAAGGCAACTAGGCGACAAGGCATCTCGGTACTCAGTCAATTACCGGTTTGAGATGTGTGTGTGTGCCCGCGAGATCTCATGTCTCTTCCCTTCCCGTGCCGGATTGTCTTCCGCGCCCCGGTACCCCCCCGTCCGACCTTCATATGTGCATAACCATGGGGTTTGTGCTAGGGTTGAAAGGTTGCCGGGGAGTTCCCACCTTGACACTATGGCCATAAGTGTAGACCACTAGTTCTTCGTGAGCTACCGAGTCCACGTCTCTAAGATAGCAGGAAGTCGTCAATGCTTCCTTCGAGCGAATCCACGTCGACGACGTGTCAACCTAGGGAAGTTATCCGGACTTCCAGAAACTCACCGACACCGGTCAGGCTTGTCAGGCTTGCCTGGATCCATCTTACTCCATCCATCATCTTATCACCTTATGGGTCTCGTTGGCTGAAAGGGCTGAACCACTAAACCAGTCGGGTCCGCTATCCACATTAGACCACCTTAGAACTTGGCACTATCACTACTATCATTATCAAGGCACGTTTCTTAGGGCCGCTGTTATGCCACGTTTCAGAGGCCTTTTTCTCACTGGCCTCCTTCGAAAGCAATGCGGGTTCGCCCCGACAGACATCGAAATAAGCCGTGGCTTGTTTCTCGTCCGCCTCTCTCATTCGTCTAGCTCCCTTCTACCCCTTCCACGGATTCTTCTAGCGTGGATATTTGTTTCATTGCCTGCATCGGAACAACGTTAGAACAGCTAGATTGGGTGCTCCACGATCTAGCTGCGTGCGTTCCTGAACTGTACCAATGGCGGAAGCTCCCGATGGCATCAGCTAAATGTCTTACTTGGGTTCCCACAACATCCGACTCGGCCGATGAGTCGTCACCTAGTAATGATCCAGGCACCAGGGGCCGCCTCTACATTGTTGTAGCCGTTGCCGTGTGAGAGTACTACATACCATGTAGTTCTGAGAGGCTCTTAGGTAAGGAGAGAGATGAGAGGACACTCAATCGGATGGGTTCCCACTCGTTCCACGCAAACAGTCTCAAATCGTGATTAATTCTCCGCCTGGGTTACGTCTGTGTGTCGTCGTGCCCGTGTGTCGGTGATAGAGGCCGGCTTGGTGCATACTTACAGCACATCCCTAGATGTTATCAAGAACCACGAGATTTCACACCGGTCTGTTGGGAAAGAATGAAGACCCTCTTTCAGATCCGCCAGGTCCACTGCGGATGACTCATCATGCCTGCTAGTGAGTCTAGTGAGTCTTAAAATCGAGTTTCACGCAAATGGGAAATTTCCAGAAGCCCATCCGGCCGCCTTGTCATCATTCCACGGCAATGTTTCCCGTCCTTGGCCTATTTCCTCCTAGAATGTGGGTAGTGTCACTGACGCAATCCCAAACAAATCTGTCGCTACTATGCGTGCTTCGACTTGCTCTAGTTTGTCACGGCGAAACGGAAATTACAGTTCTACAGCAGGTGACTCATCTGCCTAAGCTGCTAAGGAATGTTTCCTGCCTCGTTTCGACATATGGGTGTCGAGTTGACGTCGTTGCAGGGTCATTCGTTGCCCGTTTTTACACTTGTGGAGATTCTTAGTGACCTTGATTTTACCCTGGAATTCGGAAACCGGATATTGATCCAGTGAGGGCTTCATTTGGGCTTGAATTCACTTCGGATTAATTCATGTGGTAGGTTCTATCCACCATCTGTTTCTGTCACGATCCACGATTACTTCGGTGGCTTTGCGCCATGCATAAATTTGCGACCAAGCGGGCTTGAATGCTGTCAATTATCAATTACAACAAGACCAGGTACTCGACGCACTTACGAATCCTCTATCGGTGTGCCGGTATTTTAGGATTTAATGGAGTTGTTACATTCCAAATTTTGTCGCTTTCAAAACACCGAGTACCGATCCTATAGACTTTTACGCTCTTACTTTATCGCGTCACTACAAGTTCTAGTCATCTTTAGATATACACCTATATCCAGGGGTCGTAAGCAACATTCATACGATACGTACTTATTAGGGTTCCTGTCTAGAGCCGCACCCTCTTACCCCAGGCTTAGCCTGCGCTGAACAGGGGATAAGACGAGTTGGCTGCAAGCCACTACACCTTCCCGCTCGGTATACATAACTGTTATGGCCAGACCAACAGCTGCTCGTGCCATTAGTTGATATCGAACTCTCGCTTATACTGCGTCGAGCCGAACGTTTTGCTGCAGGATCGCCCGAATTTGTCTATCAGCCACTGCCGTACAACCGTCGTCTCTCCAAAAAGCTAGGTTATCTAAGGCAGTCAACCCGTCAACTATCGCCAATGGCCGAAGACCGGCGCTTTGGGCAGTTGTACCGTACGTTGGCGGGAAGAGGTTGTCGATCTGCCAAGTACGATAATACCCCTGATCGCGCCAGAAAATCCTGCACGCAATTGAGATTTACTCGCAGATAGCGTGCTTATTTTCTAAAAAAGGGGTGCGACCGCACGAGCCGAGCCTCAACACGAGATCGTAGTAGAAAAGATTTACGACCGAGGTTTAGCGCCTAAGCTGGTTTGTTACTACATGGCTTCATAACGGCTCTGACCGGGTACGTTTGAGGTTGATGGTTGTATTGATCTGGTCGCGGATCTCGCCCGAAGGTTCATTGCATAGACTCATCTTTGGTCGCCATTCCGGGCTTGCAGCGCAGCATAGAAGGATTGCAGATTGGGGGTACGGTCGAGAACGAAGGGATTGCATTCCGTCCCCCGTGAAGCAACGTCTATCTAATGAAGTCGCATTGGCGATGTGCGATGCGATGCGTCGCGTAAAGGGATTAAGGGAACATCTACACGACCCCTAATGTTGGAAGAAAAAAAATCTAGATTTTTTTTCTTCTCGGTGAGTCCCTGTCGATTGTTGTTGTGAAACATCGGCGTTAGAATAACGGCCCCCAAGTCATCTTGATCTACAACCGGGTATATTCATTGCTTTCAGCGAGAGAGGAAGGAGGTTATTTTGTTAGGTAGGATTGATGGTCACGTCTTGGACGATTTGTGACTTAATCTTTCGATCATCATCGGGCGATCCGATAGTTGCAGTCTTGCATCACCAGAATACCCTTGTTTTTAAACCTGCCTCCTAGGGTTTTTAGCTACGCAAAATGCGGGCCGTCCCCTGACATCCATCTGCGGGATCATCCCGTCATCTCCCCGTTCCAACGCTATGCCGTTTATGGCTCGAACACCTTTCGGCAACGCAAAGAAAAGAAAGAAAAAATATTCAAGGAGAACACATTGTTTTCTTCTTCGGCCTATTCCGTCGCCAACTTGCATCATCACCTGCCATCCATCGCCCATTTCAACCTTCCAAATACTACCTCCGCTCTGCAACTAATGTCAATAGTTTCGCGAGGGTTACTTTCGTTAACCGCGAACCCTTCCCCTAAACTCGGGGTAGATTATGCACATGAACACATAGTTTGAGATAGCGCCTGGTAAACGCCAGGATTCTCGGTATGGTTGTCGGTTGTCTTATTCGAATCAAGGAAAAACAATATGTCTTAGCCGAGCTCTGGTTCAATCTTTTCAATCTGCAATCTATTTCAAATTCTACCCCTTCCCTTGCCCGTTGATTAGCGAATGCCTACCGCGCCTATCAGAACGCGCAGCGCGCAGATCAGGAGGGTGAGCAAGTTGAGATAATGCCGACGACAGCGCTTCAGTTATATACAAATCATGCCATAATATTTTATTTCCCCCTGTTAAGCTTTATTCTGCCTTGTATTTTCCCCCCCGATCTGAGATCTCCCTCCCGTGCTTACCCCCTCATCTGTCATCTGCCATTCTCCATGTCTTTCCTTACCCAGGCATCTACGGCGCGACCCGCTGCAACATATCGAAACCCCTGGCGACCGCGTCCTCGCCGCCAGCGACCTCGATCTCGTACTCGAGATCGGGCTGGGCCTCGCGGTATAGGACGTTGGGCTCACTGGCCATCTTGAAGTTGAAGGCGGCCTCCTCGTCGCTAATGATGTTTTTCGGGATGCCGTTGGCGGCGGCGGCCTCGACCTGCAACTGCATCGCGCAGGCACGGTCTAGCAACCCGAACATGAAGCCCGCCTCGTCCACCGTATGGCCGACGGTTAGGAGCCCGTGGTTCATGAGGATGACGCCTTTGTTACGGGTTCCGAGGGCTTCGGCGATGTGCTCGCCTTCCTCCGAGGCGAACACGATGCCACCGTACCGCGCGTACACTGCGTGCGCGTTGTGGAAGTTGCATACGTCTATGATGGGCTTGTTAGCGTATACCGAACATATCCACATTCTGCATAGGTAATCAACTACAAAATGGCACGCATGCAGGGTCGTCCTAATTTGGACGCCGCGACGTCGTCTATCTCCTGCTTTCTAGGATAGATGGCAGATAGGTGGGGAGACCGGGGGGCGACTCCTCCGGAGCTGCTCCGAAGGGACACCATCAGATCCATGCTGTTTACGGTAGTATGCAAGTTCTTCCGCCCCGGCGCAGGTACGGTACAGGAACAGAGGTTCGAAACAGGGACAGCGAAGGACGAAATTTGAATTTTTGCACTTGCGACGGATAGGATTGGATTGGATTGGGTTGTGGGGCTTCGGCGTTGGCCTGCGTACCTTGGTTCAGCATCTCCAGGGGTCGGGCAAATACGCTCCAGGCTCGACCTGCGTTGGAGTGGGCGTGGCATCTTTTGGACGCAAGAAAATTCGGTTAGCGATATCTCAATCTCTGTTTTTCTCATTTCCCATTTTCTTCCCTGTATTGGTCCTTTTTTTTTTTTTTTCTGTTTTTACAGTTGCAGTGATGTGCGAATCCCTCATGCGAGGTTCGGTCGGCCTGCTTTCGGTTTACCGAAGGGGTGATTCCTTCGTTATGCGGTCTGTCCAGGGCACAACATGCGAGGCAGCCTGAATAGGGCTAGAGGGCTACGTGTCCTGATAAGGGGAGCAGAGCAGGGCGACTTACATGGCATGGATGTCGTTCGGTCGCCGCTTGTGCACGGCGGAGTGGATCAGGTAGCCCGCGGCGTTGGCGGGCCGCGACGTGTTACCCCCGACGATCTTGCCGGTGGCGATGTCGAGACAGATCATGTCGCCGGCCGTCAGCATGCCGAAGTGGCGGCCCAGCGGGTTCATCCACATCAGACCATTGAATTCGGGGTCCCGCACCGAGATGTGTCTATAGAACAAGGTCAGCGTTCCGAGCTCGCCCGACTGTGGACTGCAATAAAACTTGGCAGGGCAAGGCAGGGGTTTGGAACCTGTCGCAGCGGAACAAAATCGTGGTTTTGTACCGACTGGTAAGTACTACGAAGTGTATTTTTCTTACTTACCCCGACTGTCCCTCGGTAAAGCCACTTCGTGCGAAAAAGCGGAATGTGGCGGCCATGTGTACAAGGATATGTTTCCGGTGAGATGTGTAGTCCGGGAAGGTGGGTATCCCCGGCATCAGTATCCCGTGCGAAATAGCCTCCAACGGCGTCTTCTCCTTGTCCTCCACGACGGTCGGCTGAACAGCTTCCGCCGTTTTGGCTTGGCTTTTGAGCGTGGAGATGCTCATAACGGTCTCCGTGGTGATTGCTGAGGGGGCCATGGTTTCTTAGTATAGTAAACAACAAGCTATGGTACCTAGTAATTCGGTATTTCCTGAACGCTTGATTATACTACTAGGACAGACGACTGAAAAAATGCGTTATCCAACAAAACCTGTTGTGTTATACAGCAAGAGATAGCACTTTGTCTTTGGAGGGCGCGACAGCTAAGTGATAAGTTCCCGCTCCGAGGTGGAGTCGAGGCAACATGACGGAGCTCCCCCGCAGCGAAAGTGTCAAATAGAATTCATACAATTACTTATTGCCTACGGTATACGTCTGACACGTTTTATTTGAACATACGTTGGGTGGCAATTTTATTCTTTATTTTGGTTAGATTTTTTATAGGAGGGGTTCTAGGTAGAGTTGAAGATAAGAGGCCTAGTGTTTAATGGTCTACGGAGAATGAATTGAAAAATTCGTCCTGTATTAGGCGTGGAGAAGCTGTCATACTCTAGATACAGTCCCCTCCGTGCCCCGCCTTTACCCATCCGGAATCGGCCGGGACGTTGACGGCGGATGTAGATAAGGAATGAGGTCGGATGGATCCTTCCGCCGGTGCGGTGCCGATGGCTTTTATAATTTGGAAAGAGGTTGATGATTGTTGCATGGGTAGATTAGAAGTATAAGACGTTTGTTTACCGGAGAGGTTTAAAGCCTACAGGTCGCTGCTATGTCAAGGCTATATATACAAGAGACTTTTCCTCAAATACATTGAAATTGATGAGGGAAGAATTGCACATTCTTGGTAAATGAGTTAATTTGAAAGAAACTTACGGTGTCTGATGGGCTATGTGACTCTTGGTGTATTTCTACATGGTGGTGAGAGATAAACCATAGAACTATCCCAAGCACATTTCAAAACTCAACAACCTTCTATCTTCCTGCGGAAAAACTCGCTCACGTAAGAATGGTAGTTAGGCGGAACAGATAACCTACACAAGTCATTAAGTATTCTTCACCATTCAAAGGCGAACTAGGATTTACTCATCTGAAGAATCATAGATACTAGGAGACTACCTATCAATATCCTTACCTAGCATCACCTACGAACTCCACGAAACTACGAACAAATCGAACAACGTCAAACATCCTAAAGAAACCACAAAGCTTCACTCACCAACAAGTCCTCACACAAGCCAAAAGCGAAAAAAAAACCATTATTCCGAATAGTCAAACAATTCCCAAGCCAACCCTATCATTTCGCCATTGACTACCTAACCTAGCTAGAAACGAGAAAAGGAGATCACGTTCGGGATATGAACAGGACAGTGTCTACCCCTAATTTTTTTGTCTCATTCAGGTGCACTGCTAAAAGAACCATCCATTCCCTAACGATTGCCGTCTCTGCCAATGCCAACCGCCGTCTTCATAAAAACCGCATATATGCATTCATTCGTCCTTCCATGCCATCGCCCCTTTTTTAGTTTGTCTCCATCAAGCCGATGGCATAATCTCTTTACCCGATTATTAGGTCTTCGGCAGGTCTAGCTAGACTTTGGGTCAAGAGAAAACACAACTAGCTACCTACGTAATTATCTGAGGCCGCGTACTAGCTGACCGTTTGAGAAATAGGTGTAGTAGTTGGCCATTGGCAGTTCTATTTTGGTATCACGTACAAGAGTATAATAGAAAAGCCACTCAAAGACATGACAGAAATTATAAAGTCAAAGCCTCATTCATCTCATCCGAGTGCCTCCGGGAATGTTTCAGAGGCCATAGACGTCCCATCCATCGAAATGGTCAGCCCCCGTCCGTTCGGGCGGCTCCAACGTGCTCGAAGAGTGCCGAGGAGCGAATTCATTTCTAAATTCTTGCCGTAGTCACAATTCATCATCTTCGATCTCGGAAGGTTTTAGCAAGCCTCCAACCTTTGCTCGTCGTTCATGCTCAGCAGTGAGCTTGTCCGCTGCTTCTTGCTCCTTCTCGACAATAAAGAGATCGGCATTGTCGCCAGCGAATTCCTTGAGGGAGATCAAGAAGTCTCGTACTTGGAGTCGGAACTTCTCGTACGATGTGTTCAGCGTGAAGAGGCATTCGATAAATGCGCCGATTTGGGCACTGGAAGACTGGTTAGTTTTTCTGATAATTAACCCCCAATTAGAAGAGTACTCACATCTGAAGGTTGGGGAACGCGTTGCGTAGGAGACCTCCGACAAACTCAGCAAGGAAATCCTTGTTACTTGTGCCAGCTGGTGCTTGGTCCGTGTAGACCGGTCCTTGAATCTTTGGCGTGGTGCCGTCTGCGGGGAGCACAAAGTAGAACATGCGCATTAACAACAAGGATTGAGTCTTGAAGCCGGCCTTGTGGTCCGGGTCTGTCAGGACGAAGAATACGTCTTGCAGGATACCGATAAAAAACTGTTGAAAGAATGCATTGGAGGTCTGCACATCGGTCTTCTCTGCGATGTTTATCACAAGCTCGAGACACATATTGAGACCGGCACCTTCAACATCGCGGTTGTCGTGTTTGCTTGCCCACATGCAAGCGTCGATGACGAACTTAAACTGGCGGTTGTCAAGTTTAAGGAGTGCAGGGAAACAGTGCAGATTGATGGCTCTGAGAAGATTGAAGAACTCTACTCGATGTTCGGGGAACTCAGAGAAGTCCTTGTTGATCATCTCAAGAGTACATTCGAAGACATTCTGCATAATAATCGGCACTTGATCTTCCATAAGACCCTATATATAATTAGCGATACTCCAAATCCGCAAGTCATATCAGTCTACTTACCGTAAGTCTTGAGATGATGGTAGACATTGCCTTTAAGACTTCGGCGTCTCGTGCGCCCGGGACATTGCGGTTGTAGTCAACCAGAACGGAGTCAAGAAGCTGTGGCACCATCTGCATACGAATTGATTGCATATCTTCCGCCTTGTCAACATAGCCCTCAATTAACTTCAGAATTTCCTTCTTGATGGTCCTCAAGCCCCGCACTCTAGGCATACGAGGAGCAAGTTCGCCTATGCAATGTTAGCTTATATCACCGAGAAACGTGAGCATCGTAGAATTACCATCAGAAGCGACAGCCTCGGAAATTAACTGGCTGGTAGCACGATACATCTGCAACATATCTAGATATATTCTGCCAATCTGAGGGCCGAAGTAAGGACCAATCGAAGAGCAAGCAGATACGTTGGTCTTCATGATATTTCCGATAATCTTGATCGTATCGGAATCCTGCAGAATCTGAGGATCTTGAGTGGCGGCTCTGATGATTTCGTCCCAGGCCGCATTGGGCGCATTCATAAGTTCGGCAAGCAGCCTCTCTTGCTGATGCTTGTTACCCTGTGCAGCAACCATGTAGCCGCATGCTTCATAGAAAGTATGGACTTGCTGAGGTGTGAGATCACATGTTATGCGCTGCAGATTACGAATGATCTCTTCAATAAAGGGTTCATTCTCACTAGGCTGCAGGGCCACGAAGTGTCGTCGACACTGCCTTGCGATCTTGATGAACGTATCACACGCCATATCCTGTACGCCTGTGATGGAGTTAGCTATTGCACGCCATCTTTAAATGAACCAACTCACCTTCATGTGACTCGTGCATGAATTCAAAAAGCTTATTGACGACCGTCTTAAGGAACTTCCAATGGGCTTTCAAAAAACGAGGATATTGTCCAACAATATACATGATATTGCTGGCCACGACAGCTTTGTTGTCTTTGCCACGTTTCATCTCCGTAAGCCCTAGCAGATCTTTAATCACGGTAACGAGGAATCGTTTCTCGGTCTCTTCGTTCATCGCGAGCGATATCGAGCCGATGGCCCAGCATAGGACGTTGCAGTTATGCCATGACCACTCGCTGCCGTCGACTTGCTTCTGGAGCTTTTCAGTCATGATCGTCTCGGTGTCGATTACATCAAGATGTGTCAAGTACACAAGACATTCTCTTATGGTCTTGTATAGCTGCACCGTGTCGCTCTCCTTGACGAACTCGCGAACTATTTCACCTTCATCGTTTTCGACGATGAGAACTTCTTCGGGTCGTACCATCTTCTCAATCATGACCACGCGAAGGTTCGACAGAACTTCCTTGTACTTGTGCATGCGTAGAGGGAAGTTTTGTAACAGGCTTGGGTTGACTGCTCCGTTAGTTGAACCAGCGCCCATCATAAGGGGGTTCATCTCTGCCAAGGGCGCTGCTTGCATCTCCTCATATAGCTCTTGAACCAATTTGAGCCAATAGTCTAGGCAGATCTTAAAGATTTCACGGTCTTCGATTTGGGAAATTCGGATGAGATAGAAGTGACCATGGGTGAGGAAGTCTCGGTTAGGTAAATTCTCAACTAGCTAAACACGGAGTAAGTACATATATATCTTAGCGATCTTCTGGGGAGAACTTACGTCAACATGCTGGCCGAAGAAATTGCACAAAAATAGTGCTAACTCCTGGAGGAACTCCTGATCCTTGGAGTTACTCTGAGGGTAGGTGCTCTTGAGATCGAGGTCTAGGGGGATAATGCCGGCGATAGTCGTAAGCACGTCAACGAACATCTTGACTAGCTGTTCACTGTAGGCATTCGTCTGCCCCGGCCCACCGGTTACTAGACCACCGATCTCAGTGAACACCTGTAAGGTAACATTGCGGAACTCGGGAACTTCGAGAAATCGTGTGCGTAAAGTCTCGATGAGTGGCGTCTCGAAAATGTATCCTAAGGGGATCCAATTGCAAAAGCGAAGTAACGTCTCTAGAGTAGCCTTGACTAAACTTGCTTGGGTTGCGGAAGTAAGGATTTCCTGACATAGCTGGAAGATCTGGGAGAATTCGTTACACATGGTGGTTTTGAGACTTCGAGTCTTTGCCGAGGTCATCTGTTCGGCCGAGTAGTCAAAGACTTCCTCGGAAAGTAGGCGGAGGATGATCATGTTGTTCTCGCAGATGGACAGGTTTGAGCGGCAGGCCGAGATGATTTCATTAATGAAGGAGGGCCAGTTGTGAGGCCACTCTTGCTTCAGAATGGAGACTAGAACTAGATTCAACTTATTCAGAAGAGTTCGTTGAAGTCGGAGTGACTCTTCCGTGGTGGAGGCCTGGATGATGAAATTGACAACAAAGTTACGAATGCCTGCACTCCGGTTAGTAATGTTGACCCGCTGCGATATCGATCGTGGGATTGTGAGGTTAGATGACGAACCTAAGCACTGCTCTCTAGGTAAGACCTTCCATCTTGTCATGATGACATTGTCCAATATTTGAAGCCCGAGATCTACAACTCGTTAGCTCGCTTCTCTGTATCTACTAAATTTGTGGAATTGGCGCGGTATACATTTTGTCTGCGGGTGCCTTGCCTCGGCAAGAATCTTGTCGACAAGAAGCCAGGCGTCGGGGTCTTCCTTGAACTACGCATCAAATATGTTAGTCTTACTGTAGGACCTTGGTGTAGAAGAAGGTGGCACGGCGCATTCACTTACCTGGTTTAACGCAGTTTGGGCAGCTTTTTGCTGAAGGCGGGGAAGACTCAAGTGTTAGTAGCTTATTTATTCGCATACTCGCAGACGTACGCATCTGCGAGCTGAATGAATTTCGACGATGATACGCTTACCTGTTCGCCGCGACCTTCGTAGAAGGACTGGACCATGAGGTCCAATTCTGGAATCGTGGGCGCCATCTCGAATGAGGTGGCAGGGGAAGAATAAGGTAGGCTACGCGCCTAGAAGTCCGAAGAAAGGCTCGCTCTGATTGTGTATCGAGAGAAATGTAGTTGATAGTTGTGTGTGTTCTTTTACTTTGACTATGCGCAGGCTCTGGAGGAGAAAACTGGTGGTCAAATAAATTAGTAGGACGTTTGACGGGTAGAGTGGTGGATGTTGGTAGTGGAATGGATTGCACGGGTGAGTTGTGAAAAAAAAGGTATCACCAGATTTCAAAGAAGAAGCAGTCTGTGAGATGATAGCGGCTACTTCGTACAGTTGGTAGTGGGGTTGGGGGGGCTTTTGGAGCTGGGTCTTAAAGCTATCATAGGTACGTACCTGGGTACATGAGCACCTGTAGCACAGACCGATACCTCCAGGGCTACCTAATGTTTGTACCTACCTGGTATCCACCTATCAATACACCTAGGCACTTACCGTACAAGCACGGTACGATTTATGCTTAGAGCTTGGCCGATTAGTTGTCTACTGTAGCGCTGTAGCGCGGTAGCGGCTGAAACTCGTCGTTAGCAGCGTTAAATAATCTTGGCGGTAGCCAATCAAGCGCCCAAGATTTAACCTTGGAAATTATGTCATTGGTTTCTCACGCAAGGCTCCGAAGAAACCACTTTACTTACCTAGTACCAACGATCAATGACTTTACCCCTCCGATTTTCACGTCAAAGCTTTTTAAGTATTTAGTATCGAAACGTCGAAGTTTGCTCAAGTGCCGACCTCGTTCTGGTCGTTGTGAGACGAGAACAAAGGTAAGAGTCAAATGACGGCTTCGATGCAAAAATAAGAATGGCGAGGGGGTCGAAATTGTATTGAAGTTGGCAAAGTAATGGATGCCAAAGAAAACAATCGGTATTGAAAAGTATGTGCCTGCAACTCCTCGAAAATTATCCGATTTGGCCGATTTGGAGGGGTTGCAGGTGGGTGTTTTTCTTATCAAAACTCACCGCTGATTCGGATTTGAAAATTAATAATTTAAGGTTGACGTTGTGTACCTTCCCGGTGTTAGTAATAACGTCTACCCATGGCGTACTTTATATGCGGTTTAAGGTTGCTACAGGATCCTGTACAACTGGAAGCTGCTATTCACTAGTTGGTCCGTCGTTGGCAACCTATCGATTTATTTTGGGTCTTTCAAAATGTACATAGTATTTTATGCTTTATGCACATATTACTACGCATTAGGACCCATCGTCCCAATTTAACGGTACCGAAGTATTACATAAATACTCTTCCCAATCTCTCAGGATTTATGTTTTTTTAACCAGACATTTCTTTTCAGCTGTCACAATCACGACCGACGTCCCGCTATTTCCAGAAGAAGTCAGATTACTCTAAAGTTGTAGAAGATATCAGGATATGCAAAATCGCCCATCTTTCGCCACCTCAAGTCGTTGGGCATGAGAAAAGCTAAAATCCTACACAAGGAATATCGATAATGGTTGGGCTGCTGAAGTTACGGGAACTTACCTAAGAAGTAGGTTCCCGATGATATATGATAAGTTCTAGCTCCTCTCCTATGGTTAGACGGGAAGCAAAGGGAACAAGGCGGTCAAATGACGTGGCCAAAGAAATATCGCGTTATCTCATCGAATGGAGTAGATCTCCCTCCAATAGATTCCCAGAATGATATGATTTTCCATTTTCCGCTCTTTAAATCCTCTAGTCTATCCCTTTCTGACAGATTGGTTACACTATGAGTTTTTTTCGTTGTTATTTGTCTTTAATTTGACAGACGACACGGTATCTTTTCCCTAGCTGAGCATTGTCTTTTTCAGAAACAGTTTGTAAACAGTAACCACCGTCTTTACGTGGTCGGCCTGAGTTTCTCAAGTATGCCTAAACTACCAAGCAGATATGACGAAATTAGGCTTTCTGATATCCGCAGTCAGACAACCCGCTAGTCAACGCATTTATCGCCTTTTGAATATCAGTTCTTGCAGGGTCGGTCTATTACTATCAGCTTCTACGATCTCCAATCACGGCTAGGTAAAGGGATGTTTTTTACATACCACACTGACGCCCATGTGTCCGAAGCGTATGTATTTAGGCGCGATTTCCTTGTGGATGCCACCAGCGAATACGACACCACTCTTCGCAAGCTTTGGAAGTAGATCGGTGGCCTTGACAGTTTCAGGCAGGTAGATGGCTGTCATACCATGGGCCTGATCGTCTGGGTTGGCAGCAACTTGCTTCAACCCCAGCTCCGTTACGGCTTTCTTGATATTGTCTGACACCTCCCTGTGTCTAGCAAATCTCTCGGAGAGTGGCTTAGTCAGAATCTGACTCAGAGCTGTATGGAGGGCATGAACAAGTTGTGGGGATGGAGTCGCAAAGTATGAGGGTTTCTTCGCTTCGTAATTTTGCATGACTATATAATCGGTTAGTGGTTAGTGGTGGTCACTTCCGTATCATAGATTTTAAGGCCTACTACGTACTAGGGGTCCAGTTCTTCATGGAAGCGAAGTAAGAGGCTGGCGGGCTTTTTCTCGCCTTGAAAGCGTCCATCGCCTTGCCACTGAACATCGATATGGACAACCCGGCAGGACAGCCGATGGCTTTTTGGCTTGCCGTTATCACACCGTCAAGCTTCCACGCATCAAAATCGATCTCTTCGCTGGCTACACTGCAAACACCGTCTACAATAAGCAATGTTTCCGGGGAAACCCGTTGAACCGTCTCAGAAAGTTTCTGGAGTTCGCTGAGTACACCCGTCGACGTATCCACGTGTGTAACAGTGACTGCCTTGTACTTTTTGCTCTTCAATGCCTTTTCGATTTCAGGTAATTGTGGTCGGCTACCGACGGGGGCTTTAAGGAGGTCGACATTGGCACCATAGATTTTGAGACAGTCGGCGAATCCGTCGCTGAAATAACCAGAGCTGAGAACTAAGACGTCTTCACCGGCTTCAACTAGATTCGCTGCTACTAGATCCCACCCAAGTGTTCCCGATCCCGAAATGACGAACGGTTGTGAAGAGGGCGAGGTGGTTTGGAAGAGCTTTCGAAGCATAGACAAGGCCTCGCCAAAGGTAGCAACAAATCCTGGGCCTACATGGGACTCGCTATTTGCTTTACGTTAGAATTGAATTGGCCTTCTCAGATATGAGCGCATGCTTAAACATATGATTGTGGTACCAACCTGTAATGGCTCATTGACTGTAAGACAGCATCGTCAAACTCAATGGGACCGGGAATGAGTAAGGTCGGATGTTCTGGTTGAGACGACATTCTGGTAGGCGACGAAGAAAAGCTACGACTTTGGGTTGAAGAGATGGAGGTATTACTTAAAAAGCTGGAGTTGGCGGGAGATTGGGTGCCGCCTGAAAGATGTCTTGATATTATAGAAACTCGGGCTGCGGGGTTAGAGCTGGACATTGTTTTGAGAAGACGGTGGGGCATATCGCCGACCACCGCTCCGGCAGCCTTCCGCACAAAGGTTGAGTAAGCCAGCTTTTAAAACTTACGGGAGGTGTGATGGAGGGAAACTTTTGGGGAGTTTGAGTCGTGTAACCTATAACCTTTGACTAAGAGAATCGAAGGGACACTTACCCCTGAGTAGTTCTAATTGAAATAATATCCACTCGCTAAGATCTAGATCTAGCAAAAAGGGAACTTCGATATCGAAATATCTCCTCACTTTTCAATGGATAGAAACTTGAAGAGATAGAAACAAAAGTGCATCGGAGATCCCCCGGATTTATGTCCATATGGTCTTAATAATCTCTTGATTTCTACAGGTGAAATGGTTAGACTAAGCGTCCCCGCAATATGTAGTCACCCGTACTGTCGGTCTTGTCGCATCACAGAGTAAGCTTAGTTATACTCTCTTTGCAAATAAATCGGATATATCATGTTGGAATTTACAAGGTGGCCTCCGTCTTCGGCCTTCTCTTATTGAATCGAAACTACTAGGTAAAATAGAGCATAATAAGCGACGGAAGCTATTTCCTAGGACCGGATTGATTATCTGAGGTACATATCGAGGTTCCCTGTGGCGTACCTGTCTCAATTCCTGCAAGTGTGCCCACATCGACAGAGGTAGGGTAGGTACATAGGTACCTACTAATAGCTTGAATTGCGGGGCCCTCGATACTCTCGGTCCCTGAAAGTTAAACGTCAGCCTCGCAGCTTTGGTGATAGCTTCAATAACCCATACACAAGTTTATAACTTCGTTCTTATGAGGCACACCTTTTACACGGCTCTAATATAAAGTCTAGGGCCATTAGTACCGTTGGCTAGATTCTAGTCAATACACGAACTCGCTATCCTTGAACTACACCGCCTCGCGCATCTAGAAACGGTGCTGCCTACTAGGACGCAATTCCTCTTATACGATCAAGCAGACACAGAATCTCTTCTTTGGGCCGGGGTATACAATACACACAATAGATACGCCTGGGGATCTCGAATCTCCATTACTTCATAACCAATGGCTTTCCTCATCCTCGTGATCGGGGATCTCCACATCCCCGACCGCGCCCTCGACATACCACAAAAGGTGATCCTCCACTCCTTGCCTCCCGGTAGTGCTACTGCTCACACCAACCTCCCTGTCTTTAGTTTAAGAAACTCCTATCCCCCGGAAAGATCGGACAGACGCTCTGCCTCGGAAACCTGACGGACAAGCACACATACGAATACCTGCGATCGGTCGCACCCGACCTAAAAATCGTCAAAGGCCGATTCGACGTTGAAGCCACTTCGCTCCCCTTATCGCAAGTTGTGACGCACGGGTCTCTGCGCATCGGATTTGTGGAAGGGTTTACGCTGGTATCGACAGAACCGGACCTGCTACTGGCCGAGGCAAACAAGCTGGACGTGGACGTGCTGTGCTGGGGAGGTACCCACCGCTTCGACGCCTTCGAATACATGGACAAGTTCTTTGTGAACCCCGGTAGCGCCACGGGAGCCTATACGACAGGCTGGACTAAGGAGGGCGAGGATATGGTGCCCAGCTTCTGTTTGATGGATGTGAGTTGCGGAAATCCCTTTCTATATCTCACGAGCCTTCTCTTTCTTATATGCGTTGTAGAGGGAAAAGATAATGTTAGAAGGATGAGGTAGTTAAGTTCCCTTTCTACTTCTACTAACAATTGAATATAGGTTCAAGGTATATCACTCACACTCTACGTCTACCAGCTGAGAAAAGATGCCAACGGGGTGGAGAACGTCGCTGTAGAAAAGGTGACTTACACGAAACCTGTAGAGCCCACAGGAGGGTCATCGTAATCTTAAGAAGAGGCTATCTAGATTAACAAGTTCTCCGAGTCAACCGATGAACCAGAAAAACCACATGTACTCCTACGATACACAGGAGCAGGCTTATACCCTTGATTAATGAAACAATCCGTTGTTGGCAAAGAACGAAAAAGACTTGATTTGGTATCCTGTGCACTCTTAAGGAGTAACGTGCGTACAACCAAACGCCATGAAAATGAACTATGATCAACCGACAACACCTGTTCTCAGCCTGGTGATTATTTAATCAATACAATTACCCCAACTGAAAACAGAAAAAGAAAAAAAAGAAGTTTTGCTCAAACGACCGTGAGAATCATTATCATAGTGGAATGCAATTCTTTTCCTCTTTTCCCTCATAACATCATGCTCCTCCGCCTAGTCGCGGCCCGATCTCGCGTGGAGCCATCTGGTTCGGCCGAAGATGTACTGGTCAGGCTATCTCCCTCCACAGAACTTTCGAGTACCGAGTGTTCCAATTCAATCTTCGATTCCTTCGATGTAGCCATAGTCGCCCGTCTGCTAGAGCCTGCCTGTCTTGACCCCTTCTGGTTGCTCTGGGCTTCTGGCTCAACATCCAAGTCCTCTCGGAGCACTGATGATAATCGTCTTGATCTCGAACGTCGGGCTCCCTTGTTGTTGCTAATCTTCTTAATAATAGCATCCTCCGATTCCCTTGCACGCTTCGAGTTATCGATTGGTGATGCCTGGGGAATGTCGTAAATATCGGAGCTGTCGTCGAACATCTGTGCGACTTCGGCTTCACGCGCTGCGATGTCATGTAAACGGCGGTTGGTCGATCGAGGACCCGACTTGCTTCCACTTAATAATGACGAAGAATCGACATCGCCTACTACTTGCGGGTTTCGTGTCTTCCTATTCACCACCACGCTAGTAGATAAATCATCCGTAGACGAGTTCCTCGATCCTTTCTGTGCTAGGGGGCTAGCCATGACATCCGGTGTCGATCTTGCGCTGTGAGCCGAGGGAAGATCCTTCCATGACCCTGCCTTCTCCTCTGACTTGACAACGGATGAGGGGCCAGAAGATGACTGACTAGTTCGTCTAATGTTTTTACCCTCACCAGACACAGCGTCAAGTAGCTGCTTCGAAGGCCGTCGCATCTTGTCCCGAAGGTTGGGCTCAGCATAACTAACAGCGGCCCTAGCTCTGCGACTTCCTCGTGATGTCTCTCCCCTAGATGAGATATCGGTCGGAGGTGGCGTATCTCTCACCTCATCCCTTGGCATAGGCTCTGGTGTATCAGGGACGGCTAAGTTAGGTTCTGCAGAAAGTGTCTCGGTCTCGGTCTCAATCTCTACATTCATGACTGCCACTGGCTCAGGTGATTGGGGGGGTGGGAGTGGTATCTCGACAGGCGTGGGGTTCTTCTTTGGCTTCAAATCGTCTTTTGTAACCTCTTCCGGAGCGGAAGGCTTCGCATTCTTCTTCGGCGACTTAATATATTCGTTCGAGCTCTTGGCCGATAATGGTTTTCTTGGAGCGGCGGAAGCTGATGTCTTGTCTCGAGCTTCTTTTCGGCTCGAGGGAGGCTTGATAGGTCGGCCAAGAGTACGGGGTTTGACATTCATGGCTTTCTCTGATCCTGGACCTTCCTTCACAACCGCAGCAGTAAGGGATGTCAGCCTAGAAATAACAGTGTTTTCTTTCTCATCCTCTTCTCTCTGCTTTCTCTTAAGACCGGCCTTCACGGTGTTATTAGTGGGAGACTCGGCCATAGCTGATCTGGCATCCTGTGACTCGATGTTGATAGTGGTCGCATCGTTGATTGCTTCATCTTTACGGACGTCCACCTTAGGGGAAGAGGGTGATTCTGGTTTGGCCTCAAGCTCATAGGATGGCTTCTCCGGAGGCGAGTAATCCGACGTAGGCAAAAGGCGCCTGGCTGGTAGATCAATCTTGACAGGATCTTCATCAACAAATCGTGATACAGGTGGAGGTCCAAGATCCGGAGAATCGTCGTTATCATCGACGACAGAACGTAATGCCAGAATCTCGTCTCGGCTAGGAAAATTATTAGCAAAATTGAGTAGTACTTGTTTTTATGGTTGTGACTCACGTTAATGTCTCACGAGGACATGGTTTATTTTCCCAGATAGGCGCTAATCTACCCTCTTGGGCAGCAGCGGCTTCCAAGTCCTTCATGGAGCTCGAGTTCATTGTATCCCTTCTCTTCCATTCAGACATGCTCATGCGACCAATGCTAGACCTATGCTTTGCCTTCTTGGATTCCCTTGGCGATCTGCTCTTAGGGATCGGCTCGTGTCCTAAACCAGCAAGCATAGTCCCCCATTCTGCTAATTGCGCTTCCATCTTCTCTTTAATCTCGAGGGCATGATCTGCGATTTTCTGGGCTTTGCTATCCTCTAATTCGGTCTGGAGTCGCAAGACTTGTCCTCGAAGGTCGAGGTTTTCAGATAGTAGGCGAACACATTCATTTTCTAAGGATCTTATTTTGAGTGATTGGGTCGAATTTACTCGTGCGATATCGCGATTCTGGCGTAGAAACTTTCGACGAACTATAAATAAAGGTTAATATGTTCTTCATAACACATTTTGACGAGTGATCAAATTTTTAGAGGGACATACGCGTCTCGACGCTATCTGTTGACACCATTGGCTCGTTCAGTCGTGCCATCGTGAAAATTCATGAGGCGACAGGTGTTTTGAGACGATTTAAATATTGCAGCGATAATCTTGAATTTTAGTAATCATGCAAACGGTCCCATAGACAGCGAATGAATAGCAAGAATCCTCCTTCGGAAGATAGTTGTATGCGAGACGATGGGTGCAAGTTGGTGTAGTTTATTGAGGTGCGGTGAAGAATTTCAAAGTTTTGGTGGGCGAAATGAGTTGGCAAGGGATCTGTCTCCACAGTGAATATCAACAAACTTCCGAATGGGTTATAGCTCCAAAGCTGTGGCCAGCTATTTATACAGGGGTTATACAGGGATTTATCCACAGTACCGAGTAACATTCACATGTTCACGTTACACTAAAATACTTAGGTAACACATACGCACCAAATCGGGTATCGACAAAACTTCTTAAGAGTTCATAATCTTGGCATTATGTACCAATCTGCCACATTGTGTAAATATCGCGAGCACTATTCGCACAACATCAGCATTTGTGCATTTGGTTAACATACAGACGTCACTTTATACGTACAAATTATTTAGGCACTTGCTCATAATAATCGTTTAGCACATTATTTTCCGATAACATTGTTTACTTTCAACATTCGGAAATCCGTCAAGTCGCATTCATTTCCCCACATCTCTCGTTGCTAAGGGCACTCTAATCCATATCGGATTTCAGCCACCCTAAGTCGATTTTATGCCTGCTAGGTAATAGACATCTTAACCTCCTAAAAACCATTAATCAGAACCAACATGGCATTTTCATCGCGTGGTATTCCTAGCCACTTACGCCAAGCTTCTACTTCGGGCAATCCTGGTGCCCAATCTACGGGCCAATCGCCGGCGCTGGTTGCCCGAGTCAATGAGAAGAAAGCAGAGCTTGAAAACTTGAAAGAGCTACGAGATCTAAGTGCGGCTGTGGCAAACCAGATGGAGGCTTTGGAACAGAAGCTTTCTACTCTATCAGATGGAACAGAAGGTGCGAGCACATAGGGAATAGGTTTGGCATATTGACTGACTTAAATATGACAGCGATTGCGACGGTAGTGAGCAACTGGCATAATGTGCTTCGGGCTATTAACATGGCATCAAGTACGCTTACATTAATTTTTAAAGTAGTAAGAATGGATTCGCAATTCTAACTTTATTTACAGCAAAAATACCGACACCGCGAAACGTGGATGATGAGGGTGAAGCCAAGACTCAAGAGGATACTCTTCCTTTACCTCAGACTCTAGTTCGAATACCAACAGAGCATGCACCAGCTCTACAAGCCCAAGCCGAGGCCATTGCAGAGAACGAAAACAATTCATCATCCATCTCTTAAGAAGAGGGATTAAGAGATCTTTACTACGCACAGGGTTATAAAGATCTAGTCTTAAGAGGCTCAGATCTCATGTGCCCGTGCTCACTCGCATATCTTGTGATTACCACTACCCAGGTACCAGGCACAGCTCTTTATTCATTAAAACCAAACCAGTTATTGACCGCTCTACCTAGCCAGAGCCCATTCATAAGGCTATTAGCCGTTACCGTGAGGTTGGGGCTGATCCATCACGATGTCATAGACTCATGATTCACAATTGCTGCAGGGGCGTTCTTACGGACTGAAGTGGGGAAGGTTCGCGTCTAGATTAGAGATTCGCGTCAGATCGCGTTACTACGGGAAAAGATCTGACGTACCACATAGGGAAAGCTACACTCGAGAAAGTCGATAGCACTAGCTCGAGTTAAGCAATTACTTCATACACGCATTACGCAACGGAGTTTCCAACAAATTTTAACTTTGAATACCAAAAGTGCAAGTACTGCCAAGTCTCATTGTGTATCCTACCTAATACTGAGAAAAGCATTAACAACCAAATCCCCCAAATGAATTTATTCATCTGTCTTTTCTACAACATTCATCATTCACCAAGCATCATAAGAGTTCAATCCGCACATAATCCACAGTTGGATAGAATTCAATAATAAAAGTTCTTTGCTATCTTGCAGGGGATACAAAAACCCCACTACAATTTTGATACATACTCGCTATTCGCGATTGTCGCATACCCGTGCTCGCCGTCACTGGTCCGGGGCTGCTAGGTAATAACCCTCATCAAACCCTTGCTTCCATTGTATTGGACCCCTGAGCCGTGCAACCCTGGCTGCCTCACCATCATTGGTCAATTGCGTCCAATCGAAGTAATCGATGGCCAGAAAGATGACCGTTATTCCCTCTAAAGTGGTCCTCGATATATCCAGTGATACGAGCTCCAATGAAGACGATCACTTTTCCTACGACAGCCTCGAATTAAACGACTCCTCTATTCTTGGTGAACTCTCTGTTTCTCAACTTCAGAATCGACCTTCGAGTACCGATTCCAATTCGACAATTGACTCCCTGACGACTGACCTACAGAAGCTTCACATAAATACTGAGAAATGCAAGAACGGACTCAAGTGTAAAGATAGCTTGAAGAACCAGGGTCGACGTCGCTTAACGAGACCAGCAATTGCACCTAACACTTTCGAGGTCCTCGCAACTGTCCCAGAAGACGAGCCGCATCGCGCATCTACATCTGCCACGAAGAGTGTTTCAGGCAAGACACAACATCTCGAACTTCCAGCTTCCGGTATGTCTCAAATATATATTAACACAACAGAACCGTCGTTAGTCGAGTTGTACTAATCCAATACTCTTAATAGCTGAGAAATTATCGAATCATCCCTTAGTTGCACTTGCGCGCAAAGGTATTCCCCCAGCGAAGGAACAGATCGCGAAACATCGCGACGGCTGGTTCGAGGGAATCATTTCCTCGAAATTTCCAATCACAACCCCTACTTCAAACCCCACCACTCCTCCTGAGCTTAAAAAAGTTCATTTCGGCTTCAATCTCCTACCGATTCAAGATAGCACCGAACACGGTAATCCGAACGAGGTTGCTGCACCTGTAAAATTCACAATTCTTTTAACGCCGTTGGCTCCTGGGGAAGAGATATTGGCAGACATCGGACCTACAGGTGAAGGAAACATGGCTCTTGCGGAAGCTAACACGAATCACCACCTCGCGCCGGTGAAAGAGTTGGAGGCATCGTCGATACATGGAACACGGCAGCCTAGGTCAACATCCACTAGCCCTGCCACGAATAGGGAAAAGCGCATAGAGGGAATGGCCCCGAGATCACCTGCACAGCCTGTCGCTAGAATCGAGGATTCTGTGGAAGCGCTCGATAAACTTGAAGAGCAGCTCGAGGCATTCGATGTTGCTGCCCATTTCAGACGAATTGTCTCTCCGGATGGCGAGAATCCAGAAAACAAGTCTTCAATGCAATCATTATCTGTGAAGACTAGTGAAGCGAAAAGGTCTGTGACACCGCAACCGAAGCGGACTACACCATCAAAGGCTGGAACCTCTTCTGTTAGAGTCAAGGCGGCCAGTGAACCTCGACGAACTGTCCGTAAGGCGGCATCGATGATTTTCCTGGACTCCCCAAAGATGAACGGCGAGGATAAGTCGACGGTTCAAGCTCCATCGAGGAAATCGATAACTAGGGGGATAGCAAGTCTCCTCCCACCAAAACAGCCTCCTAAATCAACCAAAAAACCCACCATCCCTACTTTTGAATTACCTGGTGATGAGGTTGCTCGGAAATTGAAAGAAAAGCGTGAGGCCCGAGTCTCGACACAATTTTCCGTAGAGCAATTGACGAAGCCGACCGTTTCAAGTCTCCGGCGTGCTAAGTCAGCTAGAACTTTAACCCGGCCCAATTTTGAGTTACCGGGAGAAGCCATCTCCCGTCGCAAACGCGAAGAGCGTGAGGCACAACTAAAAGCACAAGAGGAAGAGGAACGGAAGAGACGGGAATTCAAGGCGAGGCCAATTCGTTCAGGTGGTGCGCCTAGTACTTTTCCTCGTGAGACGGTTGCAAGCCGAGCTCGACAGAATAAGGGGCATTTGGTAGAGAATTCAGCCCAACAAATTGCATCTGCCTTTAGCAAAGACGTATCTCCGGTTACAAATACTTCTCCGCGCCCTCCCCTCTCAAAGACGAACAACCAAACTCAACCACGAGGCCGAGGGCTTCATCCTGACCCAATCGGGGTGCAGCCAATTCGCGGTACATCAAGTTCCACGAATGGAAGTACTAGCGCACAGCGTAGTTCGGTGTCGACAGAAGATGTACAGCAACAGAGAATTCGCGGCCAGGAGATTTATAAACGAGACAACTCATGGACCGGGGAACGAGAGCGGGAAAAGCGAGAAAGAGAAGCGTTGGCGAAACTCGCAAGAGAAGAAGCCGCAGAACGATCCCGACAGCAGAGCCGTGAGTGGGCGGCTAAGCAAGCAAGAAAGAGAATGACTATTGCTTCGTTGCGAGATGTCATGACTTAAAAGAAGTCACAAGCATAGGCATTGTACTGTGCTGCTACAGGCGTGTATAAATATTGGTGAGGGGAGTGGGTTTGTATTATTCGGCGCATTCGCATATTGCGTTGGGGCGTTTTGAAAAGGGCACAGCCTGGCGTTCACTGGTATGTCATGGTCTGATCATTATGGCGTTTTTTTTTTCGAGGAATCATTAGGGTAAGGGTACAGGGACAGGTATGGTCATTGCTGACTTCGCGTTGGCCTCTCTCGGCTATATTATTGTTTTTAATGCATTAGTTGGAGATCAGATCCAAAAATGCTATTATTAACATGGTGAGATCGAATAGCTATTCGGTTGGTTGATTTACATAGATGATCCGTAGCTGAGAGCCTGGTCCCTGGGAGGTTTATGGTGGAGGACGGAGGATTGGGGAGGAGTTAGGAATCATAAGATACCCACGGTCGATCGGCGCTTTGAACTAGCAAGACAACGCCATTGCATGTATTATACCCAGGTTTACTTACACTCCTTTAATATTCCATATGTACGCACAGCAATCGTGGGAGCAAATGAGAACGTGGAATTACAATGTGATCCTTTGACGTAGGGCACACCGAGGCCGACCGGTCTGCCGGTGTTATCGGCGCCTCGGAGACCGGCGGCACGTCAACTCAAAGTCCTAAGTTTAGAAAACAATGATATCAAGAAATCACACACAGTGGCTAACGGGTAAACGTCGGGAAGCCCCTAGAACTCCATGTCAGGTTTATAGTACCTGAATAAATGCCCTCCAGTCTACTAGTCAAGACTGCATCTACATTTATATATATATATCATACATTCACAATGGGTCGATTGACTATTATCAAGCACGTCCGCATCTTTGATGGCGGATCTATCCATGGTCCTAGAACTGCAGTCATCGAGGGATCGCATATCGGCGACGATGCTCTAGCCGATGACCCAGACCCGTCCACGGTCGAAGTCGTCGACGGAACCGGATGTACCTTGCTGCCTGGTCTGATCGATTGTCACGTGCATATCCTCGACGAAGCTCAGTTGGCCGCATGTGCGTCTTATGGTGTCACGACCGTTTGTGATATGGCGTGAGTATCCTGTTGGTCAGACTGCGTTGCGGCTTATAGGGGCTAATGATTCCTGCTGCCTAGGTGTGTGCCGCTAGAGAAGTATGTTAGGTTGCGAGCGGCAAAGGGTCCTACGACTTGGTTGAGCTCCAGCCTTCCCGCTTATGAGGTTAGTTGTAAATTACGTCACTGAGTATAGAATCAGACTTCAGGGGCTTTTACTCCTCGAGACTTCACGATATTACCCAGTAACATTTGTTACTAACTTACAGGGGTGAATATAGGAAAATTCCAGACATGGCAAGTTATTCAAGCTTGCCAGAGTCACTCCAGATCACGCGGTCCATAATACCGAAGAAGCCGCAAATTTTGTGCAAGATCGAGTCGATGAGAAAGTCGACTATGTCAAGATCATCGCAGATTTCCCGGGTCACGAGCAAGCCGTCCTAGATATGATTCAGGTCGAAGCGAAGAAGCATGGGAAAATGACGGTAGCTCATACAGCACAATTCCATTCATTCGAACGGGGCGTGCAAGCAGATTTCGATATCCTAACTCACGTGCCCTCGGATAAAACCCTCGACAACAATATCGTTGATAAAATGGTAAGTCAGAGGACAGTCGCGGTACCAACCCTCACCATGATGCAGAAAATGGCGGATAGTTGGGTTTTGTGGATAGCTAGTTGGATATTTCCATCGCTCGGCCGTAGGAATTTTCAAGTTTCTCTTGACAGTGTGACGGTGATGCACAATGCGGGCGTGCCTATCGTCGCGGGTACGGATGCGAACAATAGCGGGATCTTCTCAATCGTGCCTGGAGTGTCGCTACATCACGAATTAGAACTGTTAGTCCGAGCCGGACTAACGCCAATTGAGGCGTTACGAGCAGCCACGTCTTTAGCGGCGCAGCACTTCAATCTTACGGACCGAGGCCGAATCTCTCCTGGTTTGAGAGCTGATCTAGTTCTTGTGGAGGGCAATCCAGACGAAGATATTACGGCGACAGCGAGAATATCAAAGGTCTGGAGCAATGGAGAGGAGGCCACGATACCTGCGCAGCACCGGCGAGCCGGTTTAGGAAGTTGCGCTGTAATGTAGGTAGTGTAAGCCACTGAGATATGCACGTGTAATACGAGCGCGCAATTAATGTGCTAGGTACGGTCCGTCCAATGATTGGCAGAATTGGCTGTGCGACGTGACATCGGGCTAGAGTCAGACTTTTGGGCGTTGGTGTTTCCCGTTGGCCAGGTTCGAGAAGCTTGATTTCGCTTGGCAGCCAACCACCCCTCTTGGTTGGTTTCGATCTAGAACGCCCCAGAGTTACGGAGCGTATATTTTTGCCAAGTTGTTTCGCTGTTTGATAGTGGGGGCCAAAGCACGTTTGAGTCGAAGGAATGGAAACGCTGGATGGTAAGAAGTGAGTCAAAATAGTTGTATTCGGTGCCTATCACCAACGTGATCTTCGCGTCTGATCGGCGGTGAATTCGGCCTTTAAGTCTTGAAGACTCGAGGTAACCTGGCAGCCTAGCAGTTAACGGGACAGGTAATTCAACGCGAGATTGCTATAGCATTTAATATCAAGTTTGCTGACAGCATAACCCAAAGGTTGTAAGCGGTTAATATTGCTTGCCATTGCTTGTTATTGCTTGTTTTCAGCTCTTCGGACCGCAGGGATCTTGTCATACACACCAAATTGATTGGCCTATCCAGTAGGACTTCATGTATAAGAGATAATCTACATAAAGATCTCAATTAAGCAAGATAATATGTAACAAGCATAATGCATTGTGTGACAAGAAGATCATAGTAGGAGAGAGGTGAAAGAGGGGATGAAAGAATTTGCTCAACAAGCTCTTTGATTTGTAAGTTGTTAAACAAATGATGCCATGCTGGAATATCGGAAAGCCTTCCCGAGTAGGAACAATCACCATATACGCGATGCTGAGAAAGAACGTTAAACTATCGATTTCAAGTTTCTATCTTTGTTATACTTTACCTCTGAGTAGAGTACAAGGAAAGTGGTGCTTCAATTCATAGAAGTTGTAAGTACCTAAAATGGTACGATTTGTACTTTTACGCTAAAGACGAGACTGCAGCAGCTTTGTTTCTCCCCTGGTCCAGGGCCCTGGTCAAAGTCCAGGAAGGTCCAGACTTACAATGGATACCTAAAAAGACCGAGAGTTATTAGGAGAATTCAAAGATATTCAAAACATACATATGTTGTAGGATGCGCCTCTTAGCTCTATTCGTAGAATGATGGTTTCTACCGATATGATTCATACCGTTGATTCCAACATCGATTACTTCCGTCACTCCTCACTTTCAGTCCTACTATTCAGTGTACCTACCGCCTGGCCAAGAACTCGTAGGGCTATCTGACCAGGTACCTAGTACTACTATTATTATCTTCAGAATAAACCCCCTGCGTGTTATGCTCCGCCCCGTCCCAATTAGGTAGTGCTCACATATCCAGATAAGGCACAGAATCCTAGCGCTGCTACTCATACGGTCTACTGCAAAATAGGATCTGACCTTCAGGAACCCGAGTCCCCCGGTTATTCCCTTTTAATCGCCGGCAAATGACAATCCCCAGGGACCCCAAGGGAGATGCCTTTATTATTAACATCGAACCGCCCCAGTCTCATTTCTACCCAGCAAACATCTCTGAAGTCGCAAGAAAACACGACGTCCTCCATGGACGGGACGCCGCAATGGATAATCATTCACTTGGGGACACAGAGAGCACCGCTGGCTCAAAAACGAAAGTGGTAATTACAGAAGAGCAAAAGAAGCCTTCTAAAATACCACTGTGGTTACAAACCCAACTTGTCAAGATCCGTACCAGCCGGACGCGCCAGGCCATTCTAGCATTTTTCTTCATTGTTGCCGTCGTACTTCTCGCGGTTTTGATCTGGTTAGAAACAAGGGGTCATCTCCCAGAAATTTTCAAGGTAAGAACAAGAATGATATAGATGTGCATTTTTGATTCTTCTTTTCTTTATAGAAGCAAATTGTCTTGGCATGCGTGTGCAATCGCCAAATAACATTCCTGCCGAAAGATCGATGTGCCAATCGAGTTCTTGGCCCTCGCTTCCCCGTGCTTGGCATCCCCAATCTCCGATCTCCAACTAACCCGACTCTCTGTTATTTATTATTGACTTCCTGAATCATATCTAATTTTCATTATCAACACTGAAATGCTAACATAACACCATAGAAAACCGTCCCCTTGGAACTATCCCAAGGAAACTATCTTGGCGAAATTGTACCGGCGAGTACAAAATATCCCCGTAGCGTCCAAGCGTTTCGTGGAATACCATATGCGCAATCGACCGCTGGCGACAACCGCTTCAGACTTCCGCAACCAATAAACGGTACAGCAGACCGTAGCAATGCGCAACGTGCAATCAGCTTCGGTCATCTTTGTCCCCAGGGTAGCGGTGGGAAGAATCAAGGCGAGGATTGTCTGAATTTCAATCTCTATAGACCTCATTACCAAAATGACTCGAACACTACCGCTGCTACGATATCTAGGTTTGGCAAGTTGCCAATACTTATTTACGTCCATGGCGGCGGGTTCAACGGCGGAAGTGGTTCCGAAAGAAAGATGATGAGTTTTGTGTCGTGGTCAGAGACGCCTCTTATTGGAATGAGCTTCAACTATCGACTTGGCGCCTTGGGTTTCTTACCCAGTGCTGCGGCTCAGAAGGCTGGCCTGTTAAATCTGGGATTAAGGGATCAACAGGCGTTCTTCAAATGGGTACAGGATAACGCGGTCGACTTCGGCGGGGATCCTAATAATGTTACGATAATGGGGTTAAGTGCTGGTGCTCATTCGGTAAGTTATTGCTTTGCAAGATATGAGAATCTCGGGTTACGTGAAAACTTGGGAGCACATATAGCTAACAGTGAATATAGGTTGGACACCATCTAATATCGTACTCTCCCGCAAATAAGTTAACTTCGTCACCTCCGCCTTTTCAAAGAGCCATCATCGAATCCGGTGGCTCATTGGCTCGAGCTACATTCGTACCTACTCATCCACTCCACGAACAGCAATTTCAACAGTTTCTAACGGCAGCTGGGCTAAATGACACTGCTGAAGAGCAACTCTTTGACGAACTCCGCGCTCTCCCTTTAGATAAGATCGCTAACGCCTCTAACACCGTATGGAGACGTTGGGAGGGTAGTTTGCGTTGGGCCTTCCAACCTGTCATTGATGGACCGGGAGGAATAATTCCCGATTTACCTTCCCAATCGTGGAAGAAGGGAAACGTTATGCGCATCCCGATTTTAACAGGGTTCAACACGAATGAGGGCGCCATATTCGTCCCACAGCATGCGAATAACGCATCGGCAATGGATAATCTTCTGTCCTCTATTGTTCCAGCTCTTAACAAAACAGATTTGAGTACCTTAGACACGATGTATCCAGACCCTACTACTACTGTAGGGGAAAAGTTGTACGTCTATCAGCCGCCCTCTGGCTACGGGACACAGTTTTGGAGGCTGGATGATTCATACGCGCACTATGCGTACATCTGCCCAGTGCTCCAGGCAGCAGACTTGGCTTCGAATGCAAATGAGTCCCAGCCCATTTATACTTACCACTACGCCGCTCGATCAAACAACCACGGTGGTGCTGATCACGGCGACGAGACCCCGGTCGTAACACACGATATGGATGCCATTGGCAATTATCCTGGCGTCGTCGCGATGGCGGACGCAATGAATGGGTATTGGGCCCGATTCGCGGCCACCGGTGACCCGAACCCCAAGGCAGGCACTGCTAGCAATAGTACGACTGTCACATGGGCTAAGTTCATCAGCCCATTTGAGAACACCACAGCAACTGCCGAAACCGCGAACACGATCGCGCTATTTGGTGAAGGCAATGACGAGCGGATGGGTGCCCGCGGACGCCAGAACAAGGGCATCGCTGTGCAGGCAAGCAATCTGACCGAGCGAGTTAGAACGGAGTGCCAGTTCTGGTTTGATCGAGTCACGTTGAGCGAGGGTTGGGGTAATGGAAGTACTTCTATTACGTAGAGTACGAAGGCCAAGGGGAGGTTATAGGCCTGTTGTCTCCATCAGGGGAAGAAAGGATGGAGTTGTTGAATTTGTATAAAAAAAGCATGCGAATACGCGTGCGAGTTGAGATACCCAGTGATTTTGAGCGAGGTTAGCATTGAACGGATCGGATCGACATGAAAGCATGAGCAAGGCGTTTTGGGAGACGAGCAAGAATATTTGTCTATTCAATTAGAAAAGAGAATAGATCCCCTCATCTCTGGATGAGGGGCTGCATATGAATGAATACTTGATACATACTACCTATGTCGATATATACCGGTGATATGTCTTCTGTGCCTTTTGGTTCATTAAATGGTAGGTACCTAGGTATTAGAATCATTCATGACACTTGCTCGTTTTCTATAAGGGTTTAATCCATTCATCTAGATTCATAGCTAATGCATAGGTACATACCTTGACGGTGTTGTCTATTGTCCTATGGCTGATTGTTCTGCCCCTATTAATAGCACAAAGGCAAGAATATGTACACTTGAAAATAACTTGAGAGTATCATAAAATCGTTCGTATCCCTCTAGTAGATGTATTTAATAGACAAACATCGGGAATGACAGGCGGCGTGCCTAATCGCATCCTACATACCTGTTTAGGGCTCGAATGGCACACATAGCCGAGCCTGATTGGCCGGTGGTTAAAAGCCCTCTGCCGTATCGGCGAATATCTACACGTTTGGCTGGGTTACATTTCTGCCGTTGCTCGCCGTTGCCACGAGGTGGGACGTTCTGGGTGGCGAATAATGGGATGGATGATTTATCGTGGTGTGCAGGTAGGTAATGGTGTTGATATGAATGGTGTACTGAGGCCCGAGGTAGGCATGTCTTGCAAATATGTGAGTCTGGGAAAAAGCAATGCTTGATAGACGGTGAGCTATGTACTGGTAGCAGCAGGTCTTGAGAATGCGTTAAAGTTAAGACCAGCTTATGTACCACCACGAGTAGAAATAGCTTTGAATAGCAACATAAAAAAGCAATTGTTCTTTAATTCATGTTTTCTTAACACGTCCCGATAGTTAATAGAACTGTTGTTGCAATAGACACTTTACGTGGTTAATAGGCGGTGAAAAATGTACGTCTTGGTGGGGGAGGAAAGCAGAGAGCTTGGCTATGTCCAAAAATAGGACCATGTATAAATCCTTATTAGAACCTCAATGATTTGATCAAGTCACTGATGATGTATCGCATATCGGAACGAGAAGTGTGCAAATCGTTTTATTTCATGTGCGTATTCATGTTCATAAGCTGGGCCGAACCCAGTCCAGAGTAGATCTTTAGCTACCGTTGCTTGCTACAGCCATAACGTTCCGCCCGCAATTGTCCGTCCATGTCCGAAATTCGTGAGTATCTGAGACTAAGAGCCGAAAGTCAAGTTATAGTAAAGCCGATGGTGATGAGGCTCCTAAAACGCCGAGGAAAATGTTTGTCGATGCAGATCCGATTGGTAGACAAGTTGAAATTCCTGTACCGAACAAGTTGGTGCGCCAGGGGAGAGGATTGGCGAACCAATTTAATCCTCGTCCATCTTGTCTCCGTGATCCTGCTCCTGTTCCTCGCCGGCAGGCTCGTAGTCGTCCTCATCCTCATCATCATCGTCCTCAGCGGGGTGGTCTTGGGCAGCTTTGGCCCAGTCGATAACGCGGCCACGGGTTCGGCGACCACCATCGACGATGTTGTTGAGATCAATCTCGTCCATGTTGTCATCCGCATCTTCGTCGCCTACGTAAACTATGTTAATATGTTGCTTGCGAGAGTACATCCTAATTCACGGAGAAAGCTTACCACCCTCGCCCTATAAAATCGTTAGCTTGCTTAATTATGTTATAAAAACCGGGTGTTGAAGACATACCTCTTCCTCTTCCTCGTCGTCATCATCATCGTCCTCGTCCATGGCGGTGTCGACGGGATCCTCGGCGGTGGCCTTACCCTTACCCTTCAGAGGCTGGTCGACGGCCTTGGTGGCGGAACCATCTTGGGGGAGGGTAGCGCTGCTATCGGTGGCCATCGTGACGGTATTTGTTCGGGGTTATGTGAATATGTGGGTGAAGAGGTGAACGAATAATCAGAAATTCACTCAAGTTCAAGTGAATAAAAGAGAGCGTTGCGATTGATCAATGGCGAGATTGGTATCAGTCGCAGTGGTATGTCGCAAATGTTTGGATTGGACGAAAAGTTGGAGAAGATCAAATGGGAAAAAAAAGGTAGAGCGCTGAAAAAAAGTACGGTGCTAGGTACCCGCGAGGTTCTGTTCATTGGTTGGTGCGGACCAATGCTACCTGTAGCTACCGTCTCCAGAGTTACTCCAGGATGAGAAGGCACGCTAGCATATTTTAGGGATGGCGCGTGCAGTTATTGGTTGACCGCCTTCAGCGGGTAGGGAAGTTGGACCTGGTGCACGGATGCCCGCTGTGATGCTACAGTATTGTACCGAAGTACTTAATTCCGTACGGTACGTACCTGACCAACGTGTTTTTCAGAATCACATCTGACGATAACCGAGTTGATAGGTAGTGGGTTCTTGATATACTATGTAGCATGTTTGAATAACTTAACGAGTTACTGAAGTAACTGAGGCATGCTTTATATCAAGTCTGGGTAACTTGGTATATCGAAGGAAGTGTCATAGGAGCGTCTGTAGTACTAAGTAGGCCACATTATCCATAGAACATAGGAACAGCACATCTTTGGAAGAGTTCGAGCCAAAATTTCCTGAATTGAATATTTCTACAGCCGTATAATCTATTATTTGCCTTGCTCGCCACCTCCGGCCATCGTCATCACAAGAACGATACCTATCATCCACCAATACCTGTAGAGAATAGTCAGCAAACAGATCCAAACAGCCCTCACCTACACCTATCCAAGCTAAGAACAGATATACATACTTCTGCAAGAATGTCTTCTCCTCCGGCTCCACCTTATTGCCCTCGGGGGAGAGTACAATGGGCTTGTTCAACTCAGGCTGCTTGCCGGGCTCCGTAGTCAGCACCAAAGCCTGCGGACCAAAATCCCTCGTCTGCCCAGCATCGATCCGAACTCCCTTCAGCGCAGCGCTGAACACGTCGCCCTTCGCATCGACAGACAGTATCAGCGTAGGCGAGTATCCCTTGCTGAAGTTATCCACCGACGCCACCGATGTCGACGACTCCCACTTCTTCGTTGACGGGTTATACACGCCGACGCGCACTAGCCGCGCCTCGTCCGGTATCTCGGGCGCTTCGTATGATGTGACTTCAGCCGCGTCTGAGGTCACGGTTGTTGGGTCGTAGCGGATCTCGGCTAGGGGTGCTGGCGCGCCGGGCGATTGCGTGATGGGTTGGATGTAGATGGCTGCTGTTCGGTCGGCGGCGCTGGCTACGCTGGCCAGAGCCAGGGCCGTGAGGCCGGTGAAAACTGATGAGAACTTCATGAGCTGGTCTTCGGCAATCCTATGTAAATTGTTGAAGACTCAATGCTGCAAGAAAATGGAATATGTGGAGGGGTTATTGATGTGTGTAGCTTTAGAAGGTTCAGATAATGTTCCAAGGTTCTTTCGTTGTTTCGTAATCGTTGGTCGCTGATTCCCCATTTTTTTTCCAGAGCCCTGTAAAATAGCTACAGGTATCCAATCCTCATTGCCTTATTAGCTGATTGAGCCTCAACACTCAACTCAATTTCTAGCGCACCGTACATAATGCATTGTTCACATAATACTAAGTACTTTGGCAGAAGCAACATTTGAGCTGGAATTGGTTTCGATTTAAAATGTAGAAAAGCATATAGGTTCATTATCTGGCTGTTAGATCATAGCTGCATCGTCATGAAGAGGAAACACTCCCTGGTAACCCCCTCGAACTTCGTACTCTCACTATGAACATCACAACCAGTTGGGTATGTCCTAGGCTCTCCTTGTCGTCGTAAAATGGAATCGCCATGTCTCTAACCAACCAATCGTGTTGACCCAATCCCTGTGCATTTAACGCCAAATGCAACCAATGCCCCCGGAAAACTCCTGGATCAAAATATTCTCGATATGCGCACCTAATGTCCCGAGTAAGACCTTTACTTGCTTTTGCTGCGGGGTCCTCTCCACTGCCTTCCCTTCGTGTCTTCTATCATAATCTATAAATCCTTGGTGTCTTCAGGTTCGTTCTCGTTGTCAGGTGAAGAGGATTGCTCCCCTTCTAAAACGTATCCGGCGCAACGTGCGACGAGCCCTTTATAGTAGGCCACTAGTACTTCGGGATTTGGTACTATCCTCCAGTCTACCCGGGTTAAGAACTCGAGTTCTAGTAGTTTCAATTCTGCTACCTTCACACCGCCTACTCGTGCATAGAAGGTATTATTCCAGAATGAATCCGACAAACCCTTCCCCGCTACCGTCGCCGCAGTGATCAGGAAACGATGTACGGTCAAAGTGTTGATCGTGAAATCGGGATAGTACTCGCATAGACGGTCGATATAAGATACCATGGAGAGGAGAAGAGGCGGAGTTAAAGTGGCATGTTTCGCAAGCCGCTGTAAATAGTCCAGGACGGAGATGGCTGGTGCCGTCCTATGTAATGGGTTAGTGCCATCAATTAATCAATCAATTACAACAATCGATGCATACCTAGAATGAAACCGTGTGAGATGGCCACTTTTCATGGCTATCGAATCGTTTGTCTCAATCAGCTCTCCAAGCATATTCGAGATAAGAATTACCATATCCTCCACCTCGCACAACTCGTATCTCAGAGGTAATGCTCTAGGGGGACATTCATTGGGTTTCGACCTTTTAGGCGTACTCGGTTGACTTGATGCCACTACCGACGAAGACGGGTTGGGCCTGATAGGATCCTGTGACTTGCGTCTCTTATTAGGAGAGAGCGTTTGAGATTGGCTTCTCGCATGTCTGCTGGGTGAGGGTGTAGGCTCGGAAGAATTTTCTTGTGAGACGGATTGTGGCCTGGGCTGAGGCGGTGCGGTCGTCGGTGTCGCTGTTTTCGCGGCGGTGGAGCTCGATATCCTTGGACCCGATACCTGGGCAGATCGTAAGGGGACCATTGGATCGAAAGGTTCCATGGGAGAGTATTGGGTAGCGGCATCAACTCCAACATATTGCTTTGGCTTGGAGAGAGAGGGAGATCGCAAGGAGTTAGAAGGCGAGGAGCGCGATAGTGAATGTCTAGATTGGCGGCGTGGCAGGGGCACCGTTATCTTAGGCGATTGTTGTGGAGAGTGAGGGGTTGCATAGTGGAATGTCCTCGGTGATGCGCTTGCTGCTCCTAGTATAGTTGGCGACGACGAAGTTAACATGATTCCCAAAGCGTCTAAGGCGTCATAATGTCTCAGCCGCGTTGGTAATAGGGTCACAGGAGTCGCAGGAGTCGCAGAAAGTCGCAGGAATTTGCAGATTAGGCCGCAGCAGATTAGACTCTCTCCTACGGTTCATACATACGTAGGAACGGGCCGCTATTTTCTGTCGAATGATTTTCTTCGCTTGTACGTTTGCGGTTTACCTAAAAAGGGGGAAATCGGTTTAGGTGACAGTCCGTCAAAATCTGACGAGAAGTCCGCTATTTGTGAGAAGCGATAGTGGGACATGGATATGCTCGAACTCCATGATTGAAGGGTTTTTGAGTTGTAAGGAAGGCCAAGAAATGCACCATAGACCGGAGAAGGCAAATTTCTAAAGCGCTGCTTGCCCAGTCATTTGTTCGGGCAATACGTCCTTTCCTACGACGGAGACCCACACCCATCCAGGTTCTTAACCTTTTCTTACCTAAAAAGCCTTCTAGCCCACCGATCAAGTAGGTACGCCCTAGATATGCATCTTGGTAGATACTATAAATTTAGGGCTACCTACCTGGGCAACCCAAGACTTTGCCAAATTGTTCGAATGAATTCTGGATTCTCCATGATCTACACTGTAGGTACACATGCATATATGTGTACATAGGTACTTAGGTAAGCTAAGATGATTCGATATCAACTTCCAAGTTGTTCCTTTTCCATGATGAGAATCATATATTATCCATAATGTACAAATATTTTTAAATATAAAAGCAATGAAGAATTTTCATTCAAGTATCCTCATAGTTGCTTCACAATATCAATGGAAAATACATTGAATGTTGAAGAGAATGGGGGTGACGGGATGTCCGTTCAACTCAATGCTCGGTGTCTATTAATCCTAAGCTAAGCTTCCTAGCCTTTGTCACGGGGTCAAAATTATCTGACTAGAACTTGGGATATACCAGACAAGACCAATATATTACATAATATACTTGGTATGGCCTTTTGTTTTAATTGAGTCTCTAGGTAGACTTCATGATATAAGAGGATGTCGGGTTGGGAATTGTAAGACTAGGCTGACTGGGCAAGACTCTCTTATCAACATCACGAGATTGGTATGCCTACATCCAATAAGCCTTTTCGATTTATGTGTAACAGAAGTTATAATATCAATCGCTTATACTTTACTTCCCATCTACCTAGGCAGGTATATGTGATATACCTAATCTCGACAGTCCTGATTTCTCAAGATGCCGAAATCCCGTAACAAGTGCTTTCCCACTCTCTTTTCATCTACGAAGGGAAGCTAATACTTGAAATATATCCATTTAAACTACCTAGTAGGTAGTTAGCGCCGGCAGAGCATAACATTATGGATATGACATTGTTCTACATTAGTAAGGACGATGAAAATTGTTTTCTCATAGGTATAATCTGATCTTTCTAATGACGTTTGCTTTGGAAGATGCCACTTGATGACCAGGGTGTACCCTGTAGTAGAGCAAAATATTTGGTAAAAAATTCGAGTCTTAGTCTTCCGAGTTGTCGGGCTGCTGTTAGTGACAGAAAGAGGACCTGAGCAGGCTAGGCGGACTGGATTTTGCTGTTGTGCAACGATGACAGTTGAACCGTGTACGCACGAGCCACCTATAGTCTTAAAGACATTCTAAGTACCATGTACTTCTTTGCCCCACATGCCATCCATGCACGCAAGTACAACCTTACGTTCGCGATAACTAAGGTCGCTATCGACACATGCATTTATAAACTGTTGAATATTACTATAATCATCATCACCAATTGCGCTACCATTTATCTTCTTTTGCTCTACTTTAAAAATACACGACTCTGTAGTTTTTCTCTAGGTCGCCATCGATGATGGTTGCTGACCCTCAATCTATCCTAGCCAAGCTCGGCGCATCGACACCGGAGCGACTCGTCGCTCTGAGATGCTTGAAGAATGAATTAGTTGGTCATAGTCAGAAGAAGGAAGATTGGGTTCGATATGGAGTCCTTCGTCCTATCGTTAGGATCATTGCTCCTGAAGCATACGAAGCTAATGACGAAGATACGCGACCGTCTTTCCTAACCTTGAGCACATTTACGGACGGAGATGCCGCGAAGCTACAGGCCCTACAGCTTCTTGCTACTTTTGCGAATGGTATATATCACGATACTCACCTTAACCTCTATACGATATGAGCTAACATGTTTGTTCTATAGCTGGACCTGCTTTTCTCTCTCCGCTTCATGCAGTTGGTGCATTACCCGCAGTCCTGAGTAGCTCATGTCTTCTAAATGAGCACAACACGATCGTCTTGGCTGCCCTCCGAGTGGTGCGAGACATCGCTGCAGCTGCCGAATATGCTTCTTCATCCTCTCCAATTACTCCAGCTTCCCTTGCCGACTCATTATTTACCGACCATAACCTAGAGCCCTTCTATCGTATCCTCTCCCGTAAACCCCCGAGTGTTAACAATGACGCCCAAACACAAATGATCGCCTGTCTTATCAAGAGTCTTTGTCGTGAAGAACGGCATCAGTCAGTTTTGGTTAGCAGTGGAATCCTCGATGCTCTCGCTACAAAGTTAGCAAGTTTTATTGCCTTCAACGGACAGGTGTTACCGAGGGCTGAGATGCTTGCCCGTTCTGAAGGCTTAGAAGACTACATACCGGCGCCTGCTATCTCTCATAGTAGCTTGAATGGAGTATTGGGTGCAATCGCTTCGATTATAGGCGAGTCGCCATACCGAGCGTGCAAACTAATTTACTCCCCATCGATACTGGCTATTCTTCCCTTGGCTGATATTGATCTGACCACAAATTCGATGGCTGGCTTGAAGCTCATGGAATTACCTGGAATCCGACCAACAAAACATATGACTTTCCAGCCCATGGATTTGCTTCTCCCCTATAACCCACCCCAGGTCAATAATACCGTGATTCCGCCATCGAGTGTTCTACGTGAAGGTCAGGGTCACAACGGGCGCTCAGCATCCAAATATCCGAATAGTACCACTCCACGAACTCAATCAGAGGATAATTCGGCTTCTAATAACGATTCTGATGGCGAAGAGGCGGAAAGTCCTCTAATACCCTTGTTGATTTGCGCTATTCGATCCTGGCGGACTCGTGGCGGCGATGTTCTTGGTGCTACAGCCATCTTGACTTCTCTATTTAAGGCTGGATTGGCTTATAAGACCAGAGAATCCGACTTGGGTCTGCTTATTATACCAATTATTTTGAATATCCTCACAGAAGCTGACATGTCGTCTAAACTCTCTGACTTGAATGATTGGGGTTCTAATGTATCCTCACGACTTCTTCCCATCGAGGAAATGCCGGCAATATTGGCTCGTCTCATCACCGACAGCGAACTATTGCAGAAAGCAGCGTTTGAGTGCAACGCAGTTAAGGTATTATGCAAGTTACTGAAGGAAAGCTGTGGACCACCGCCTTCACTTCCTAAATCATGGTCGTGGTCTCCACATAGTCGGAGTCAAGATACGACGGATGAACTCCCCCCTGAATGCCGTCTAGGAGAAGAGGGCCAGCATAGGCATCTGGTCCATCGAATCAACGTTAGACAAAACACTCTCAAGGCCCTCGGCGCACTGGCAACGTACAAAGACGATTACCGAAAAGTAATTGTTGACCAAGAAGTTATACCATGCATCGTTGAATCCTTAACCCCGGCGCCCGATAATCCGATTTCGGTAGTCCTAGCGGCTTGCTACACGGTTCGTATGTTATCTCGCTCTGTCAATATCCTCCGAACAACTTTAGTCGATCATGGTGTATCTGCGCCTTTGTGTCAGCTACTTCGGCACCGTGATGTCGAGGTGCAGGTGGCGGCGTCGGCGTCGGTCTGTAATCTAGTCATGGACTTTAGCCCGATGAGAGAAGTAAGTATCCTGAACTCCAACAAGGCCGTTTAATCAATACTAATCATTCAAAGCCCCTTATTGAGGCGGGAGTTCTGAAGGCGTTATGTGAGCATGCACACTCACACCATGCATCCTTACGGTTGAACTCTCTATGGGCACTTAAGCATTTGGTTCATTCGGCAAGCGTTGAACTCAAGAAAAGAACTGTAGAAGAGCTCGAGTCCGGATGGCTAGTACGGCTGATCTGCGACGATACTGAAGACGATGCTCTTTTTTCGGCAAAGACGAGGAGTGAGAGGGAAGCGGCTCAGGATACGCTAGATGATATGGACGAGGACATAGATATGGGGCTTGCCGAGGACCAGTATCGTACCTGGCTCTCGGCCTCTTTCTATAAGACGCCCGCGATTCGAGTCCCTTCTGATGCTCAAATATTGCGGCGCGCTGAGGGACGACTAGAGAACCTTCGCGAGGCTGAAATAAACCCGATCCGCAAGGCGAGGCACGATGACCTTGCTATTCAAGAGCAGGGCTTAGGATTAATAAGGAACCTCATAGGTGGGGCTCACTCGAGTAGTAACGCCGACTCGCCAAATGACACGACGGAGATGATCGACTTTTTATTTAGCACATTAGGGCAAGATCGATTGTTTGAGATTCTTGCCTCGAAGCTACGGGTTAAGGTCCTCCACCCATTTAGCCAGCGGAATGGTACGGGCACGGAAACGCGCATTCTTCCGCCACAGACCAAGATCATTGAATCAGTGATTTACATATTGGTTCATATAGCAGCTAGTATACCACGTCACCGGCAACTAGTTATATCACAAACAGAACTGCTCAAGCAGTTGGCCAAGCTGTTTAATAATCAGGACAGAGAGGTGCGAGTTGCTCTGTGCCACTTGATTAACAACTTGACGTGGCAGGACAACGCCAACGATAGTCACGGGTGTTCACAGAGGGCTTCTGAGCTTAAGAAACTAGGCTTCCTGACAAAATTAGAGGCCTTGAAGGAAGGTGATGATGAACTTGACGTGCGGGAGCGAGCGAAATCAGCCTTATGGCAAATGAAACCGGCTTTTTAAGCTTTTCTTTCATGATGAATTGCCCTTGGGAGGAAGCACAATAATTCAGTGTACGATTTTTGCGACGAAGGGAAAGAAGGCAAGGCAAGACGACTTGGTAGCGTGCGAAGACTTCAGGATGAATGTATTCATAAGCCATGGAAGGCATTCTTGGCGCAGTGGCGTTACAAGGAAAAGGTCTATGTGAAAACATACCCCTTAAACCCATGGAATTATGTTTTTAAATGCGCTTTAGATACTATCAACTATGTGATTCTGGGCTTCTACTCCAGAGAAGTCGGGCATCTCACCGTCGCTCAGCAGCGGCTACCAACATTGATTCTATGTAATCTGTACCACACCAGCACATCTGCATGCAGCCTATCGCCAAAAGAGCTTTGATTTATACTTCACTATTGTCCATTTTGAGACTACCTATAGACCCGTTCACAGCCTCTGTTTAACCAAACAGCTAAGCAGGCACCCCTTTCCCACCTCGGCACACCGCTGATCCTCGAGTAGTAGATAGAACGTGCAACAAGCGAGGATGCTACGCTGGAGTATTTGCTCGGGGGCGGACCATGTACGCCGGGCGGAGAAGCAATATGTCTCTTACCTAAAGGTTGCGACGGTGCGAGCCAATGGCGTGAGAGGCGTGGGTGACACGAGTGACATGGTTTGCTAGGCTTTTTTTTCTTTTTTGCAAATACCATGCCTTAGCAAAGCGGGCATGATTCAGCGGCCGCATTTCCCCAATGTTCAAGAGCGAGCGAGTGGGAGGTCGCCTCGACGCCACATGTAGGGGACTCTTTGCCAATTAAGAAAGTGAGAAGTGAGGAGAATAATGCATCTGAAGATCAAGACAAGGGGGCCTAGGGAAGATCATTTGTCTTTTTATCACAATGTGATATTTGATATTCATTGTCTTATAACCTACCCGGGTTGCTTGCAGAGGAGCGGTTCGCTTCGGTGCTTGGAGATTTGATAGCTCTATTACGGATTACATAATTATTCGATCACTCATTTAAAGTAAATTGATTGATCGACCTAAGAATTCGAAGAAGGCGGAAGGTCCGATGAAGGTCGAACGAAAGAAAAACTCCGGATTGTTCGGCAGGTGCCGACTAATAATAAACCATTTAACAAGGAAAGTGGTCCGTGTGTCCGACCACACTAACGTGTAAGGACGTCTAAACAAGCTTGTCGAGCTTGTCCTTCTTCTTCCTACCAACTTTCAACTTCTCCAGAACTGCTGATTATTGGTCAATCTCGAACCAATTTGAGTATGTAATCGCAAATAAAGAAGAAGGTCCAAAAAAGCCTCGTCTGGTGGTATGACTACCGTGTCGTCGATCATCGTCTAAGACAGGCATAGCGTTGCATCTCGATAAATGGTCTATTCCGTCAAAGCCGGGGGGAGCTGCATGCAATTGAGGCTCTCAGTGGTCCAAACATTTCATTCTCCAACTCCCCTCTCTTCTAAGCTCCGTCTTAACCATCGGAGCATTAACGATAAGCCTAATGAATCGAACCAGAACCAAAACTAAAAACTAGGAGTGATCGACAAAATTAATCGAAACGATATCCTACTCTTGGAGTCGTTTATGAGAGGCATACATCGTTTCAAGGGAGCACAAGAAGACAAGGTGGTGTTCGATGTGATGGTAATATAATCGAGTTTTTCATCTCTTACAAAATCTTCATCGTAATCACGTCACGTCACGCCAAGTCGACGCCACTATGCATCTTGCCCAGTCGCTTACCTACCCTACCGGCCTTCATCGGATGTCGATTATCGAAGCTCCCCTGCAAGCTCCGGCATTCATTCACGATGTGAGCTTTATTTGGTGTTTCCACTACCTGTTCGGGATCGAACGTGGTCGAGCCTTCGGTGGGGACCTATCACTATTTTGAAATCGTGCATCTTGTGCTAGCTCATCCGATGCTGCCGTGAAGCAATCCACCAATGTCGCCATTTCCGCGACGAGGCCACGGCTATTGTTACATGCTACTCATCGCTAATACATGTAGTCCGTTGAAATCTTGACGCCATTGCCGAGATTTACTCATTCTTACTGACCCAACCCGGGCGAAAGTTACGCCCTTCTTTACTGAACCGTATTCTTCCCTCCAGCTCTCAAGATCATTTGTAAGAGAAGCTTGCCACCCCGAGTTCGCTTCGCTGATGCGTATCATTATAGATTTTGCTACGGAGAGCAAAAGGTATTTCTCAACACAAGTATGAGTATCGGTTTAAACCGGTGGCAAGCTGCCACGTTCTTGTAATGGCTGCTGAGTCCAGCAGCTGCCCCACACTAGGGCTGAAGGATCGTCAACCACATTGGCTCAAGAGCCATGTGCTACAGAGACTCTTTATTTCATGCCTTGTTTCCTTTGTTTTGGGTCAGAAGACACCGAGTTGCTCCGGGCTTCCGTATTATCGTTCCTAATAGAGCTCCGAGGGGGTAACAATGTAGTCTAGCTCATGCTATTAACGCATCACCATGGTCCCGTCGTGATCCGCCGCTCGCACTCTACCGGACCTTGTGGAAGATTCTATACAGAGGTAAGTAATGGTAAATCATATGATCATCTTAGCGGAAAACTTCGTGCGGATCTCGGCTTTAGCTACCACCGCATCCAAGTCCTTGGCTATTGAGTCATCGCCAATGACGGTTCCGAGCTTTGCGTGGTTGCAACTCTACCGCATTCGATCTTCGATGCTCGTGCAAGGGTAGTTGTTTTCTATTATAATACGAGCCTTGCCCGCCTTCGTTTTTCTACTCGCTCATCCAGCTACACAACGAATCACAGCAAGTCCCGTGATCCAAAGGCTATATCTGACATTCCCCTATTCACTTTGATAGTGATCACCCCCTATTTCGAACCACCCAGGCTTGCCTAGTAGGTATCAACAAAACAAATTAACAACGCGATGGCGATTCTATTACATCGTGCGAATGATGCCCTCAACATCAACCCCCCGAGCGGAGACGAGGCGCTGAGTGTAAACGGAAGCGACTGGTTATGGGCAGTAACGGCTATTTATGTTGTCTCGTTCATTGCCTTCTTTGCTACTAGTTTCGTGGCACGATCTGGTGAAAAGATCTTCCACTACCTCTTCACGATTGCCCTCCTCGTCGGTTCTATCTCCTACTTCGCTATCGCTGCTGATCTAGCCTATGTGGCCATTCCTGTTGTCAACTCCAAGCCTGTCGAGACATGGGTTCGTCAAGTCTTCTGGGCAGAATATGTCAACTGGGTTGTCAGCTACCCCGTCATTGCCATTGCTCTTGGTTTACTGAGCGGTGTCTCATGGGCAACTATCCTCTATAACGTTGCTCTATCATGGACCTGGTGAGTATTTCTGAAACTCGACGAATCCCCTTTATTACAAACTCGGCTAATCGGTATTAGGGTCATTTCGTATCTTGTCGCTGCCTTTACCACATCTAACTACAAATGGGGTTTCTATGCCTTTGGCACGACTGCTTGGGCTCTTCTCGCATTCAGCACTCTTGCGGGTGGCTCGACTGCGGCTAAGCGCGTTGGTGTCGCTAGAGACCGTATGTGCACCATTCTCATATTTACTCTCGAGAATCCCGAGAGCTATAAAAAATGGTATTTACTAACTGTTATATTGCAGACACCGTCTTATCGGGATGGGTCAACCTCCTATGGCTCTTGTACCCTATCGCCTGGGGTCTCTCGGACGGTGGAAACAAGATCGGCGTAACACCCGCTTACATTTTCTTCGGTGTTCTGGATGTCCTACTAGTTCCGGTCTTGTCATTCGTATTCCTATTCCTTGCCCGGAACTGGGACTATGGCAAGCTGAATCTCGCCTTCACTCGATATGGCCGCGTTCACCAAGCCGGTGAATTCCCCGAGAAAACCGCCACCGCTCCGGCGCAGCCCGTTGTCGGTGAGCAAGCCGCATAGACGGACCGAGTATTAATATAGGCTGTGCGACTTTGCGCCGCGTTGAACGTCGATTGCAGGTCTCCCGCAAGTCGCCCGATCCTTCCGCGTACTCGCCTTACTTCCCCCCAACCTCGTTCGCTGTCAATTATGGTAGGCTGGGCCTGTCGCTCTTTTATGATGTGATGATCATGATTCATCACGAAACTGTACCATCTAATGCGATCTTAATCAATCCAATCGGGATCTTGGATGGTCGCAATATTTATTATACCCCCTTCGCTCGTTATGAAAGATGGATGAGAAAGAGTCCCGGAATTATACCCTTGGTAATACTTAGGTGTTAAGGAAAGGAGAGGACATAGGTCCGGTAATTATTAATGGTCGTAGTAGTGGTAGTGTTGAGATAAATAAAATACCCCCTCGTTGCTTTTACATTTGCATGCGGAGTTTTCCTTCGTTGCTTGAATATTTACATAATGCAATGACTTGGTGTTTTGTTAAGCTAGCTGGCTAGTAGACTGGTAGTATACTCCACCTTATACTAGCGACATGGTCCGTCCTCGCTTAGCGAATTGCTCGACTGCGATGGGTTGGTTTATAGAGCTTCTTTGATACTTTATTCATATAAGCGGGGTTAGCTCAGCTGGGAGAGCGTCAGACTGAAGTCCACTTCACTCTTGCAATCTGAAGGTCATGTGTTCGATCCACATACACCGCACATTTGTTTTTTGTGGTTTCTTCTAGATTCCATATATTACTAAGTTCGTCTTTCTTTCTTTTTGTCGAGTTTCTAGATACGTCGTGTGCTGTATTGAATATACCTCCAAACATGTATTACTCTCTTCCTGCCCTCTCGTGGCATCCTCCTAATGTATCCCATCGGTAACCCTGTTATATCTCTAGGGGTAGCTTCAACTTCGATCCCTCGTCTATTAGTAACCGTATTGTGGCCGTCTCAATGAGCTAAGTAGTGAAGCCGTAGTTAATAGGAACTCAATAGACGCAAGGGTAGAGGTACGAAATCAGTTCAAAGAGGCACCTACCAAGTAGGCAAGGATCTAGCTACTTGTTTTTCTTAGTTTCGGCAGCCGCCAAAGGCATGAACAATGTCTCGATCAGCTAAGAACAAGAATTAGTGGTTGAACCTGATATATAGTCGCTGTAATACTCACCCATCTCTCTAACCCACGCTCATCACGGAATTTTTTGAACTCGTCATCAAGCCTACCTATTCACTCGTAAGCGTCGATGGTCTCTAATTTTAGGAGGTCTAGATCATGTACATACCCGCGAAAATGTGAGCGACTTTAGTAATGTCATCATTATTCTTGAGAGTATTGAGGAAGTCAACAGCTCGGTTTGATGACCCAATCTGGCCAATTAAAAATTTCACACCTATTCGCCATGAATCAGTTATCAGTATAGCAACGATACCCCGAATTTAGATGGAGAAAGCGTCGAAGACGTACTGTCTCGTGGAAATCCATCTTGAACTAGCCGGTCACCACACTCCACAATGACCTTCGCAAGCATGTCCTTAGATTCGGGCTCGGGGCCACCATCAGTGATAATAGTGATTAGGAGCGGTCTCTCAAGAGCTTTAGCTTCAAGCCTGCTGTAGACAAGTGGTTCAAGGATTCTCTCTTCTAAGGTCGTGCCGATGTTGGTATTACCTTTCGGGACTATAGAGCTGATGCTGGTCCCTATGCCCTCGAGGTCTAGGCTTGTAGAATTGTCTGTTTCGTTATTGATGAAGCGAAGCGCAACACCTTCGCCGTCGGGGAGGATTCGAGTAGTGGTCCTAGCAATTCGGAGAACAAGTTCCTTTTGGTTTCCCCAGCGGTTTTCTTCTTTGCCCTTGTTGTTAGTCATTGAACCGCTGTCATCTATGCATGATTAGAGAAAAAGCTTAAGTTAAAATGCTAACTAGAGCTAGATACCAACTTACCACAGTAGATTACCTGCTGATGCATGGTCACTTGGGTCGTCTTTGGCAGAAGCTCTGGGCTGCCCAGGTCCGTACTCGAGTCCTTTGCAAGGTCCACAGATTTTGGGCTAGGTCCTGAATGAAATTCTTTTTGTCTTTGAAGAAGGTGTTCAGCACGGGATTATCTTTTACATAGACGTCGACATTCCTGACAAAATCCTCTGGAGTGAGCTCCTCTGGGCCAGGGTTTACACGCTACAACTCAGTGTTAATGGCCTCCGATAGGTATTGTTACTTTATTTTGGATCTCTCATACCGAATCGATGCGTGGGTTTTCCTCGCCGCTCAGCCCAAACACCCGTACTACAATTCCATCCAAGAGATACCCTACAGTGAAAATGATGTAAAGTATGAATGTTACTACATCAGAAGCAACTCGCATAAGGTCAAATTGTTCCTTGGAAGGGTCCAGTGCGCGGAGGATGGCCTTGTTCCCGGTGTTCTGAGCTACCTCTTTCGCATTGAAGCCGTCATTGTTTTTTATTTCGAGGCTTGCACCAACTCTTCGCAGCAATCTAACCGTTTCGATGTCAGCCTTCTCAATGGCATACATCAACGGAGTATTATTCATGGCGAGACCACAGGTTTTGTCGATGGATCGGGGTTTATGACGGAGGAGCGTCTGTACGATCAGCGGACGCTCGTTCTTCGTCTTCCAAGTAGCGAGGAGAGGCGTCTCGCCATCTTTGCAAGGAAGATCAACATCTGCGCCTTTCAGGAGGAGTTGGTCGACTTGTTTCTGAAATCCAGATACTCCGGCGGTTACAAGCAACGTCCAGCCTGAGCTATCTTCTCTCATGTTAATGATAGTCGAATTAGGTTTGAGCCAACTGTTGAGCCTGGCTCTAGTAAGGATTCCCTTACGAGCATCTTCAAAGATTGACATTTTCACAGCTGTAGGTCAAGTGATGGAAAAAAGGAGAAAAAAGGAGAAAAAAGAGATGAACATCAATAAGGCGGCCTGTTCGATCTTACCGCTACCCCTATAAGGTATGAGGTATTGTGGCAATACTGGATGTAGTGAAACACAGATATGTAGGTAGGTATCTAGTAGGTAGGTATCTATGTACTAGGTATATGTGGCTTACAGTAGAAGAAGACTACTGGTTGAATGACACGCCTCCGATGCCTCCTACCGTCTCGGAGTATCCTAAACATCCGGCAGTCTTCTTGTTGAGCTGTTAGGCTCTCTATGAAGCAAGTAAAGCAAGGCAAAGCACCCTACAAGAAAAATTAACTCCTTCCAACCCCTTTCCAACCCCTTTCCAACATTTCTAGGTCGAATTTGAAATATGGAACAGGTTATCCAAGTTTTCAAATCTCAGAGTATTCTAGTCCTGGAACCCGGACAGGCCGAGTACAGACATGCCATCGCCACTTCAAATCTCCTGTACCGCTTCTCCAAACCCGATTGTGTGGTCCAACCAAAGAACGCTATCCAAGTCCGGACCATTATCAACGAAGCCAAATCAAAGTCGATGAAAGTCACCATCAAATGCAACGGTCACTACGCGGGTTATTCGAGAGCCTTTGGTGATATTTCCTTGGATCTTAGGGGAATGAATAACGTCGAGCTCGATATGAAGTCCATGACCGTGACTATAGACGCAGGTTGCCAGTGGGATGACGTGTACAAAAAATTAGTCACCGGTGGCCACGATGGAGTTATCATCAATGGTGGGCGATGCCCAACTGCTGGTGTGAGCGGTTTCATTCTCGGCGGCAGCCCCGGACCATTCACTCGTAGCTTCGGAATGGGTTCCGACAATCTCATGGAAGCTACCATTGTGACTGCCGAAGGTGAGCTCGTTACCGTCGGGGAAGGGGATGATAGTAATTCAGACAAAGGCAGGCTCTTCTGGGCTATACGCGGTGCTGGTGGCGGCAATTTTGGCGTTGTAGTTCAGATGAAGTTGAGGGTCCAGAAGCTAAGCAACAGAGAGTATGTAACGTCAAGAGTTCTTTTCTTCCCCCTATGACTTATCTTGGGAGAAAACCCCTTCCAATTAAGATGACTGGAAAGTTCTTACTCACAAGACTCAGAACTCTCCTATACAAAAGGATTTACTAACTCCTATTATTGCAGTGGAATGGTAGTAGCAGGGAGATACCAATGGTTTCCCCCGGGTGGCTTCAATGTCGAGGATATTACTACCATGAACGAAATCTACACGGCCCAATGGCCCAATAATCTGACCATCGATACGACATGGATATGCGACCTCCGACAGAACAAACCAGTCGGGGTTCGGTTCATCGTCTCGTTCGATGGTAGCAAGGACGAATATGACAAGGAGATTGAAAAAAACATTCCAAATTCTAAACTTAAAAATCAGTTCAAGCAAAGAGTGCTTGCCGAGAAGTCGACACGGTTCCTGTACGAGACGCTCGGGGCTCAGTGGATGGAGGATACCGAGAGAGGATATCCCACCAACAAGATCTACAAGCTCTACCGCTCCTTTATTTTTAAAAATGATAAGGAAGGCATAGCTAAGATCACAGCCATTATTAGAGACTTGACAACCACTTTCCAGAAAGACTTCAAGGGCGAGAATGTCAACTTCCTGGTCACTTGGATTCATTCCGGCGGCAAGGCAGCCGAGAAGAATCCAAGCGAAAGTGCCTTCTTTTGGCGCAAAGCTGTCTTCCACACATATGTCACGGTGGAGTGGGTCGATAAGTGGATGGAGAGAGATATGAGGTCTTTCCTAGAAAATGTCAAAGTGGAACTAAAACCCCTATCTCTGAATGAGAAGGCCGGGACCATCGACTGCCCAGATGAGGACCTTTCAAAAGATTCTCATGGAGAGGCGTATTTCGGAAGCAATTACTATGAGCTACGGAAAGTGAAACAGATGTGGGATCCGAACAGCTTCTTCGAGTGGGCTCAAGGCATTCAGTGCGCAGGTAACCCAAAGGAAGATACTAAAGATAAGACAGATCAATTCGCGAGCCAGCATTGGGAACGGCGGCGGGAACAGCGGTGGACGTATTATACGGAAGACTGAATGATCGAGCTAATCTACAGCATGAGGAGGATGATCGAGAAATAAGAGGCTATCCATAGTGCAGTTATTAATCTAAGACTATGGATGTATTTACCTACTAATGTACAGAGTAGAGTCCCTAATAGAGATTTCAAGGTTGCTGTTCTATCGAAAAATTGAATGCTGAAAACCCGCCTTTCTCATAAATGAGTCCAATCAAAAACTACGGGGATATCGGCCTTTTCGGATATAACGGGACTACCGCGATAGAAAAGTTTAATAAGATAATTTGTCAAAAACATTTTTCTTATTTTTTTTCTTTCTTTTTCTATCTAAATTAGTCAAGTTATGATCCATGTCGACACGTTCCACAAGAATTATAGAAGACGAAGAAGGCAAGATGGCCGAGCGGTCTATGGCGGTAGATTCAAGAGAACTTCTCTTGTCTCCTCAAAAGAGAATCCTACTCCCGAAGGGGGCCGGGGTTCGAATCCCCGTCTTGTCAGTCTTCATTTTTTTGGTCTTCAGGTCGTGAGAAGTGGAGTTGGCTTCAATCCGGCTGACTGAGAAGACCGCGATGTAAATTGCGCGCTGTCCAAACGTCAAGCCTTATTAACAGCTTAAATGGCGGCATGATGAGTTGAGACAGCATTGTTGCTGCTCTGGACACGAGAAACTAGGACATGGTTGATTATCTGAAAGAAGAACCTAGATTTTATGTACACGAAGGCCAAGTAGGTAATTCTAAAATTTTGGTTTGATAAATGAATAGACTTACATCGATTTAAGCTCGCGCTGACCCTGATATGCATATTGAAATAGCCGATTAGGTTTTGTATCAACCTGTTTGCAATCTCGTATCCGGCTATGACCGGCAAGCATCAAGTGATCATGATTAAGGAAGACCAAATGCCAGATAACTCAAAAGAAGAGAACATTCCGTTTATTTTAAGTGTATCGGTGATTTGTTTGGCGACTTCATCAGATATTATGGTCGAAGCAGATACCTGCTTAGGTATCTCCTCACACATCTAAGACGGCTTTGAATACCTCGTCTTTTCCGAATTCATAGTGGAACAATCATAAGTCTCTTTCTACCATCGTCGTGGGGTACCTTCGACATCGCAACATTCCAAATATGGTGTCACTTCCCATCGTTATCCTCCCTATTCTCATATGCGTGAGGCGATGTCGCGCACAACAAGAGGAGACCGATATGCCTGTACCAGCTGATTTCCCGAAGGCTTTCATCACGGCGATGGCCGTTGCCATCATCTGCGTAGTCATTGTCCTTACGCTAGTCTGTGTCCTGGCTCACTGTTGGCAATACATCTTGAGATATAAATGGCGTGACGTGAAGTCCCCCTTCCGAACCCCTGAGAGATGGGTCGACCCAGTTTTTGAGTGGCCGCAGCAGTTGATGCCACGGTCAAGGAATAACAGGAAGAGGCAAAGACAGAGACGGAGACAGAAGCAAAGACCGGTAGAGAAAAGAATCTTTACTTTTGGGATGAGAGACGAGAGGAGCGAAAGTCGAGAAGGGATACTTGGGGAATGGACACAGGATGAGAGAGTAAATATGAGTCCGTGTGGGAACGCTCAGCCGAAAAACCCAGGCGGGAGGGTTACTTGTTACTTACCTGAGTTTAGGTAGGCGTGTAGTAACTTGATATACTACAATGGACGATGCGCTATTGCTCTCGCTACTATAATTGATAGGGGCGTAAAGTAGGTACCTAGCAGCCAAACCGAATAATCTAATATCGTTTGAGGCGATGTTCCCGAGCTGATTATTGACATTTCTTGAGAACGGTTAGCGCCTAGCACATGAAATGAGAGTGAGTGATGTTTGACCGCCAACCAAACGTCTCACAAACTAGTTTCGGCTACCGAGATGGCCGTGCAACGTGGGAAATGCAGATAGCCAGGAGGGCTTCGACCTCTAGACAAGTATGATGACGACGAATCACTCCATGTCTGAGTTGAGCAACGTAGACTGGAGGAGGGATATGTTCTGGCAGACGAGCCCCTTTAGCAACGTCGGCTCCGAAATTTATTCTCCAGGAATCAAGTAAGGGTCTAAGCTCCCTGTTTCCACATGTATGGAAATCGATCTAGTGTAACGTTCTTGGTTGCTGTGCCGCATCTCGGACATCAAGCAGAGTGGTCTGGGCACGGAAAGTTGGGTATGGAGAATGCCACAACCGATGCCGGCACCGACGAGTATCGAGAACTCGTAGAATTTTACTGTACTGCGTAATAGGATTGAATGGTCGGCTACCTATTTGCATGTTGTGGTAGTTATCGGACGGAATCTTACTGATGTAAGACGACTAATGACGGCCGGCCACTCTCCAATCTGCTGTGGACAAGACTGTGCTAGGTAGCCCGGGAAGGTCAATGTATCCTATTAGTAACTCGCAGCTGTAGAAAGAAGCGAACGATGCTACACGACAGGTAAGAAAGGGTGACTAGTCATGTTAGCCACTTCGTTAGTCCTGTTGGTATTCGAGTGAACATCTCATGTAGGTAGCCGGTGCAGGTCGCAGGCGGCTCGGAGTTCTATTGCTAGAATGAAATTGATACTATTGTCTGTGAAATGTGGTTGGCTCCTATTTCCTGTTAGAGATCGACACGTTTGACTCTCCTAGTAGGTCGCTAGGTAAAGTAAGTTCTCTTAAGGGCAGAACGCCATAAAGCGCTAGGTGTTTCTAAACGATGCCTACTGGGCTGCTAGGTAGCATGTTTAGAACGCCTGGTTTTTCATTTTTTTTTACTAGAATGAGGCTAGTTTAATATAGATGGTGTAGCTTGATTACGAGTGTCGATAGAAGGTACTCGTATTCTCGTTCGGCAATTCGAAGCTATTGTTTTGTGTTGTTCTATGCGTTGGCGTTGACTTTTCTCGCGTGGTTCTATCGTCAACGGAGCTTCGCGTCGATCACCGAAGTCAATAAGGGCACATATGCACATGGCAGACATGTCGCGGCTGGGTTCGGAGCGGAAATGATGCTTCGAGACAGCTAGCACGTGGTCTGGAGATCAGCCCAGTGAATTGTTCTGCATAACCTTGTTTCTTAGGGGCGATGATTTGAGACATACGGAAACTCAACTTGGTTCTCTGGTAATTTTAATGATATGAGCCGCTTAGATTTGCGTTCGTCATCGTTTTCAGTTTGTCGACTGATGCCCAAGTGATCTGAGAATGTCTAGTAGGTACAGCATCAGCGCGCTTGGAACAACTGATGCCGCTAACCTGGCTGCCTGGGCTCCGTGGCGTTTGGGGCGCTGGTTTTTGCGTAATAGTAGGACAGTGAGCAATTTTACTGGTTAAATAATTGGATATATGGTGCTGTCGAGTCAGTAGGTATACCCAGAGGAAAGGACCGACAGGGTTTCGGCCGTACGTGTGTGAGGCAATGATCTGGACATAACCTATCACGATGATAGATGCAGCCTTGATCGAAACTAAAATCGTACATAGTAGGACGAACTAACGGACCAGCGGATCAACGAACTAATTCTAACGATCCATCCCAACAGCGGTGTCTCTGGTTTGCCCCGGACTCTTATTAGGCGGCTCTCCCAACCCCAAGGTTAACCTTAGCAAAGTGCCGGCGACGGGATAGATGTCGTCTCATGTTGACATCAGATGGTGATGAGTGCATTTTAAGTACCGCTTGTCAACGTGTCATAAGAACTTAACAGGACACCGTCTCGGTAACTTCCAACGCATTCAGGGTTGGTTCAGAAGCCCGCCGAAAGCTTAAGTCCCCAACTCCTCTCCACGCGAAAGCTTCCGTTCCTGATCGTGGGGCGCGTATTCCATACTACATAGGGCAACTACCACGTATTGATCGTAGTTATTGCATTGTAGGAGACGCGAATAGACCCAGATTTTGCTTTTGATCGGGACGCCGCACATGACACTTGATGATTCGCGACTGACGGGAAAAGGGGATCAAGGGGATCACCTCGGTAGCGACTCCGAAAGTGCAACGGTACATGATCTGAAGCACAGATGGCGCTTGAAGATCCTAGATACTCGATACTCGAAGGCTTTAGAAGGGGTTTGCATATGAAATTATTTTAATACTTACTACATACCTAGTTGATAAGCCACTTAAGCAGCCCTGTTTCGGCAAACTGGTGGGCTGGCAGGATGGTACAATTGTGAGCTGTAACAAACACATAATAGTCTTACTTGCTCAGGTATACATACTGTATCAAGGATTGTAAGATATTAGACGAGTTTGGTGCTATCTCCTCGGAGTTGTCATTGAATACTTTGGTACCTACCTATATACGTTTGTACTTACATACAAAGGATACGCGGCAGACTTTGCTACATTTCTAGATGTAAGCTTGATGCCCTTACTAATGAACTGCTGTGGATGTATATGAAGAAGCTCTGAATATCATAAATATTTGGTATATGTAAAGACTGGTAATTCTGAAGTTGTAACCCTGTTTCATGAGTTCCATGTAGGGAACTGACAGCCTGGGCAGCATGGATACCTCGTGGACCGGATGATTTACGAAATATGCTGTACATATTGACGAGGAACCATTCCAGGCTATGGGTGAGATTAAGATGGGTTTAGTGAGCTACTCCTACACATGGCATGTACATCCGTTCTGTACCTTTCTATTTTCTATTTTGTAAAATACGACTCATCATAAATGATTTCCACCAACATGATCTCCACGCAAACATAGTTAGGTACGTGCAAGACACGCTAGAAGCTGGTTGGGCAAGCCGGGAAGAAGAGAAAGAATATAATAGAAAAGAAGCAAGAAAAAAAGAAAAGAAAAGCAAACAGCGTCTCATTAACTGCCACGATGTTTGATAATCATCCACAAATATTATTAGTATGTACAAAAAGGTAAGGATAGCCACATATTTTCTTTTATTTCCATCGAGGTTCATCAGAATATTATTTCGTACGTTAGCTGGTTAGGTACTAGGTAGGTATGTTGGTACTATACGATTCCCGTGGATAAAACCTATAATTTAATACAGAGTAGTTACATACTTACATGTAGGATCATTGTCTGTATGGGATGAGAATTACGCGAGTCATAAGTACGTACTACTACAGGTAGCCCGTGCTTTTGCGTACTGTAATGTCGGCTCCTCCCGCCTTTACGGTAATAAGTATTAATGGGGGAAAGAAGACGGCAGGACGGGTCGCGGGTCCACGGGTTTACGGGTCTGCTATTTTGGCGCCGCCGCTAATCAAGATCAACTTTACCAAGACCCTTGAAGCCACCAAGAAGCCACTAAGAACCTACTAAGAACCTATTAAGAATTGAGCCTTGGTGCCTTATTTTTCAAGACAAAAGTTCTTTAAAACGCGAACTGCTCAGCCGTTCAAACTTCGGATGAATGAAAGAAAAAAGTTCCTGGCTCCTGGAAGAGTTCAATGTTGTTGGTTGGTCTGCCGCCTAGTTGGGTTCCACTGGATTACACATTGCAGCGCTGCGGTCCTGCACCATTAGACACACATCAATCCCCAGTAATGGATGACGGATCAGATGTATACATATACAGTACGGACTATACGTTTCGACACCGTCTCCGGTCCAAGGAGGCGGGACTGGGTCAAGATGATTGCTAACGAATGAAACTCGTTCGGGGATTTCTGGCCGGCGTGAAATTGGGTGGAGGACCTTCCATTCTTATACAAGCCGCTTGGACAAAAAGTTCCTTATATCCCTGTCCCTGGAGTTGGCTGTTGGTCCTATTGGTCCCAGCTTGCATTCAGGATGCAGTCAGGATGCACTGTGAACACTGTGAGCATGACTTTCCCAGACATGGATCAAGCGAGGGAAGGATTTGGGGTTTTCTATCCACTCTATCCCACTAGAACCCACACCATCCTATAGATGATTAATCTCATTGGCGAGACTCGACCCACAGGTAGGGAACCAGACGCAATCAATCTCCACTTTGCCATCCCGGTTACCACTTTAAACCTTCCCGTACCACCCCGGTTGATTTGCTCGGGCCAATCCCATCAAGTCTACCTGCCATCGCAAACCCAAGCCCACCTCCCCAGCTCCCTTGCTCTTGCCAGTCCCTCCCCCAGTACTCGTGCTATCGCCCAATCTGCCAAAAAATCTCACTAGTAACTTGGGGCAGCTGCTGGGACACCCTCTTGCTTCTCAGTGGCTCCCACGCTTTCTGATTTCCCAAACCAAGCCCACTTAGAGCCCACGCTAGACTGGCCTCTCCCTTCTTTGCTTGCCTGGCCCGGCTCATTTCTTCTTTTTTACTCTACACACTTTAAACTTTCGACCGATCATCCTGACGACAAAACTCAACCAGGCCCATCAGATTCACAGCCTGTGAGCTTACTTCTCGTCGTCGGTAAGGTCGAAATAAAGGATAGTTCAGACCGTCGAACTTGAGTAGAATTTCGGCGCCAATCCACGAATCAAGGACGTCGAGACAAATTCCCGGTAAAGGTCGCTAAAAAACGTTGTCAGTCAAACCAGTCAACCACCGTCGAACCCGTCATTTGCTGCCGATCGCCCTGCATCGTTCTCGAGTTGCCTCGCGCTAGAAGCAGAAGCCAGCGCTTCGGGTTCCTTTCAAAACAAACTTTATCCTCGACCCAATTTGACGGAATTTTCTTCCTGCTTTCGCCAAGACAGTTTCCTTCATTTATGTCCGCCAGCAACCTAGACCTAATCCCATTTTCCTGGTTCTGGCTCTGATCCTGCTTCAACTGACGGTCCGAACGTTTGGGTCCCGTTGGATTGCCGGTAGGATTAGGCTTGACAACGCCTTAAATTCAACTCATCATTATTAAACCTATTTTTATTTTATTCTTAAAAAGGGAAGAATACAGCATATGATCAAGATGCTTCCCATTCAGGTACGTCGCAATAATAACCGATCCCGATAAGATTCTTAGCGACACAACTTTGTTTTATTTACAAACTCAATCCCATTTGATTTTCATCCGAAATCCCCTTCTAAACCGTTAAGCTCGCCGTGGCACGTTCGACGGTAATCGTTCAAAACTGATATTTGATTATGATTTAGCCCGAGTCAAACATGGCCAACGCCATGGCGCCCCAAGCTGACAGCAGGATGTATGCCCGAGAGCACCGCATCACTAAGGGCGGTAGGCATCTATGGTACCAATTGGAAGTTCTGCAGCAGCCCGAGCGTGCGAGAGCATGTGGTTCTGGTCCCAAATGTATGGTTAACCGCTCGCCACGTTTCTGGCCAATAACGAGTTTCAATTTGTGACTGACCGAGAAATAGCTTCTGCCGATCGTCGGCCTGTTGACCCGCCGCCTGTTGTCACTTTGAGAGTCTTTGAAGGAGAGCATTTTGAAGGAGCAAGAGATATTACATTCGATTACAATGTCGACTTTTTCTGTTACGCATCGCTTGAGCACGCGCGTCCCATGGCTCACGGAAGGGTACAAACTCCCGCGGCTACGTCACCTCCCGTTCTAACTGGATTTCCTGTGTCGGGATGCTGTTATCTCGATAGACCTGACCCGGCTGGTTACTTCTTATTCCCGGATCTTTCAGTTCGACACGAAGGACGCTATCGACTAGTGTTTAGTCTATATGAGTTGATTAAGGAGGAACAGGACCAGGACCGCGATGCTCCACCCCAGGATCACGAAGATGGCATGTCGGATTTGAATGCGGGAAATGCGAACCACCGCATGGATCTTAGATCGACCGACTTCATTGTCTATAGCGCGAAGAAGTTCCCTGGCCTGACCGAGAGTACGTCGCTGAGTCGTACCGTTGCAGAGCAAGGTTGCCGTGTCCGTATCCGACGTGATGTGCGCATGAGGCGACGTGACACGAAGGCAAATGCTGCCAGTGAATACGACAATAACGCAGAAGACGAATATGCCAGGCGTCGGAACCGAACACAGACTCCGGAAACCTACCGCGCCCGTTCCATGAGTAATTCTAGCATGGATAGAGCCAGCTACGTTCCGGATCATCAGCGACGTCCCTCGAACGCCGAGTATGGCCCGCCTCCTCCCCCTCTGTACCAGAACGGCGGCCCCCAACCTTCGACTATGCTTAACTTTGGTCATGGCGGAAACGCTGGTTTCGCTCAGCCCTACGGACCTGCGCCGACTTCTGGTCAATCTACACCAGTGTCTCCTGCTGCGCCCATGTTTCCCCAGAGTAACAACTTCCCGCCTCCACCGCCATCACCTAGTTATGTAAACCCTGGTTATCCACATTACGACTCTGCTAGCGATCAGGAGATGAGAAGACGATCGTCGGCGAGCTACTCGACTATTTCTAATAACCCTCCTGCTCCATATCCTCTCTCCCGAGCTCCCCCCAGGCCTCCTACTGCGTCATCTATCGGACCTATGCCTTCTCTCTCGTCGCTAGTGAACAGCCCGAAGATGTCACCAAGCCACTATTCCGACCGATCCTGTTCCATATCAGCACTTTCTAGGCCTACCTATGTCCAACCCGAGCCGCGTTCCATGAAACGTTCTATCGATGAGCTTACGACGAGCACTCAGCAAGGCCGCAATGTTAATGGCGATCGCCCGTCGATCGACTATCCCGGGGTCCCCTTTTACAGGCGTGCCGATGGCTCAGAAAGAACAGCCGTCTTCCCCGAATCTCTCACGTAGTAATTCTAGCATGTTCATGGATGTTACGAATGACCATGCTTAGGGTATGTTTGCATTGGCGTTAAGCGTTTAACGGCGCCAATGGTTTTTTAGGCCCTCGCTTTTGTATATATTCCAGGGCCATCCTCGTTGCTGGCGCTTTTCCTTTCTTTTGTCTTCGCCATTTGATCCCATCACTCATTCATATTGTATACACCATTCCAGCATATTAGACATCTAGTTACGAGATGCCTTGCAATATCTATGCAAATTTCCTTCGGATGTATAGGGGGTTTATAACTTGAGGTCACTAGAGTTCACCATGGTCGTAAGGTTCTGCACGCAACAAGGCAGACGGTTATAGGACGGTGCCGATTTGGCAGGGTGTGGTTTTGCTGAAGACACAACATTTGATGTTGTAAGCATGTCTGGGTGTTTGCGATACCAAGGTCGCCACTTAGCTGACCCTTCAGGCTCAGCTTCCGAATTTCACGTGTTACTTTCGGGGGTTAAGTGACCAACAGCGGTGCTTTTGTATATATATGGAGATAAAAATCTACACCTTTTAAATAATGCAACATGGAATCTAGCGATGTGTGAATGAGGACTATTTTGCTGATATATCCCCTCCCTAGAATTGTTGCGGTCCAGTATCAACCAAACTTAGGTAGAGGTCAGGCAAGATATGTACCTCTTCAGCCCCTTATCATAAACCAGTTTTTCTGAAGCTAAGGATACATATTTATATTAATTATTCCCAGGGCCAAGTAGCGAATGTTATGGCTCAGCTTGAAAATCCATTAAATTAGCGACAAGGCATTCTACAGGCGTCATGATTCCCATGAAAACAGATTCTTGATGTGTATATTGGTCTCGTAGCAAGGCAGTTCATTATGTGATCAACAATCACATACCTCTACCGCGGTAGGGAGAGCAAGGCCTCAACGGAAGCAAAGAGAATATTCTCTATTCCCCAAGCTTACGTATGTAGTTCACTCCGATAACTCCCCATTGTATCCCCTGTTCTTTGTCTTTCTTTTCAAGTCAGCTTCGAGAAGCATGCCAATAACTAAACCTGCCCGGAATCAGGGAGTATTCTGAAGAACAGAAAACAGTAGTCAAGAAATATCTTGGGTGGAGCAACAATATTGACTCGATGCCATGTGTATGTAGGGCTACAGACTACAGTATCAACTTGGTTCAGTTCGCTTAATGATCTAGATTTGGATCAATGAAACGATTTCCCAGTTTCGTTTCTAGCACGGGACATAGTGGATTTCGGGAATGACTTGCTGATATGAACCCTGGAAGCTTGTTGATTCTGCTACGGATTAGATCAAGGGATGGCCGAGGCGTAAATAAACCAAGGCGATAGATCATAGATTATTGTGGTCGAGAAGAGTCAATCCGCGATGATCCGCACTAGAGCGGATAGTGGATCTCGAATGTGACAAAGTAGCTAGGTACCTGTTCGTACTGTCAGTATATCTGTAGGTGCATAGGTACATAGGTACACAGTAGATACTACCTTGCTATTACCGAATAATTAACCATTTATTCAAACTTGGTTCGGCGGGTACCTACCTTAATTAACCCCAATCTCCAAGTTGCAGATTCCGTTGCCCCCCGACCCACATGCAATTACCGACTAGGGTAGATATTAAACGAGTATTGGTCGATTTTTAGCCAAAGTAAACAAAACTCACAAATCTCAATCCCAATTCTGGCTTCATCCTCCACCGCTTTTTGGAATGACTTCTTCCACCACTCAACTTCTATCTTTGAAGCCATCAATATAGTCGCTGCAATATGGCCTCAGATACTCGTAGGCCTCAGACCGAGTATGGCGGCTCTCGTCCACCCATGTCACGCTTCTTGGAGGGGTCTATGAACGACCGAGTCAGCGCTACACCGCCGCCACAATATCTCGGCCCTGAGGAGTTAAGGGAATATGAGAAGCAGTTCTACACTGACAGGCCTATGCCACAAAGCGAGCCGCGCAAGCCGCGCCGCCACCGGCCCTTCTCCGAGAGCAGTGTGCCAGAAACCAACGAACATGACCGCATCATAACCCATAGAAAATCTACCAGTTTCTTCGAACGTGTCCGTGAGGCATTGAGATGGACCTCGTCTTCTCGCAGCAGTACGAGCTCCCACAAACAGGACTCTGTGAGAAAGCACACCAGCTTGCAGGAAGTACCGCTCTCTCCAAGATTGGACAATCTTCGAGCGGCTAAGTCACACCCCGAGATACCTTACCACAATCTTCCGGAGCTGCCCAACTTCGGCAGTGGTGCTAACCGCCCGACCCGGGAGGATGTCATGCAATCGTACAGCCAATTGATGGCTTCTGGATTCTTCCAGTCACATGCCATACAATCCACTCGCCACGCCGGCCCAGGAGCCCGCGACGATAAGCGTCGTCCGATACCACAAATGCCTACAATCCCGGGCTCCGCGCCTTGCACTCCAAAGACTCCACGTATCTCATCTATAGAATTTGTCGAGTCACCGAACTCATTCCAAAGTCCGACTAAAGCAACTCGACGAGAACGAACAGTCATGAGACTAGAGCCAGAGCATGAGCATGAGGACGAGCTATATCATGCAGTTAAAAACAATAATTCTCGCCATAACTCTCTTCGTGGCCGTAAGCGAAATCGAGTAGACACGGAAGAAGTGGGAAGTCCCGAAGTACCAGGAGCTACAACATCATCATCCTTTGCCCAGCCACTTAAGAGAGTGGCCAAGAAGCTACGCAAGATGCCGTCTTCGGCCAGAGATGTGGAGATGTCAGATGCCATGGTCAGCCTACCGCCTTCAACGTCTGTCGGCGGTACAATGTATCTTAAGGAGAGACCGGTGCGTATGCGCGAGCCCTCCCCGACACCGCCGGGGGTTAGCAACAGACGCACCGACTACCAACATCATGGACATTTTCAGCCCAAGCCACGCAGGACGCTCTCGGGCAGCAGCAAGGGAGAAGGTAACAGGCTTAGAAAGCGTGGCAAGTCAGGCTCTCATCGATCACGAGATCTGGGATTTGAGACTTGGGAGATGGAGGGTGAACGCCGATCCTCGGATAGCATCCATCAAGATTCGACGTCGATGAGCGAAGCTGAAGCAGCGCAAGAGTTGGCTCGATCTCGAGAAGCTACATCCCTACGCATCGTACCTGACGTAAATCGTGGTATCCCCTCAGTCCCACGTATCCCAGATCAGTACCACTTCTACCACAAACCGAACTCTCACTACGATTTCGAGAATGAAAATGAGAACGAGAATCCGGAGTGGAGATTTGGTGAAGCCTTATAAACAGAAATTGCTGCAAACAACCGAATAGTAAGAGGAGGAACATAGCCGGAAAACAGACGACGGCGGTGATATTTTGACTTTCTGGATTCGTTGTTTTTATGAATTATGACGACCGCTTACGAGAAAGCAAGTACGAAAGGAAAGCACGGCGTTTGCTTCGACATCATTCCGGATGGATATATCCCTTGCTTTTTCATCGTTGTTGTTTTTTTCCCATTTTTCCATTTTCCTATGATGACGAAAAGATAAACCTTACGAGCATGACCTTACGACTACCTTTCTTATCTGCATCTCCCTGAACATCGGCTCTGACCCTTGGACCTCACACCTCGACCTCGACTACCCAGACGGAGGCGAAGATCGGAGAATGATTTTCCTCTTCGTGTACGACACTTACAAAAACCAAACTACCAACCCACACACACAATCAAGGGCTTTGCTTATCTTTCACGGGACGGGCGTATTTGCGCAGGGCCATACCACAAGCCGCTGCTACCCGGAACCCTCACGACCGGCGTTATTTCTCAAGTCTTTTTTATCAAGTGCGAAATTGGTTGGCACGGAACAGAACGGAATGGGATCGGGATCGACTGGGGGGCGGGCTTTGACTTGTAATTATAATACTAGCACGAAGGGCTACGGCAGTTATGATTCTACGGCAAAGGGTTACGTTACGCGGCGCTAAAGGACATGACATACCTAGAGTACCTGGTCTACTTATTCGCTGGTAGGAGACTACCTGAACCAATAGGAGCTTGTCTATAGCACTTCTGCGGTGTTTTTTTTTTTTTTTTTTTTTTTTTTTTTTTTTTTTGGTTGTTGTGCGTGATATTCGTCGTGACTTTGTTCGTTGGCTTTTCCATTGCTAGCGCGTAGGTGACGAGATCCTCGTTGCGTGTCCTCGTTACATGTTTGTCGCTGATTGTATATTGAGTATACGAATGTTCGTCTATGAAGTATACTATCCCGGTATGCTATAATTAGTCAAATGGGCTGGTAAGCTTAGCGTTGTCCTATAGGCGACGTGATACCCTGACTGTATAAAAGCCTGGGTAAGATATTATCGTGCTGACGTCGTAAACGGTCCGTAAGAAATCATGTGCTACTAACATTTGGTTAATTACCACCTACCTATTATATTAATTCGACGATGACGGCTAGCGTACGAGGCGAATTTGTACTTCGCGAGTATTGGTACTTGACTCGTTCGTTTAATCTACGGCCTACGGATTTATTTAAAGCACTATCATATCAAGCGCGTAGCATGGAAACGTTACGTTTTAAGTGAGATCTGTATATTAACGAGCCCTTAAACCGATTCAAGGTCTATCAGGTGCTACACTAGCCACACTTAACGAGCCGAGCCATCGCGCCGCGCCGTGAAAATATGCGATTCGCCTCGCCTGGCTCGCCACAGCCCCTTTACTCAGATCTATGAGTGTAAGTAAGAGCAAGAGCAAGTAAAAAAAGAAAAACCGCGTGCGACCTCCGCGAGGAAGAGTCCCTTTCTTCTTTTTATACCACGGCTAGATAGTTCCCTATGAACCGTCCGTGAACCCGTTGAACCCCGTTGCCTGCCGTTCCTTAGTCGAACCCCGAAAACCCAACTCCTAGGACATGCAAACCTATGCCGTTTCTCGCGAGAAAGTCTGTCTCGGTAAGGAAAGAAGGCGAAGGGGAGAGAAAAACACAAAGGGAATGTGAAAGAAATTGATTCACCCCGAAGACAAAATGCCCGCCGTTTCTCATGGTATCATTGCCGCCTTCGCCTGGATGATGAATGAGAAAATATCTATTGTACAATGCAGAGTAGGTGTTAGTGAGTGAGTGGAAGTTTGTGCGTCGTTTGTTTCCATGGGTATCTGATTAGCGGAAACGAAGTGCCCTTTAGGCACTACGGTCGACCGTCCTCGTAGGCTTGTAACCGGGAACCTCGTTGAACCATTCCTTTTCCTCGTCGTACTTGTACGCGTGGAACTCGATGCCGTACGGCTTGGGCTCTATGGCGTACAACATGCCAAGAGGCATGTCCAAGTCCGCGATGTCATCTCGGGTAAGGTCCATGAAGTAAGCCATCAGGACACGGCAGATCGAACGATGCCCGATGATCATCACGTGATCCTTGATTCGTTCGATCTCTCGTACCATATCGCGAAGACGACTAATAACCTGGAGGTAACCCTCGCCACCAACCCCAGGGTAGACGTAATGGAGCTTGTCCATCTTACGCTTCCTATACTCGTCGTTATGAGTGCGAGCAATGTCCTCGTAAGTCAAGCCCTCGAATTTGCCTGCGTTGAGCTCGTTGAGCATTTCCCAGTTCTTGACGTCGTAGTCTTCGTCTGCTTCGAAGTGCTGGGCAGTTTGTATACTGCGCATCAGCATCGATGTCCAGACGCAGAAGTTCTTCTCGTCGAGCTCCCGGCTTAAGTCGGGATAAGGAGGCGACTGGTCTCCGGGTAGAGGAGGGAATGAGGATTGCGCAACCTTGTCCTTCTGCTCTACCAACCACTCCATGCGCTTCTGGGTGATGAATTTGTATAGGACTACACTATACTGATGGCCACGATCGGTTAGTTCCGAGTTGCCTCCGATCTTGCCAAGCTGGTTATCCGCGGATTGGCCATGCCGGGTGAGCCAGATCTGTCTCGGGGACAGGTTAAACGAGGATAGGTAGTGAGCGATACCGCTGCTCAGGAAGCCCCCTAATCCGAAGTGGGTAAGCTTCTTGCCAACGTCCGTCATCTGCCATCATTATTAATATGCATAACCGTAACGTCTGATGTTTGCTATTTTCTTACCTTGATATATTGCATCTCGTGGTCCTCCTCGAAGTCACCTAGAGGCACATAGGCACTTTCGTATGCCTTGACACGCTCCTTGAAATCTGCCAATGACTTGACGGGATCTTTGTCCTTATAGTCAGGACCGGAAAGCTTAAGGCGCATATTCGCTTCTAGGAGATTGGGGTTCTTGCAAACGCTCTCGATGAACAGAATACCTAGCTTGGGCTCCCTGGCTTTGATGTGGTTAAAAAGATTCTGTCGTCGATGGAGTGTGCTGTTGGTGGCATCGAGAATGCCAACGGAGCCTCCGCCGCTGATCAAGTAATCAAGCAGCTCGTTCAAAGTATCGATGGCGATCTCCTCTCTCAGTCTGGACGCTTGCTCGTTGTTGGGGTCGAAGAATTTGGCGGATTGATCCATCGGTTTCGGAGCAGGGCCATCTTGGTCGTAGGGAGACGACTTCTTTCGAACGGGAGACTCGGGTGGTTGAGCACCATTCACCAAGATGGTAGCCGCCTGAGGTGGGATGTCCATGGAATCCTCCCTTCGATGCAGGGTTGGCGAGGTCACGGCGGCACCACGTCGTCGTTTACCCACGTTGAATATCCGAGTATTATGTTGCTGCCAGGCAAGATACCTTCGAAGTTTCTTGGTAATGTAAGATTTGCCCCTGGCCGGGAGGCCAACCATGATGATGACAAGTTTTGCGGCCACATCTCTGTCAGCTATCTTTCCGTCGGGAGAGATGAGCGATCGTGTCATTCCAGGAATACTGAGTGTTGTAGCATGAGGTCGAACTCGAGGGGTCTGGGAACCGGAGTTTTGTCTCACGGGGGGACTATTCCGATAAGTTAATACATGCCATGCTCGAGCAGCAGATGGAAAGCGAAATTGGACGAAATGGAAAACTTACATTCTAGGCGAAGCTGGAGCAGTAGACGATATACTCTTCGTGTATGGAGAATCGTTAGATGATGGCGTGGGAAAATCGCGGAAGGCAGCTCCTCCAGGCCCATCGTTCAGGGCCCTGAGCGCGGTAGCCAAGGAGGAGGGATGCGCATGGGGATGCGCCACTGGACCAAGACTAACATGTGGAAGGTTGTTGAGCGTAGGCGGCGCAAGGCCATGATGGCTCGGAGTGCTATGATGGGATATAGCTAAGTTGTCACCATTTAGAGAAATGGGCGTAGGTGGTGTTGCCGATGCGCCATCACGGGAGATAGTAGCAGTAGCCAGGTTGGCGTCGAAACTCGTCGTGTCAGGTTCCGAGTTGTTTGCAATGGCTTGCTCTGGCGGCGTCGGGATTGATCGAGGAATTGCTGAACCGGAAACTATCCGCTGGTTGCTCATCGCCGCTCTGGCAAGCGATGATTGTTGTGACTGAGATTGTCTGCGAACGGGTTTGCGATCTATAATAAGAGAAGCAGAAAATGAGTTGCTGTTTTCAATAATGAATGTAACCGATAACGGGGCTCTAAAATGTGAGGTAATGAGGTGTGAGGCACTAAAGTGCAGATGTGCAAGTTTTATGCAAACTTACAAAAACAGGAGATTCAAGGTGGGATGGAAAGTCTTATGACAGGCAAGGTACTTTGCTTAGGTCTTGACGAATGTTGTGCGATGAAATTAAGGGGAAACGAAAAAATAAGGAAATGGAATTAATTCGTTTGATAGGGAACGAGGAAATGCAATGTTATGATGATGACGATGATGAATCGGAGAAAGGAAGGAAAAAAAGAAAACAAGAAAAGATTAAATTTTCAAACGGTTATTTTCGAAAACTTTCTTTCCATTGAATGATTGAGTGCAGTGACTTGACTTGACTTACTCACCTTGAGGATTGTTGGAATATTGGTGCGTAGTTGATATGCTGCAGTCAACTGGCGCAACAACTTCTAGAGGACCAGGTCCCTTTACGTGCAGACGAGGAGTCATAGTAACTAAAAGTAACCCAGTAACCCAGCAACTTAGGTACCGGTGGGTGTCTTGCTTTCGGACTTTTCAGGGTCTTAACCTTAGCTGGTTTAAGGTTTTTTTAGTGCAGACCGCTAGTGCGAACAGAGTCGATACCAAGAGTTACGGTAGATTGGTTACCGTCCAATATGTCCAATATTAAGGGCAGGAACGTGAAGGAGGGTAAGGAACCTGCAGTAAGGTAGCACCTAGAAGTACTACCACCGGTACTATGTAGTATCAGCAGAAGCGAAACCGGCGAATCGGATGAGGCTAGAAGGTAAGGTAATGTAATTGTGCAGTAGCCCTGGAGAGCTTTTTTTTCCACAGGCTTGCCAATCTGTGCCAATTGACAGGAGCTTCCGACCGTCGTATCCGTCTGGTCGGTTCCTCAAGCTTGCACTAAAGCACTTAGAGCACTGAAGTGCTGAAAACTTTCCCTCAGTGTTGCCACTAACGCAGAAGTCGAATGTCGTCTAACGGTTCTTGGGTGAGGCGTAAATCTCATTACTCGATTCAATTGCTTCACTTCTTCCCACGCACAACGCACCACGGACCGATATGCGGTGCAAGTTGTACACAAAGCCGCGTGCGAATGCGAAGCAAAAAAAGAAAAGAGACAAAATATATGAGTAAACGAAGAAAGAAGTATTGGGATGTAACGTCAAAAGTGACGTTGAAATGTGACACAAAAATAAATCGAGGCGAATCGAAGTAAATGAATATTTGTCGGTATTATTTAGTTTTCGAAAATTTCGGATCTTCGAATCTTCTCGAGGTTCGTCGTCGGTTGTGTGATATCACCTCTCCTTCCGGAGGCAAGGCGAATATGCTGATATGATATAAAAAAGAGTGGCACCCCTCCTCTATCTGTGGGTCGACAACGTTGATATATGTGGGCTGTGGGCTGTGGGTATGAGGTATGAGGTATGAGGTATGAGGTATGTGTATGATGTCGATTTTCCAAGGTACTGTCTGCGGTTCAGCGGTTGCGGCGTCCCTGACGTTAATTACATACGTCTTCGCAAGCTGTCGTAATATGGGAACTTGGTAAGGCTCTAGGCTCTGTTTGATGGCTATGGGGCTGCACTCAACAGTTGGCTCAGTTTCAACCTTGGCAGGCTACCTCGATATGAAAAGCCAAGCCAATCTGGTGCTGATGAAGATCGAAAAAGATATTGTTTCCTCACTTCGAGAATTCGAGACAGATAAGCCTAGAGGCTGAGCGTCTTGGCTGAGATCGACAATATTGTTTGCGGGACTGCTGGTTCGGTGTTTCTGTTTTCTAGTTGGCGGCCGAAGCGGATTTAAGACCACCTGTGTGTTTGATAGGATGGCACAGAAACAAGTTATAGTTTCACCGAAGGGCTGTCTTCAAACACTAATGAGATATAGTTAAGCGTTAGAGCCAAGAAGCAAGGCTAAGCTAAATAGGTAGGCACTTGAGTTTGGGAGGCGTCTTAGTTAGTGTAGATTGTGCAGACTGTGCAGTTACGGAGAGCCAAGTCGCAAAAGTCAGCGTGGAGGATGGATGACAGGATCGTATGTATAAGAAAAGCCTACTGCTCCAAAGTGCCTCGTATAAGCTACTACTATGGATGTACCCAGAATCCTATATAGGTCTTCAGGCAGGCAATCGCCAACAAACCACGCATTCTTAGCCATTCTTAGCCATCCATCTCGAGGCTCCAAGTTTGTGAATATACACCGATTACTCGATTACTATGTACAGCAATTACACCCGCTTATATTGTCCATCTACCATTGGATCTCTGTCTATTCCGACCGGAGAAGGTCTTAGGATGTACGCCATGTAAGTGCTACGACGATTGATTCGTTGATCTAGAATCCCAGGTGGTGCCTGGGGAGTCTGCGACGTAATCGTATTTATCGCGCAATGAGAATTACACTTATTAAGCTGCTGAGAAGACATGTGCGAGAAGCGTGGGACTGCGAAGCTCGGCCAGTTTAGCAGCTTAGTAGGCATACAATTTCCTTATTGGGCTGTCCAGATTTGGTTGACCTGCCCCTTTTTCATAACTCACAACACTCAACATAACTCCGAACTTGGCGATATCTCTATTCAGCTTATCCCAATTCCCATGTTAGTTTTAGATTGTGTTCTCGGCGCCGAGACGGGCGCGAGTGTGTGGCTTACGCAGTGCGACGGCATGGCTTCATCCTCTTGAGTATTATGAGAGATTTACCGGAGATCCGTCTTGGCGATAGCTTCTTTTTTGGACTTCATGCATACCTAAGAGGTATCTATGATATAAGAGAGCCGTCGGACAATGGTTTGTATGTACCCAACCATTTGCTCCGGGGGCTGAAGACGATTGCCCCAATATTTCCCCAGGGGGCCAATTAGTAGCAAACCTTCGCGATCTGAGATCAGCAGAACTATAAGATCCAATAGCTGTAGGAGCCGAAGCTTCAATAAGCTCTTTTTTGTTGAATAGCAACACAAGGCCAATTCGGTATAGACTCACGTGAAAGTAATAACGTAAAAAGTCAAGATCCGCTTCTTCACTCCGATCTCAGTTTCGTCACATGGCCATGGGTCGTAGTAGTTTTATGTAGTATCTTGTATTTATAGCGTTCCAAAGTTCATACCCAAGACTCGGCTGTAAGTTGTGCAACCCAAAACTGGGGAAGGGATGCTGACTAGACAGTTCTGCGGACTGCGCTTTGGCTCGGTACTGCCAATATAAATTCTGAGCTATTAAGAGATGTACATACACAGTACAGATCTGTAGATGGACGTATAGTCCCGTTTCAATAAATACCGCAGAAACGTCTCTTCTCGGGTTACGGACGCACGTGTTGGATCAAGAGCGCAGCATTCGTGGGGAAATAAGAGGGAGGAGATAAGACCTCCGGTCTCCTTGAGGGAACACACACGTCGTCCCAACCCATCGCCCCAATCATTGTCGCGTAGCCTCATAGTGGGGGAGCGAATCAAGAGCAGTAAACCCCACGATTAACCCTTGCCTCGGTGATAGGAATTATGCAAATGAGCAGGGACGGCCCTGGAAAGCGAGCTAAATGCTGCATGCTACACACTGTGTAGCTCAACAGATGTAGAGAAGTAGAGAAGGGGGAAACTTGAGAGAGGGAAGAGGTAAGGGAAGAAAAATAAGAGAAGGGGAAGAACATGTGATGGTAACCGAATATCGTCGATGACTTTTCCATAGTAGGTATTATGACGTATGTAGACAAAGGATACTTACCTACCTATGTAGTACACATACTAGTAGGTACATAAGTCACAACATACTTAATCTACATGTATGATGTACATCTTAAATAGCTAGTAATACCTAATTATACATGCAAATAGGACAGGCTGACAGTGCACATTAATATATGTGATTTATACACCACGGCACGTACTCCTCTGAGGCAAGAACGAGTCACAAATCAGTATTAAGCGGTGGTACGTACCTAGGTACATACATGATATATAACCTGACGTAAATAGAGTTAATCGATAAACCCCGCATGTGGGGAAAGTTACTCGTTCAATTAAGGCTTAATATGGCTACAAAAAATGTTGCTGGTAGGTAATAGCGAAGGTACGGATGGTCACCTTTCTAGGCGACTTCCCTAAAATCGACGCTAATGTTAAAACCCGACTCTAATTTAGGTAGGTACGTACATGATAGCTGCAAGGCAGCGAATTAACTTTGTAGCATTTGCCAGGGTCTAGTTATGATCTTCCAATTTGTCCCACCCTAGTATTGGTCGCACCTTCATTATTAAAAAAAATCATCACAACATTGGCTGCCTTCTACTGAGCTTGCCTTCCACTGAGCTACCCTTCTACTGAGCTGCTTCCACCTCAATTAAGTTACAACCTATTCGAAATTGCAACAACTTCAACTTCCAACGTTAGGTTTGTTCCTTTCTATTTATGCATTGCCTACCTCGGGATTTTTACCTTCCACTTTCTCATCCTTGAAGACAATCACCTGGGCAATCTTTCCAGTTATCCGCGAGCATTCCTCTTGACTACAATTCCGCTTATTTATCCGTTCATCTGTGTATCACGCGCCTTTTGAGCATTATGCTTCGAGCTTCTCCCATGGTTAACAATTGGATCATCCCTCGGTGTTAATCTGAATCGCGTCGACCTGAACATTGGATCCTGACTCAGGATATTTCCGTCTGAACGACCAGTCTACCCTGAATAATATTCCTCAACGCCCTGCTTACCTTATCCATCTCAAACCCAGGCCTATTCCACCCATCGTGATTCTTAATCAGATTAGACGCTTTATCCGCCCTGGAGTTTCAGCTATGGGCGATACCACGAAGGCCGTGGTTGAGACGCTCGACCCCATTACAAAGCGTCTACTCCCATCTGATATCACCAAGGGAACACTGGTACCTTTGAAGACAATTCTTGAGCTCCGCGATTACCTGTCGCTTTGCCAAGTTTATGTTACACGTGCGCCTCAGAAAAGTGTATCCAGCATCTTCGAGTAAGTTGCCTCGAATGCTCTATGTTGTCTGGCATAGCTAACATCGCCAACCATAGGGTTGCTAAGCGCATTTCTGGAAACGATGGAGCCCGAAACCTCCCGCATCTTCGCCGATGCATCAAGCCTGCCGACCTCCCCCCGCATCTCAAGAACGCGTTCGTGAACGAAGGCAATGGACGAACTATCCACATGGCCAAGTCACAATGGCTATACATTGTTCTTGGCCCCAAGACGGAGTTTTCATATCAAGAGCTCGAGAAAGAACTTCGTGTCGTCGAAGGCATGAATGACGAAGTTTGGTTGGGTGAGGTCCCAGTACCATTGTTAGCACCGACTTCCCAATCCCAAGCTCTCATGTGGTCGCACGAGTTTTGGCAGTCCATTTATCGTAAAAATAATCCACTCGGACCGCATCCCAGTACTATCGCACGAACCGAGACATTCGTTGCTCGTGATGCCGCGATCTGGATGGCTTTGGCACAACAAACTGCAAAGAAGGCCCAGAAGGCTGGCATGGGCGAACCAATTGGTGCTGTTATCATTAAGCGAACGACTCCTGGAAGATCCGACTCGGGAAAAGCAAAGAAAGCCGGTAAAGGTTCCGATTCTCAAAAGGAGGCCAATGATGAGAAGGAAGCTGGTAGCGAGGGGTTTAGTGAAGGGTCGGATGCCACCAATAGTGACGGTGAAAGCATGGCCAGTCCTAGCGCCGACATCACAAACGACATGAAGCAGTTAAATATTTCACAGTCGACAACTCAGCCTCAATCTCATTCTAAGTCAAAGGTAGAGGCAAAGGAGAAGACCCAGATTGTCGCTATTGCAGGTGATGCCCGTTGGCATAAACACGGTTGTTTTGGTGAAACTGGAAATCCCATGGCTCATGCAGCTCTTCGAGCTATTAGCATGGTAGCGCAGAAATTGGTGAGGTCTGAGAACAGATCCGAGTCGGAGGAGCAAATCATGGAGTTTGAGTGCTTTCAAGACAAGCCCCTACTGCACGACGAGCAGCTCGTATTCGACGCCGACCACCCTAGCCCTGATGGTTATCTCTGCCATGACCTCGAACTTTACCTAACTCACGAACCTTGCACTATGTGTTCAATGGGTATACTTCACTCTCGTATGGGTAAGGTCGTCTTCTGCCGTCGCATGCCCTTGACAGGCGGCATGACTTCCGAGGACCGGGCTCGCGACGTGTGCGGTAACACTGGAGCTTGTGAAGGATCTTGCGGCGGTGGACAGGGCCTCGGTCTTCATTGGCGCAAGGAATTAAATTGGACCCTCCTTGGTTGGGAATGGGAGGCAGATAAGTCGGATGCCTTGCCTCTTGATCCACACATACACGCATAAGCATTTTCGACCTTCTTGACAGCATATGAGGCGTTCAGTTTATGGCAAGCAATGGAGTTAGGCAAACCAATTTTCCTCGATTGGTACTGAGGATGCATAAGGCGTTATGTGGAATCATGCGGCTATGCAAAAGGCGCACGGGAGGCATCGTCGAGGGCATGATATGAATTTGCTTCTTTGCTCGGCATTTAGTTGCTCTTTTATCTCTTTTTTCTTTCATGTTGTTCTTACTGAGACCTTGATCATTAAGGGTCGCCGGGTCAATCGCGACTCTGATCCCTCTGGATCAAAAGGATACGCGCGTACTAGTTGTATATCTTTGGACGGGAAGGCCATAGTACATATACCAGTCTTCTCAAAACAAGAACATTATCTTAAAATACCTGTGTCCATGATAGGATTTATATCTACCTAGGAACATTTCTAGTGAATTTGAGGACTCCTCGGTGAAAGATGGCTCTAGACCTTTACATACCTACTACCTAGGTAGGTACCTACATGTATATATTCTATACTACCTACTTGACGAGGTACTCGTTAGTGCCTACTAGGTAGACCTAGTAACCTTGAAGCCTGCTATAATCGACCCACATAACTTGCATATCTTATCTTATCGCCAATACGTACATAGGTACACTAGTATGTAGTGCAGGTGCCCAGGTTTATGACCCGAGCAGCTTTCTTAGACCAATCGAAATCTGATATAGCGACTTTTGATAGGACGCGGACTCAACCCCCCTCTTCTCTAACACCTACCCAGTACTTGAATTTGTTCGCATCGCAAAAAGAAGGGATAAGTGCTGACGAGAACGGAAGACACCTTTGACTTCTCTTGGGGGGTTTTTGGTTGTTTGTCTTGAATGAAAATGTCACTCCTTTGACTTCTCCGACACCGCTTTTCATACACCTTTGCGAACTCACTAATCTGTTGCATTTATACTGCCAGCAACAAAGCAGTCTATTTCGATCAAGTATCACAATTCCCTCTGGGTACGGGATCCTGCACGCTGTTATGGACAAATAAACTCTCCTCAGTTTTGCTAAAGATCAAACTTCGACTATTAAAGATGCCGCCAAACGGATTGAAGAAAGGCCAAGCGCCGAAAGCCGCGTCGCGAACTACCAACCCACCCCCTGCCAAGACTAGCAAGAAGCGCAAGATGGATGCTGATGCACAAAAATACTATGCCGTGAGAGCTGGAGTAAATCCGGGAGTGTATTTAACTTGGGCGGAATGCCAGGAACAGACTGCCGGATTCAGAGGTGCTTCATGTACGTGATCCGACTATGTGTTGCGCGTTAACCAACCACTAACGACTACTCCATAGACAAGTCCTTCCTAAGCCGAGAGGATGCCGAAGCATACGTTGCCGGAAAGAAGACATCGGCTACGGCCCCAGGCGAAGAGAGATTCTATGCGGTAGCCATCGGCAGAGAACCCGGAGTCTATACCGATTGGGATACGGCATCCCTAGCAATCAAGGGATGGAAGGGACCAAAATACAAGAGATTCGACACACGAGAGGACGCGATAGAATACATACGAACCCACGGAAATGAAGCTGCCCAGGAAGCTTTGCTGAAAGAGGGAGTCGAACCACCTACCAAGAAGAAGAAATCGACAGGAAAGGAGGCACTCGTTGTTGAAGACGAGGCAGATGTCGTACACGTCTATACAGATGGCAGTAGTATCGGCAACGGCCGCGTTGGTGCTATTGCAGGAGTTGGGGTATATTTTGGGCCGAATGATGAAAGGTAATTGCCATTACATTGGTTCAAAATATGTAGTATTAACTAAATGCCACAGGAATATTTCAGAACGCCTAGAGGGCGAGGTACAGACAAACCAACGGGCAGAGCTGACCGCCATCCTCCGTGCCTTAGAAAGCATACCGGTGAGCGAGAAGATGCGTATCTTCTCGGACAGCAAGTACTCGATCAGCTGCGTGACCGAATGGTACGTCAACTGGCAGAAGAACGGTTGGAAAACGAAGGATGGGTACGTGAAAAACAAGGATCTTGTCGAGGCCGTCCGAGCTAAGATCGATGAGCGCACCGAAGCCGGAACGAAGACCTACTTTCAATGGGTGAAGGGTCACGCAACCGACGCCGGAAATGTGGCGGCGGACGAACTCGCTGTTAAGGGTGCAAAACGGGTAATCTGAAAATATTGGTCAATACGACTTAGGTTGCGTGTCAGATATCGACTACACGAACTGTGAAGTGTGGATAGGTTAACGAAGATTATGCTAGATATTGATGAATGATACCATCTCAGAGACAGTCAGTCTCTCCTCTCCAGTTACATTTCGATATCGGTTAGTTTTTTGGTAAATATATTGGAATATTGTACCGCCTCTTATTACCACCTACACAGGGAAGCTAACTAGTGCTGGATACTGATACCATCAGGCTTGGTGCCCAATTTGCTATGCCGTGCAACCTTAGGTCACAATAAGTCTAGCACTATATATGTATGTGTATATCGATTCATACTTATACGATAGGATCTGTGAGGCGTTTAATACTTAGTCGAAGCTTGATCATGATTGGTGTTGACCATAACTATCACGGTTTGAGAGCCATCAATGACTCAGTATGACTAGGATATACATCTTGCAGATATTCGATATACCTGATTGGCAGGTGCCAGGTTGGGCGGTGTAACGAATACAAAGCCGCTTACCCATCAAGACTAGCCTCCGATCAATAAAAGTGGGACACCGATATCTTTATTTCTATTCGGTATCACTTTCATTTTTTTCTCTTTGCGTCACCCACCGATCGATCAATCAATGATCCTTCATCTTTATTTTTTTGTATACTTATCCGACCTATCGTAACTTTTTTTACTACACTAGGCTGTCACAGACTCTAGTACTTTGTGATCAAATCATCGGATTCGATTATTTGACTGCAGCAATAGACGAGAGCCTAGAGGAGAGAGAGAAAGAGGAAAAAAGCAAAAGCAGAGCAAAGCGATACCGCCGTTTAAGAAGAGTATCTACTTGGTACCGCTTCACCAAACGTCGTAGGACGACTGTCTCGTTTAATCAAAGTGGCTGGTCTATCAGCGCCCACTACAACTTCATCAAGACCAAATGATTCAATAACATTCATTTCACCAGCATATTTCTGCTTCATTTCCTTGAGAAGTTCCAAGGACGACTCGGGTGTTACTTGAAATTTTGTTGAGTCTTGGTCTTGGCCTTGGCCTTCTAGCCAAAGATGCCGACTCTTGCTGTTAACAACTTTAATATTGTTGTTAGTGTTCTTGGTGGATGGATCTCACTTTTTGGTCTTGTGTCTTATCTGCTGAAGGAGAACTTTTACCTCTCCGAGGCTCGTATGTCTGACTTTCTTGTAAACCCTAAGCCCTTGTCTATATCATCTTCCCTTACACTACTCCATACGTAGGGCTGACAAGCCTGCCTAGTCATATCCCTTTTGGCCGGCCTTACTTTCTCGCCCCACGCTGCCAACTTCGTCCGGCCTTTGGAGTATGCAGGCTCGGAAGAAAACTTAAATGCGATCGTAAGCAGCACTCGAAGATTCCCGCCTGTTGAGAATCCTCTCAAGGACCCCCTTTCGAAATTTTGACCTGATGGGCGCCACATATAAATCTTGCCATCCAAGGTGGTCTTCGTAATCCAAATCCTCAATACTGATAATTTTGTTACAGACGCTATATTTTACTCGCCTTGTTCTCGGAGTTCAACTTGTCCTCGCAGGGGTTCAGTTACCAAGTCGCTATCTAAGAACAGAATGGAAGCCTCTAGCCTTACTTCTAGGGCCGATTATGACGGCGATGTGGTTGATGACGAGTCTTCTCGTCTGGGCCCTGATACCACATCTACCTTTCCTCCATGCTCTTGTGGTTGGAGCTTGCGTTACGCCAACTGACCCGGTCCTGTCAAACGTCATCGTGAAGGGAAGATTCGCTGATCACAACGTGCCTAAGGATCTTCAAACGATCATCATCGCGGAATCGGGTGCCAACGACGGACTCGGTTATCCTTTCTTATTCCTCGCTCTATATCTCATCAAATACATTGGCGATGGTGGTGTCAATGAGCCAGGGGGTGCTGGTCTTGCTATAGGCTTATGGTTTGGAGAGACCTGGGGCTATACCATCATCCTCAGCGTTATATATGGCGCTGTTGTGGGCTGGATTGCCAAGGAGCTACTCCATTACTGCGAGGAACATAAATTCGTCGACCGTGAAAGCTTTCTTGTTTTTGCGTTCTCTCTCGCCCTCCTCATCACAGGCACATGTGGCATGATCGGCAGTGATGACATTTTAGCTTGCTTTATCGCTGGGAATGTCTTCACTTGGGATGACTGGTTCCGCTTGGCAACAGTCGATGAGGTTCGTGTCACCTATATGCGCAGGATGACTAAACCTTTCTTGCTAACTATGACTTAGTATGCGCCCGATAATAACTTTCAAGATGTTTTCCTGATTTCGACTCGAGTCGTCTGCTAATCGTTGTACCTTATTTCTTTAGTTCACTTCAACCAACCATCGATATGCTCCTCAACGTAGCTATATTCATGTGGTATGGCGCTGTCTGTCCAGTATGTATATTTTCGAATTGTCTACCGCCCTTACCTACCCTCGAAAACAGCTTCGATATCTCTCGTAAGACGAAGGAAAACAAGTTTATGATTATCTATGAGATCTATCTCACCTCTTGACGGATACCCTAAATTTCCATGAATCATAAGAGTCTAACGTGTTTAACATAGTGGCATAGTTTTATCGCAAATGACGTCATCCCAATATACCGGCTGATTCCCTTGGGAATATTGATACTGCTACTTAGGCGTCTTCCATTCATCTTGATGTCTTATAAGAAAATTACACAGATAGACGGGCTACGACAAGCTATTTTTATGGGTTTCTTCGGACCAATTGGCTGTTCGGCTATCTTCTACTTATACGTAACGCTGGAATTTATCACTATGTTGAATCCCGATCAAGGAGATACGCCAAGGTGGGATGTGGCTCGTCTTCAGGAAGACGTATCGGTTGTAGTCTGGTTCATGGTAATTTGCAGCGTCGTAAGCTATCCCCACTTCTCACGAGCGTGTTACGAATACTCTCAATATACATGTACTCATCATTTGAAAAGGTTGTCCACGGGCTTAGTATACCCTTGGGCAAATTCGGGATCTACCTTCCTCGAACAATTTCGAGGACCTTATCATCGCCTGAGGATCTGATATCCTTCCAGGTAGGTGGGCGAGTAATACCCCGAAGTCGCTCCAGGGACGAGACAGCCGCCAACACCCCTACCGAATCTCGCTCCGTATCACTACGGCCCGTTTATCGCATCGGTGGTTCAATAATTCCAGAGCACCCATCTGCGACTAGGCCTTCTCCTGCGCACTTGTCGGGCGCTAGTGATATAATCGGTCCCCGAGATAATCTCGATGGGGGTTCTAAGTCTACATCTACAAAGGTAGAGTCAGAATCGCAATGGAACATGTCGTCGCCGATCCTACCTAACCGAATGATTCGCTTTCCCGATGAAGCGCCATCCAGTGATAAAGAGTCGAGAGAGCTCAAGGGGGACGTCGCTTGTTGATTGTGGATGATTTATCATTCTACGTCAAACGACATGGTGATCATTTTTAACTTCCGGTGCTAGTCCGTTGATGTGGATTCCAAAGTCAATACCAGAAGGTCAAAATAGTCATTGACTATATTCTGTTTGCCAAGGGAACAATAAGCAGGGTGACATTTGGACAAGAGTGTCATAATTGTGGGAAACAGTCCAATCGTTTTATTTTCTCTTCTTTTCCATCTACTACCTTAATCAAGTCAAGAAGCTTAGCAGTTTCCATTTTGGTGGTTTTAGGGCCTCTTACCATTTCACTACTATTAGCTTAGCAAATTATTTGCTTTATATCTACCAAGTAGTTTATTAGTAGTTATCTCAAATACCGGTTCCTACTTTTAATTCGTGAATTTCGGACTCCGGTTATGTCAACTACAACATCAGACGGACGTCCGGCTTTGACGGTTACAGTAATCCTGTCACCGGCTTACTCAAGCCAAACTGCCCGAATCGGTGCAAACATATGCTATCAGCTGACAAGCTTCGACCCCCAGAGTAACCGTTTCTGCGGTGTAATTGGGTGCCTTGGCGATAGCTTTGCCTAGCCTTGTCAGCAAAAGACCCTGAATTTACTCGGGGAATGGGATTGTTTGTATGTTCTCGGTCCTGGGAGTTGACGACCGGGCCGGCTGCCTGGGGATGGAGGCATATCGCAACTCCGCACGACCCCCGCGCCCGTACGCCTGGACGTTTCGAAAGGATTGGCTCTGCATATGCCCACCACCATCTTGCTTGATATGTTCTAGGGTGCCAGGGGTGTTACATTGCCTAAATAAAAATTCCGGCCAGAAGAGTCCCGCATTATCTAATAACGGATGTACTCTCTTTGATTAAAACTGCTTTTTTGCCATTTTTGCATGTACGCTGTACTTTCGCTGTTTGTCCGGTGGCTCATGGTAGCGAGAGTGGACGGGGAAATAAATCTGTACGGAGTAAAAAGCTCGAGGGAATGGCCAGGACCATGTGCTGGTGTACTATCTAGCCTAGGCGCCTGCGATGACGATTTCGCAATACATGGACCACAATCCACAATCCATAATCTATCACATTAATGATAGAGTTGTTCTAGAGATGACAGAGAAGGTGCTTATTCTCGGTGCAACCCACCACTAGGACCGTAGGGCAGGAGATAAACGGGGTTTTGCTATCGGATTTGACCCTTATGGTTCGTTGTGGATGCAATTGGAAGCATGCGGTTGGCTGAAAAGAGAGACACGTATTTGTGGAAGCGGCCACGGCTTACTTCGACAAAGCCGTTCCTGGCATGTCGTCGGCGGAACAGACAGCCAGCACGCACGACCTTCCAGAGAAAGATAGGTTAAAGTTGCATAGGTTATAGCGCGTGGGGAACAGGTAGTAGGTGGGAAGTAGTCATCGTCAGCCCCGTCCGTTAAGAAAGTACGGTTGTATGCAAGGCGTGTTGCAAGCTAGAGAGGACCCTGAGCGAGCTTAGTTCGACCCAAGGACCAGTCAAAGTTTAGACTGGTCGTACAGAGAAACAGGAATGACCCTGAACCGTGCAGCCCTAATTCAATTGATACAGTAAAGATGATGTGTGTTGATGTGTTCCAAGTTGATGTGTGTTTTGATATACCTAGTACCTCTATAGCACCTAGCGTCAGACGTCAAGAGGATTAGAGGACCATAGCAGAACGTGCCAGAATGCCGAACGTGCTGAACGTCGATTGATATCCGTTGTTATGTATTTGACATCCAATACCACCCAAGTATAATCGACAGGCCAATTCCTGCTGGCAATACCTGCCATGTAAGCGGTGTGTCGGGCTTACAAGAGACACGAGACATTGGCGTTAGATAGACTACGTAGTACATACATACCTACCAGTTACCTCCAGGGCTACATACCTATGACCTAGGTGGTCAGCATTGATGACATCCCCCGATGACCGGCCTCGACAATTGTGAATTATTCAGGCTGAGGAATCGAGAAATCGGAATTGCTCAAATTTTCTAAGAGGCGCAATTCTCAATGTTCAATGTTTCTCAAAAGGGGTAAACACCATTATGGTACGGGAAATGATACAAATTTGAAGTGATTTAGTAGTTTAGGTACCTTAGGTTAGTCAGGTTTATGTGGGTTAGACTCAAGGTTGAAATGTTCGTAGAGTTTTCTAGTTGTTTGCTTGATTTGTGGACGTTGTGGATACTGATATTATACTAACACTTTTTTTACTGTATAATTGGCATTTTAGACGAGAATCAGTCCCATTATCATTGGTTCGGGTGTTAAGCCATTAACAATTTTCCAAGGGGAAATAGCGGCCTTTGTGTTCTAAACCCTCTGTAGAAAGAAAAAAAAGATGGGAGAAACCCCGGGTTTTGCCAAGATTTACAGGGGGCTGGGATACTGTAGTCTGCGTGGTTAGTATCGTTTAGTATTAGCGTGCTCGAACTTACTCTTGCGTTTAACCACTTTGACCCATCTTTCACTACACTCTGCACCTTCTGTACCCTCTGCCCTGCCCTCTGCACCCTCTCGAACTTGCTTAGGTGCTAACTTCCCTAACTCTTTTGTTAACTCTCCACTTTGCTTCGTCGGGTCTTAGTGGTGGATGCTCAGGGTTCTTCCATCTTGGACCAAATTGATCCGTCAAATCCATCCAAACTTGTCTCTTCCCATCTCAATATCCCAATTCCATCCAACCTTCAGGCGAGACCTCACCCGACCACGAAGAACCCTCGAGCCTGCGACGAGTACAGCATTCCTTTGGCTTTTATTCCTTTTGATCGGTTTTGCAACGGCCTCTTTTCAATTGGACTCGTTGTAATCGGAATTCCGATAACGGGACAACATTGCATACTACTAGGTACCTGCTCAGGGAGTTAGCAGGCTGAACTTTTAGCAAACACGCACGCCACTGCTCTGCTCTATACTTACCGCAACTTTTCACCGATACTTACTAGAACGTAACCCGCCGCCACGGCACGCTATTCCGAGCCACGATCACCAAACATTTCGAATTGTCAATTAGATATCGAGTTTCATCCTATTTCATCATCATCTAACTAGTACCCGAAAATTCAATTTGGAACCTTGGATTTACCGGCATCCACTAATAGATTCGTCTTCAATTAAGCTAATACTGAAGGAGTCATCATGTTGCTATAGCATCCACAACTACATCGCATCACACTGTTGGACTCGCTGGATATTGCACCTCTACGGACGGTCATTTGAGGTTGTCCTATTGCTGAGACACCAAACACCAAGATACAGACATCGTATAGTCTGAACTACGATTGGAATATTTCGTCGGTTGGGGTTGAATCGAATAACGCCTCACCTCGCAAACTACTACTTACTATAGTGCGCCCTCTGCATATCGAAAAAATCTAGTACCGAGCTATGTCATCCAAACCGCCACTTTTCATTCCAACGAATCCGTTGGGTTCCGATTCGGATATGCCCTCTTTCGCCGTTAATCACGAATTCGAACTGTACGATGCGGACGATGCCGGCCACCCTACTGGAACAATATTCGATTTTACAACTGGCGAGCTACTCGACCCGACCATGTTTGGGGAGTCTAGTAAAGTGTTCTCTTCCGGTCCCGGACATGTTTTACAGCCCAATTCGAACAGAGTGGCGCCTGGCTTTTCGTCTATTCCGTCCCACCGTGGCTCTTCCTCCTCATCTTCGTCTAGAGCAAGCGGGAACACCAACTCGCCGAAGACTAGTAATTCTTCGACCGATGCGATGGTGACCGATGAACCCTACTCGGGATGGAATCTCGAAAATGACGCCAAACACAATGATTCGAACTTTATGTTCGATACTTTGGACCCGTCGACTATGGACATGTCCGCAGTTTTCGATTTTGATAGCGCTTCGAGTAGTCCGAGTCCCCCAACGAATAATGCCGTGCAAGATCTATCCGCATCAGGAAATGTTGTCCTCAAGGCCCCCGCTGCTAAGAGAATCAAAGGGCATCACAAGGGACAATCGGTTTGTGTTTACCTTCATAACTATTCTACTCTGACTAATTAATAATTAGCAACATTCTCTAACGAAGTCGATGAACGGGTTGAAGACGAGTACTTCTAGAGAAGGTTCTCCTATGTCAAGTATCGCGGCTAGCCAGGAACCTTCCCCGTCAGCGATGTTTAAAAATTCGCCGTCCCCTGACATTACTGCTAATCACTATCATGGCTTGCCGAATATGAGTATGACACCGGTCTGGCCACCGATGGCAGGCCTGCAGACCAATGGCTCGGCTCCCCAGGTGAGACAAGATTCGATGAACCTCTCGGCTCCGACCCATAGTCTTCCGTCCTACTCGCCCCATATGAATCTCCCTCGGCCGAGATTGGTAGTTCAGCCCACGCCTCTCAAATCAAGGGTGGAGACTCAAATACCAATCAAGCTAACCCTCCACCACTTACCCCCGGGTATCAAAAGACTTCACCTGCCAACCCATACGATATCAAAGCCCAAATTGCTTGCAAAGCCTGTAGCGGTGCGGTCTCCTGACATGCTCGAATTGTATACTATGTTAGTCTGCACTAGCGCTATGCAGGACCCGGTCAAGCTCCAGCGTGCGTTCAAGCGAGCCGCCGTACTTCAGCATGACTTCCATGGCCCGAAACGACCTAATGACAACGAAGATGAAGAGTTTAAGCCTCAAAACGGAGGCGAGGTGCGAATATGTGCTGGTTGTATAACTCGGGAACGTAAGCGCGCTGGCCGTAAGAAACATAAGAAGCCAGAGGAAGAGGAGCTGTGGAACCGATACGAACACCAGCGAGTCATCGTTTTTAATACTCAGGAAGTTAAAGAGTGGCAAGCTGTTACTCCCCACATGGCCGATCCTACTGGAGCTGGGTTGCCTGACCTTTCCGTTCCTGAAGGTACCGTCCAGGTAGATGCACCAATGCGTATTGCGTGCTATTGCCGCCATCATGGGGAGAAGATGGGATTCCAGGTCATCTTTACCATGAAGGATTACAAGGACAATGTCGTCGCTCAACAAATCTCATCGTCGATTATGATTACTGATGATCACAAGACACATCTCCCCGCGACATCTGCAACACAATGTCCCAATACTTCTGCCCCACCTTTAGGAGTTTCCCCAATGCATAGCACGAACGATGTCAAATCAGCCGAGGCCCAATTGATGTTCCACTCGTCGCAATCAGCCTCTGATCTCCAAGGATTAGCTCAAAACGGAACTTTCGCATTCCCTCCTGTTCCAGTCAACAACAACCCTCAACCTGCACCAGCCTCTGCACCATCTCGTAACCTATCCAGGCAGGGGTCACCAGCTAGCCCTTCAGGTCCCGTCTCTAAAAAGAGAAAGGCAAGCGGTTCCATGAAGCTTCCGAGCGGCCTAGCAATGACTAGACTCGAGACAAGTCAATCACCGCCCACAATGCCTCTAGGGCCACACAACGAGTCAGCCGTGACATCTGCAGCTACATCGCCATTCTCACCGAATATGTCAACTTTCCCAATGGCTACGGATCCCTTATTTTCTCATGGGCAACAGGCAACCCTTAACAACATCGGACAGCATTTCCCAACAGGTCCCCCTACGCCTAACAGCAACAGCCCTGAGCTCATGTTCCCCTCGGGAAATAGGAATCTAAGTCTCGACGTGAGTGCTCAGATGTTCTCTGCGCCTACATCAGCCCATCCTAGCCGTGCCCCCAGTCCGAACCGGCTAAGGAATGAGATCCAGAACATCCCCCACGCTCCACTTGGTCAGAATATGTTCAATGCATCTGCGATCATGACTTCAAATAGAGTGCCACCACCAATGATTTATAAGATCATTCCCAGCGAAGGTCCAAAGTCAGGTGGTGTCGAGGTGACAATTCTCGGCAGCGGTTTCACTAATGGCGGACTCGAGGTCATGTTTGGAGAACAGAGGGCAGCTACAACTACGTACTGGGGCGAGACATCGTTGGTTTGTCTTCTGCCGCCGTCCCCCACTGCGGGGATAGTTCCCGTATCGATCAGGCAGCCTGGCGTGGCTCCCCAGCACTCTTTCACTGGTAACCAGCAGCCACTGTTCCGCTATGTCGACGACGACGAACATCGTTTAATACGTACAGCGCTCACCGTTTTAGGCAATAAACTAGGTGGGAAAATGACAGATGTCGCAGATATCGCAAGAAATATTATCTACGGGTCTGGTGGGTCTGGAAACGGCAGCTCTTGGGGTCCTTCCCCCGGAGGATCCCAAACCCCTAACACCAACTTCAACAGCCTCGAGCAAGACCTCTCCGAGTCCCCAGAATTGGGACTTCTACGTGTTCTTGAGTTGATTGATCTAGATGACAGCGCCAACAAAGCGAAAATCAATCTAAGGAGGTCAAGTGGACAGACAATGCTTCATTTAGCTTGTTCTCTAGGACTTGCTCGCTTCGTCGCCGGGCTTCTATCTCGAGGGGCCAATGTGGGCGTGCGAGATAAGGGAGGCTTCACTCCGCTACATATGGCGGCGATGAACAACCACCCGGAGATTGTCCGGCGCCTCATCATGAAAGGGGCCGACCCGAATATGCGAAGTCTTTCGGGTCTTACTCCAGCTGACGTTGCTCGATCTAGCGACGTGCTTCGCGTACTACGACAAATCGAGAATCACTCCAGATCCCGAAGCAACGGATCTCTTCACAGCAGGGCAAACAGTGCTACTTCTCTCAAATCGTTGTGGGATCCGCCCTCAATTACTCCGGCGGCACATCGTGAGGAATTCATGTCTGACGACTCAAGCTCAGTCGACGACAGTAATGACAGCGATCAAGATTCATCAGAAGATAGGGATAGCGATGAAGAAAGCCCCGATTGGCTAGATATGAGACGATCAAGCGATGGAGATGCTGCCCCCGCGTCGCCGAGTGCAGCAGTAACCGCACTGCGAGAACAGTTTGGAGCGCAACTCCAGCAGTGGCAACATTCCATGACGATGCATTTCCAGAATCTAGCGCAACTTCAGATGCCGCACATGCAAATGCCGCAAATGCCAACTTTGCCACCCGTCTTCCCGGATTACCAAGCCTACCTGAACTCAGCACCCGTCGTACAGCGTATTAGTTCCCTTGTACCCAATATCCGAGGTTCGCGTCCCGGATCCGCCGAAGACCAACCTCCGCAGGATGCTCACGCTAGACGATGGGAGCTGCCATTCTTCGGTGCCAAGGAGTCGCCACCTCCAGCCTATGATACTATCTTCCCAGGAAGCGCACCGGCCGACTTCGATACTAAGCAAGCCTCAGCAGCCGCAGCCGCGGTCGATTTCGAGGCTGACAGTAAATGCGCTACTCTTTACGACCAAGCTATTGCGGAGACGTCTACGGAAGAGTCAGAATCACAGGAAGTGCCCGCGCTACTTGAGATCGGACGCAAGCGCAACATCACCAAGGAACAGCAAGAACACCTGCAACGAGCTCATGCTCAGAGACTCAAGACCGGCAGCAGTGACAAGATGCTGTGGTTCGTCTGGGTAAGTAACTCGAAGCCCCTTTTATGAGGCAACGATACTAATTAATTCGATAGATCCCAATTCTGGTGTTCACCCTTGGTGCGATGCTAGCCAGCGTTGCCCCTTCTCTAGCATCTTGCGGTTCTACTGTCATCAAAGCCTATACTGACTTCGTTGCCAATCCGCGAGAAGTTACGCGAACAATCGCGGATGCTCTAAGAGCTAACTAATATTGTTTTCTTATTCACTCACTCGCTATATAACTTCGTTTTATTTTATTCTACTTTAACAGCACAAATATGGAGATTAAAATCTCAATTACATGTAAATTCCTTGTATAGCACTATTACCTTAAGCCGGTTGGTCTACGCGGCACATCAATTCGGCATGAGAGCGGGATAGCACGAGCTAAAAAGGTAGATCTCTATATATATATGAGAGTCTGCAGGTGTGGGAGCAAGGCGTTGTAAACTTGTTTTCTAACGCGAGGGGGCAGGTGAAGGCGCCCCTCACGGGGAATATTCGTTATATTCCTGGAACTGGGTGGGATGATCTAGTCAAGGACGCGGTATCCTTCAACGGTCCAGGGAATTAGAATGAATAGGTTGCTGGGAATGAAATTGTTCCAGCTAGTTCGATGCTGCGTGTATTTGTTTTTATGTTGTCGTAGCGCGTGATGTTGAGAGGTGCTAAGTCATGTATAATGTCACCATAGGTATATAACGATATACCGTATATTACATCGATAGCTTTATTCTTGCGAGAGTTTCGTTGACTTTGTGTCTGTTAGATTATTAGAAGCATTTTGAACACCCCTGTTCGAGGTTCATATTCCTGGATAATGATTCAGATTAGCAGTGGAAGCGGCACTCATCATCGGTTTATGCAATTCTCTTTCTGAGGTTCTCGACCTAGATAAGATTACGTAGACATCAAGAAGCGACTAGGGAGGTGAGATGATAAGGACTTTTATTACACCCAACTTGTTTGATGACTTCGTGGTAGCGAGGTGGCAGTGCCGTTCTGCATTACGCGGCCCGGGTCCAACGGCATACGGTGATAATAGAGGAAATACAACACCCATGGGTACCTACGAAAACCACGTAGACCAATGAATAGGTAGGTAAGGAACTCTCGTCAGCATCACCGGCAAGGGAGAGATTACTCCGAGTCATGTCAAATTGTCAAGTTTTCAAGTGTTAGGTAGATGCGATAGGCAATTCATCTCAATTCCTCCCGGGTATATACAACAGTTCCATAAAGCGGTGATGATGGTATCGATACTAAAATCCAAAAAAAAAATTCTTGGTAAACACGCTGTTTTCCTATTCCTGTCACACACGTAGGTCATTTTACCTCCTTTCCTGAAAATCCAATAAGCAATAAGTACTCGCTGGGTCCTTCCTTTCACCTGTTAACATTCCCCCCTAAACATTAGGTCCGTGCCTGGGTAGATAGATAGATAGATAGATAGGTGGGGTGGATAGGTGGGTGAGTAGGTAGTTATATCTCCATCTACGTCAACAACGAAGCCGTCGTCTTCCCGAAAAACGACATATCCCGATCAAGCTGCTGCTCGACCCACTCGGGCCAAGCGTTATATGGGCGGTGTTCGGCATCGACCTGGCGATTGAGATACTTCAACCAGCGCGAGGTCCCGAGATCGACGCCGCCGCCTCCACCCCGCGGCTCCTGCGCCCGCAGCTGGGTCTCGGCCTGTGTGATCGGCGCCATCACCTGCTTCAGCGCGATCCAGTGCGCGGATAACACGGCGAAGACCTGCGAGCTCGGGTCGATTAGATGCCGGAACCGCTCGTGCGGTAGCTGGATCCACCAGCCGTAGTGCTTGCACAGGATCTCGTACGCCAGGTACGAGGATGTGGGCAGCGCGTTCGCGATCCCGATTAGGTACCGCCGATACTCGATTTCGAGCTCGTGCTGGCAGAGAGGTTCGAGGGCGTGGATGGATTGTGCGGCGGAGAGGATGAAGGAGGTGCGGATGGGTGGGATGGCTTGGATTATGGGCTTGAGGAGTTTCTGGGGGTCGGATTGGTTCAGGTTTGTGAAGAGTGGGCGTGTGCCTTTGGTTAGCATTTGCATGGAGACCAGCACGATGCCCCGCACGAAGGTCATGAATTCGGTCATCCCGTCGTCGAGGATTACGGATTGGAAGGTTAGTGCGAAACAGGTCGCCACTGGGTTGGGTTGGTTAGTTAGGTTGGATCGGGGTTGTTTTTTGGAGGAAGGGGATGGGTGAGCTTCTCTCATGGTGGTGGACTGGATAGATGATTAGTTCATGGCACATACCAAGGGCGTTCCCTTCTTCAAAGCTGTTCGATTTCGGTACCTCGTTTAAGGTCTTCTTGATAGCTTTGATCGCCTTAAGCCGATGCATCATGGCGAATGTGAGTAGGCTGGAGTCATTCTGCATGAGATCAGACGCTGCGAGGCCTAGTATCGCATGCATAAGATATTCGTGCTATCGTCGAAAGGTCATCAGCCCTACCCTCTTCATACATAGCTAGTTTTGCTGAGGTACGTACAGTCTGTGATAGGCATGGAATCTCGTGGGTCCAGATGGACTCATTCCCTAGGGGGTGGTTAGGGAAACAGGTGAATAGGAAATGCTGGAAGAACCGCATATCCTGCAAGCTGAAAAGAGGGATTTGCTGTTGCGGCTATTTTCATGTTAGCCGGAGTTGGAGATAGAGGTCGACGCCGATGCGAATTCATACCTGGTGGACGACTTGGGGTGAAGTTGGATATTTACACTCTAGCCCTGTCTTCACGCAATGTCCGCATTCTGGCCGGGTTTCTTGACACTATTTCCTTCTATGTTAGTATTCGAACGGCATTTCTCATGAGTCTCGGATCTCGAGTAGATAAGAAACGTACCTTAATGCGACGCCTTTTACAATTGAAACAACCTCTTCGACTCTTAGTATGACCCCTTCGTTCTAATCTCTGCTTCTGAAGCGAGTTGCGTGTAGCGAGCGCCGCCGTGGGAGACGGCGCACTCGCCATACCAAGATCATCGTCCAATGCGGATGTCGAGCCCGCAGCCTCGCCGATAGCACCGTACCCGGCATCATCGCCGCCGAGGAAGTTCGAATAAGTGTAATCTTCCCCGCTATCCATGAGCGGGAGTATCATAGGTTGGTTGAGGTTCGACGGTTCCATCTCCGACTTCTACCTTGATTTTCTCAATTGTTGGCTGTCGACTGAACATCCCATCGATGAGGTCGGAGGTCGTAGAAAATACAAATGAGACAACGACATTCCCTCAGAAAGCATTGACCTCGTTCGAGACTTGGCTCCTGGGTTTCTAGTAAGCTTCTAGAAATCGAATCTGGTAGCGCCAAGGTAGGTCGAAATGTTGATCTGCCAAGCGGACGAGGTTCAGCCTCAGCTCGTCCGAACAGGCCAATCACGTGCGGTCCAGATCGTGGCCATGCCCTGCTAGAGACTCAACAAAGGAGCACGATGACGGCCTGTGATTGGTTATGTTTCACCCCAATCGTAAGCTGGACTGAAGTCCCTCTATATAGGCCTGGCATATATTCCCGGGTTTCTCACGCTTCATGTTCTTTTGTCCCTCGTTACCGCATTAGGGAGTTCCAGCTGCTGAACGGAGTTTCGATGTCGCATTGGGTCAGACCGATGAGGCTCTTCCTTTTACATAGGAGTGTTTCAATAACATCTGGACTATGGCTCCGAGATTTGAAAATAGTGGGTAATTCTGCAGCTCGAATAGTGAGCGGAATTTGCCGCTTACGTTGCTGACGACATGACATGGTGATATTAGTTGTGGCACATACTAAGCACCAAAAGAGAAAAGGAGATGCCGAAAGGTTCAAGTTTGCCTGCGAGTACCTAGATTCGAAACGGTACCTCCAAAAAGATGGAAACAGCTTAGCTCGGAATATCTTCACAACGACAGCTAGCTCTAGTTATCAATCCTCTACGCAAGACATTCAGCACTGTCGATCAGCGCTGACCGCCACAATGCCAACCCCGGACTTACCTGATTAACGCAAGGAACACAAGGTACAGGTCGATCTCTTTTTGAGAAAAATACCTGTCAAATATGATATGTCGATGCTAAGTAAGTTGCTTTGATCTCGTCTAAATAGTACCGTTCAACTTCTATAAAACAAAAGATCACAAACCCCTGATTAGTATCGATTAGTATAGATAGGTGCCTTACGTTTTTAAATTACGTACCTACCTATACCTTGGATCAATCTTTAGGTACTTGATCTATCCTTTGAGACCCCTATAATATACCCAGTATTGATAGTATGTATATCGTAGAAAACTTAGTCAAGGCCGGAACAAGATTACGTGATGGCCAATACTGACAATCTCTCGACTAAAAAAAAATCAATTAGATATTATCTAAATATTATCACTGATAGTAAGTATCAAATTTCCTCGTAAATCATCTCGCCCTATCCCAAAACCAATCTTTCTCAGCACTCAACTATTATCCTCCTCGGAGCAGCGCTCCTATCCTATGCCGAGGACCATACTAACAGCTACCCAAATGAAATACCTCTATCAGGCTCCCGGGGATATGGCATAGTCCCGTATCATTTATTTTTCAGATGGGGTGCGTACTTTCAAGTGACCGCGCATCGCTGTCCACTCTTCTACCATCTGTTCAGCTTCTTTATAGTCTTCGTTGGAGCGTATGTCCTCGACGGCGAAGCGGACAAGCCGTCTCGCAAGCCTATATGCCGGGGCATAAGCGAACATGAGATATTTCTGGCCAGCGGCTTCCTCAAAGCGTCGCTTTAACTGCCGTGCTTCCGGTGTTGGTGGCATTGCATTGGCCTGGCTCTCGTCTTGATAGCCACCGTTGTTCCATGCCCATAGCCACATAGGTGGTTGGCAACCCATGAATTGAGGGACGAAGACGGAACTGTCCCAATCGAGAATACCAGAGATGATAGGTCGCGTTGTATCAGTCGTTGGATTGACAAGTATGTTGCGCGGCACTAGGTTAAGATGTGCCAAGGAAGTATGACAGTCTCTAAACCACCCTCCGGCTTTCATTTCTGAAGCCACTTGACATAACTTATCCCTGAGTCTCGGCCAGGAATTATTGCCCGGCAGTGGCTCGTCCAAGATAACCCATCGCTTTAGGAAAACATCAACTAAACATTTATGAACATCTGGAGCCGTAGGTGGATTGTCGTAGCTACCGTTGAACTTCTTGATTTTACCTTCTAACGGTACGATCCGGAGTGGTGAAGTGCCACTCCTAGACAGCGTTAAGAAACCGGGCGTATCGCTACGTGTGGCCAATAGTTCATGGTAGACACAACCAAGCTCCCGTGCGACTCTACACCGCTGTTCATGTGTGAGGCTTGAGTATGACGATAGCAAGTTAGTTCCGGGAATATAGTCCTGAATGATGAACTTTGAACCGAGAATATTGTCGGACGTCTTGTCGAAAGTAAGAATTATCGGGGCAGGAATTTTGCCATGTAGACGTAGAAATCGAAGATTAGCAACTTGACTATTCAATTGTCCAATATCGTACTTAGGGATGCGTATGACGTATTGCTCGCGAGACTCGGGTTTCCCGACCGGCTGTCGAGATACCTTGATAATTCGATTTTCTTCACCTGACATCTGTTCCACGGTGATTTCTTCGGCGGTTGCATAGGGCCATATTCTTTGAATGACAAAGTCAATGACGCGAAAGCGAAATGTGGTAAATGATTCTTGGTCGTTAAAGATGATGGATGAAACGTCCGATTCTACGTCGGAATCGGAATCCAACCACGATTCATGGGATGCCATTGTGTTGGCCCGGAGTCCGGATCCACGGGTACGGTACCGAGCCGATCGGAGTTGGTGATATTGTGGGGCCGAACTTAAAGGGTGTATGCAGAAGGAACGGACACTGTCGAATAATTGCGCTGGAAGGTAACAAGCTGGTGTCCGGTTTGATGGGTTGAAGGAAAGAACGTATTAGCTCCATGGCTTTTTAAATTGTTATATATTAAACTGCTGCCAGTAAATTCTGCTGATGTTCATAAGGATTAAGGCGTCTATATGAAGCTATGTTACTAACTGCGAGAATCAACCTTTTTTCTTACTTTTACTCGGGACGTTACGGCCAACGAATGATTCACGACAATTCCCCTATGTGATTTTGAAAACTTGGTGACTTCTGTATAGAACCATGAACATGGCAAGAGTCGTGATGTCGTCTTGAAGTTTTACCTACCTAGGTACAATTCGAAGTCACATGTCGAGAGCATCGGGTTTTAACAATGAGGAAATAGAAGACCCCACCTAACTAAGACAGAAAATATTATTGTTAACAATGACCTTGTGTTCCCAAACCCATCACTCATGGTTGGTCAGACGAAGTCCGGAAGCTTTGAAGAGCCAAGACTTTATAATGCGGTCAATCGCTTCCGCGACCCTCTGTCGAGGAAGGACAACTTTATATTATCCATTCGGGAGGACCAAGACAAGAGTTGTTGGAAAACGGTGCGCATGCGAATTCCCGACGGCCCATGGCAGAAGAACTGGAATTCCCCACGCAGCCTACGGCACAGTCTTCACTTTAAATTCCGTATCACTTTTAAACGGTAGGTTGGATATAAAAAGAGAATTCAACCTGAAGCTCTTATTGCGTGACGCGTCCGAACGGCTTTACATATGAATTTGTCTTAGATAATAACTAGGGCTGACCTAGGTAAACGAAAACTATTTCCGTCAACTATTTGTGTCAAGAAATTGCGAGGATAGGGACCTAGTCTAACTAATCTCGACCGTTGGTTCGGGGAAGCTGATAGGGCATCGGACCAAGCCTCATGTCTCTCCACGAATCAATTAATACGGTAAATTAGTCCCTCTTTTCCAGACGGGCTTGATCCGAGCCCTGGAAGCCGGGGAAAATCTGATGACTTCGCGCACAATATGCATTCCTAAAAAGGAAATCATTGTTAATAAGGAATCAACCAACAAGAAAGACAGCAAGAGTCGATTCACTCAATTCGCAAGGGGGTAATCGATCCTCCAGGATCGGCCGATTAGCGTTCAAAGAAAGAAAAGTTAAGCTTTGATATGCTGTTACAATCTGACAGGGGCATGGAACCCTGAAACTTTGGATCATTGGAAGATTGGAGAAGCTGCTGTTCGACATGGAAGCCACGAGCATGTCAACATTGTCCTAAGCTCGATTGCTCGGTCGGCTTTTAGATTCGTGTATGGCAACGCATGTGGTGTCGCAACTTCATGAGTAGCGAAATTATCTCGAAAGTAATTTCGTTTTATTTGTTTCACTGAACGACGAACGTGTCCCACAAACCACGTCATTCGTAGGGCAAGGCTTCTTAATTCTTTCCTTCAATTTTCTCAATTTTCGCAAGGGGTCTGTGTAGATCCCCGGTCTGCCGGTAACACTACGTGTGTCCACGTAAGACGCTAGGCCCGAATAGAAGCAAGGCGTAAGCACAATGGAGGAGAAAAGCGTTGACCATTCCAGCCCATCTTGGTCTGGATGGCTGTCACCTCAACCCCCCCAACCCCTAAGGTCCACACGTGGATCGAATGGAATATTGGCCGAGTGGAAGCGCTGTGTGTAGTTGAGACCGCCACTGACTGCATTTGGCAAGAAAAAAGAGCGCGCGGCAGGTTGATGAGAAAGTTGGTTTGCTTTTTACTTTCCTTGACTTTACAAAGGGTCCTTTGTAAATAAACCAAGGCTCAACCAAGACTCGGCGTCCGCGACAAACACTGGGATAGGGATATCTTCCTATTAAAGTAAAGTCTCGAGATGCAGCATAACGCTCGATTCGTATTTTGCAACTTTCCCCTCACGCATTCTAGAAAAGTTGGAAGAGATACATAGAGCCCTAGTGTTTGCTAACCGGTTTAAGTTATTGCATGATTATGTATCGCACATATAAAATGGTGGTGGGAGATACATCACCTATACAGATTCGTAAACCTGTAACAACCCCTGAATCCTCCCACCCATCAGCTCATGGCTGTTCGTGTTGAGCGGTCTATGTGTGCCTTGTTCCTGCAGCTTTAGAAAGGTACCTGCATGTGCTACGTAAGAAGATGCCCAGTCTGACCTGGCGCAGGACCACATTTGAAGGCCGATGGTTGGATGGTTTTTACGATTTGATTGGCTATTCTTAGGCTACTGGTCGGCGGCCATTTTGTAAATATGACACAGACTGTAAATGTTTTTCAAAATTGAACAGTTACCGATAAAACAGAATTATGTCTAGAAGGGATATGTCAATATAGTTGAATTGTTTTGAAATATTGTGATCTTTGTGCAGCATTCAACCTTGGAAATGTTCAAGCATTCAAGGAAATCTAGATCCTGTGCCCCTCTATAAAAGTACTAAAAGTACTAAAGGTAATAAAAGAAATGATTATCCTGCGCAAAAAGTATGGATGTATTTTTATAACAGCAGCCATTGTCTAAATGTGGCCAATAGGAATCAATGGCTCAGGTCAGGTTTTCATCCGAACAGTTGGAATGGCGGGCGGACAGGCGGACAGGCGGGTAGATGCTGTAGATACTTCAGATGACACGGTAACAATAACGAATCGATTTGCGCTAATCGTCTTGATTCTAGTGTAGGCAATTGCAAGATCTTCCGTGCGCTCAGTCTAGGGTACGACTTCTTCTAGTCTTGGCATTGAAACCGACCCTAAATAGCGCCAGTCGCAGCTGTCGTAGTTGAAAAGCCTAGAAAAAAGCCGCTAGGAGAAACTGTTAGCGGTTGGCTAGGAAGGTCTAGCCAGTGACAGGGCAGAAGGGGCTCCTGATCTTCCTTGTCTCTTACCCCTGGGACCGGCTGGGACCCATAGACCCACTCCACGTACATGCCCCACACACATCCCGATTTGCTGAACTTTGTAAGTTCGTCTTGTCTGTCTGGGTCGTCCCTAACCGTCAGTCAACCTCTTCTCTCTTACAACTTCTTCAGTAAGCGACATAAAACGCTGGGCGTGAATAAATTCTTCCCACCTTTTTTCTTTCGTTCACTCCTTTCAACCCACAGTACCGTATTTCTCTCCTTTTCCAACCGAGAATTACTCCTCCCATTCTCGCCCCCACACATTCATTTCTTGTTGTACATTTCCACATAAGGTCGCCAGCTTCGACCCATTCATTAACCTCACCTCGTTCTTTGTGGTTGACATCGATTTAAGAAGACGACGTCCTTAGTCAGTCAACTTCGTTTGTGTCCATTGTCCTTCCGTCACACGTCACACGCACACTCACGCGACCTAACCACAACTAACACGCATTGTCCAAGGGTGCAATATCAATCCTCATCAAACTCGCATCATTCCTTCTGCGTCTTTGATAGACTGCACGACCTGGTTCCCGTCCGTCTCATCATCAGTATCACAACTGCGCAGAGCGTACTACACCCCGTCGACAAATTCATTCATTTCTCTGACACGATACTTTCGTTCGTCGTCTTACCCTCCTTTGACTGGACTGCTGGCACCTTAACACTCCTTCAACGGAATTGTAACATCAACATAGAATAAGGGAACATACCAAGTACCTACTGTACCAAATCTATCTCACCAAGAACATAGAATTTTAGATCATCCAACATCCCCCAAGGAAAAACTTTTCAAGATGCTTTCCAAGGCCACCATTCTTGCGCTTTGCGCCGCCGCCTCAGTGAAGGAAGTCGCCGCTGGCCCCTTTCACCGCCACATTCATCCAAAGAGAGAGATCGTGTGGGCCGAAACTGACACTGTTGTTGTCACTGATTATGTGACGATGACTGTTACTGCGGGTGAGGAAGGACCCACCGCCGAGGCCGTCCCGACTTCCTCATCGGCCGAGGTTGAGGCCGCATCCGAGCCCACTACTTCCCTCGCTAGCCCTACCACATTGCCAACGACAAGCCCTGCGGCTGCTGTGCCTACCTCGGCCCCCACCACCATCGTTACCGTGGTCAAGTCTTCCTCTTCATCTGCCGTCGAGACCCCTACCACCAGCTCTGTTGCTGTGGCCTCGCCCGTCGTGCACGATACCCCCACGACCACTGCTCAAGCTTCAGTTGCGGCAGTTGCCAGCACTACGTCATCTGCTGCTGCAGCCGAGTCATCGGTTACTACCTCTTCGACATCTAGCTCTTCCACGGGTAAGCGAGGTGCTGCGTACAATGATGCCAGCCTTGTTAGCACCGTCTTAGGCTTGGGTGGCAAGCTCTCGTGGGCATACAACTGGACCCCTGACCCCAACGGCCTCAAGGATAGCGTTATGTACTACCCTATGCTTTGGTCCACCGGATCCGACCACTCTACTGGTTGGGATACCAAGGCCGAGGCCGCTATTGCTCGAGGATCCACTGCCTTCCTCAGCTTCAACGAACCTGACATTAGCAGCCAAGCTAACATGTCGCCTGCGGATGCCGCTGCCGGACACAAACAGTACTTCGCCAAATACGCTGGTAAGGTCAAGATCAGTTCCCCTGCTATTTCTAGCAGCGAGAGCTCCGGCCAGGGTATCGACTGGCTCAACCAATTCTTCACCGCTTGCAACGGCGAATGCCAGGTCGACTTCTGTGCCGCACATTGGTACGGACCTGGTGGCACGGACGGTGCTACCCTATTCTTGAACCACATTACGAAGGTGCATGAGGCTTGCGAGAACAAGAACGTCTGGGTTACCGAGTTCGCAGCACAGAGCGGCGATGTAAACACCTTCATGAAGACCGTCGTTGACAAGTTGGAGAGCGACGACTACAGCTTCGTCGAGAAATACTCGTACTTCTGGCTCAGCGAAGGCAGCCTCATGAACTCGACTTCGACACTGAGTGACTTCGGCGAGATCTTCGCCGGCACTGCGTAAATAAATTACTCATTTTGAGTAGCACTACTTCTATTCTAACACAACTTCTTGTTCCATGATTTTTAGGGGGGAGGGCTTCTGCATCGCGATGGATTACCAAAAATCGGAACTTTACTTCTTTGTACATACTTCGGCTCATATCGAGTCTCCGGTAGATATCTGGTTGTATGGGGTCACCCCCGCCAGGATCTAGTCTGGTTTACATGGAGGATGGGAATCTCAGGAATCAGGGTAGGATTCATGAAGATACGGGGACACAACGAAATCAATGAAAATTGAAGCTTTTAGTCAAACTAAGTGATTAACCTTTTAAGTCATCAAGCAATGTGAAATGATCACGATGTGTCCTGTATCCATATGAAGTATCCGATACATGAAGCGGTAAATGATAAGGAGTACATCATAGACCTAAAACTAGTATTTTCCAGACACTTTTCCAATTCAACACAAACGATATGCTCATCATTAAACATTACCACAAGCAGGTACATTTAATTCTTATTCCGACCCATTCTATTTCCCTTACTCCTCTTTCACTATTCCTTTACTGACAATACCTATATACTGAGCTTAATCAAAAACAATCAACCCCGATAAAAACATCAAATCCAACCCCCCGAATCGGCCCCGTCCCCATCCTCCATCACCACTAAATTGTGCCACGGCAGTTCCTCCTCGTCCCCTTCAAACGCTAACTCGCTAATCCGGTACCGCGACACCGATCCCGGCCCCCGTGTCCGCGATACGGTTCGCGATATCCTCGTCGTCGTCCCCGGCGATGTGGGCGTGCGCGGGAGCGGCGGCGGCGGCGGAGATGTAGGTGAGCTGGGCGAAGCGAATGTTAACGCCGGGACTGCGGGTGGGGGAGGGGAGGTCGGCGCTCGTCGGTCCCGGTATCGTCGGATTCGCTCGAGGTCCGCGGCTACGGCTGCGGAGACGGAGGAAGGGGTTGCTGGGGGTGGGGGCGAGATTGGTTTGGTTGGGGAGAGGGGTGCCGGGACGAGGTCGAGGTCGGTTATTTGTGCTTGCGTGTGCGTGTGTGTCCGGGTTAGGGTGCTTAGCCAGGACCGGTCTGGAGCTTTGTCTTTGTCTTTGCTGGGTTTGCGGCTTTGGCTGCGGTTTCGGCTGGTGGTGCGACTTGGGTTTCGGCTTGGGTTTCGGCTTGGGGTTGGGCTTGGGGGGTTCGAGGGCGTCTTTCTGCCGAGGTTGATTTCTACCGGGATCGGTTTCGGGATCGGGGTTAGGATTGTGGAGTCTGTGGGCTCGTCGAGGGATGTGGACTCGTGCTTGTGGCTGGTTGCGCTGGTTGAGGGCGCGTCTGGTGGGTCGGGGTCCCCGAAGATGTGCTCGTATTGAGAGGTGCTGGTTGTTTTTAAGGGGAGCGATATCGCGAGTTTTTTGGTGTTGCGGCGGGGAAGGGGAGTTGGTGCTGGAGGTGCGGGCGGGCGGTATGAGGTGTGCTTGTCGTGGGAGCTGAAGGATGGTGAGGTGTTGGCGTTCGTGTTCCAGGGGTCGTGGCGCGTGGTCCATTGGATTACGAGGGCGGAGAAGAGGACTGTTATTTGGGTTAATAGGTAGGCGAGAGGATAGGGGAAAGGGGTAGGTACTTACTATCTGCATTGCAACAAGTGAGGAATACCCATCCCGGCTCGCCGTCGAGGACCATGAGGACTATAAGATTTCTTGAAGTGGGAGTTAGATTAACTATCACTGATTTCTATCGTAACAACGGCCTTCCACGATCGAACAAGTACGTACATTACGGTCGAAGTAGTCGTGCATAGAGCACCGATGAAAGTCCGCATAGCTACATTACGTAGTCTAGGGCTGGATGGGGCGTTGGATATGTTTTGAAACCCGTTTACACCTAAAGATTGAAAAGTCAGGTAATCCATTAGATGACTTCATGATATATAGTTGTCCTACCTCGTAAGGGGTTTAGGAATAGGATCGTGAGGTAGACCTATGATACCGGTTCAGCGTCTTATAAGTACTTCAAAGCATACACAATACCATACAATTACCACAATATCAAGAGTTATGAGAGGAATGAGACCTTGCCTCCCTATTCCGATGATACACCGTCCGTCTTCCAGGCGCGCAGAACGACTGTTTAGTTAGCGGATTTACGAAGTTTTTCTTTATACGGAGGTCTTCAATTTGACTTACTAGACGAAATTTAAGATGGAAATTATTCCATGCACGGCTGTTGCAAGTTGGTAAGCTAAACATAATATAATGAACGATGTATATAAGCCTTACTTAGTACTCCGAACGAGTTGAAAAGATACAGTTTGGATTCAAGTCTCCTTTTAGGACCACCTCGGATGATGAACTGAGTTTTAGACGTGAGTCTTCATGTTTATCTAAGGGTGAAAATAGAGGACCTACCTCTTTTTCAATAAGAAATATGTATATCAACTATATGACCCAGAACGTGAGCCAAGGGTGCATTATCTCTGCAAAAGGGGTTAAATTCTTACAACCTAAGACTTCTGTTAGAATGGTAATATTAAGCAAGTACATAAATGGTAAGAGGTATTGGGGTGAACACGAACTTTGGTGGACATATAGCAGAAGAGATAGGAGAGGATGGCAGCTGAGCAGACGCCCTCATTCATGTCGATGCCTATGCCATAGTTGATGATACCCGTCGCGAACACGAACGTCCACGAATCAACATAGAGGGTAAAAACCACTATGAATGGGATCTTCTACGTTAGCATCAAATGTGTATTGCTCGGATATGATCTTGTTCCTAGATAGAGCTAGGCTTACACCACGCGACGGACGGGAGATGCCACCAAGTCTTCACGGCAAGGGACCTCTGTGCTATCCTTATCATTAGCGCCCCGTTTTCCGAGGCACGGGGCGGAATACGAACTGAGGAACCACGATAGGATAGAGATGGCGCTGGTAAACAATATCACACCGATGACGGTACCGGCTAGGGGTGGCGGTGTCGTTGACGATGGAACCTCATTCCGATAAAATAGGAGTGAGGCCATATCGTATATGCTACCCGATCGCTTGTCGCTTAGTAGATTATTACATAAATGACCTCGAAATTAGGAAGGGCAACCCGGGAGGAGAAACGGAGAGGAGAGAGGAAGGAAATGTCAGGGACCGCCCACGGGGTGCGCTAAGTGGAAGAATATGGCGTGTGCCATTTCGACACGGCACACATAGAGTTCATCTATTCTACCATCACATCGGAGAAAAGGTTATCGATCGATATATTTAAGGTCGCGTTGCCTACCCTATCGTTCTCGGCGAATGTTATTTCGGACGATGGTTTAAGGTTGAAGATAGAGTCCGAGGGACTAGGCAAATCGAGTTGCTGCTAACCCGCGCTGGTTCAATTTTAACAATTACTGGTAAATCCATAGTCCCTATCTCTATAGTGTTACAATTAGAAACCAACTTATATTCATAGCAACACGCTGTATAGACGATTTGGGTCACTTAACTGTGTCTAGCGGTTGGAATTAACACAATAAAGCCTCAGCTGGGACCAGCCTTTACTTTAGACAAGGAAACAAGAACAACGAGTCGGGAGCCATACCTGATGTTAGTTTGAGTCGTTTCTCGCAACCAACCTAATAAGAGCTACACATCCTCCCACAAGCTTGGACGAGGGAAATTCCCACTCGGCTCATCGTCCCCAATTCAGGACCCGGGCACTTTTAGGTTTTCCAATCTGCATTAACGGACACACACGTCCTCCACCCCCTCTTCGTCGCCGCCACTTTTACACTGGGCTTAAGCCCAACCTTAACGCGGAAATAAGTAAGTCGATCACCCTTATCCCACTAGAGGACCCGGGTTCTTCGCGTGTGTAGTAGCGAAGCGAGAACTGCTTCCATCAGTGAGACATACATTCCCCTTCAAGGATGTGTATGGGATAAACTAAGGGATTTCGATTTATGCGGTGCTCTCTACCGAGGTAGGTATCGATCTGTAGCCATGTTAGCAGGAAATCCCTAAAATAAGACAACTGGGATATTGCTAACCATTCCGTAATACCCCCTAATGATATCCCGTATTACACATGTGGAAATGAGTAGGTAGGCTAGGTCAATTATTTTTGAATGCTTTTCCTTCAGACCAAATTTCCAAGTTAGAAACGCTCCAATTCACCCGCAACTAAATAATTAAATGTTCATGAACACTAGTGTATATGAGTGACAGGTTTATGTGATTTTATTTTGATAGCATTAACTCATGGGCTCACTCCATGCTGACTTGAGCGCAACCCATCGTCTTTCCTGTCTAACGCCAACCAAACGCTAAGCGTTTCTAATTGCAAAAGCTAGGTAGATAACCTCACGCCACAGAACGCCGGCCAATGCGATTCTTTGCTTTACGCCCTAATCTTCCAGATAAGATTTAACGCCGTTCTATCCGAGGTATTCCACGGTTATCCCACACCATCCCAATATCATCACTCGATAATCACACCCAGACCGCAGGCTCCATTACTCATCACGTACATTCATGGCTGGTGCATTACACCCATTCGGCACCTCAAGTGCATTAAGAACCTCTAGTAAGGTATTAATAAGAATTAAAGTAGATGCTCACTGATTCGAAGAGGCTGGTCCACTTGGTGGATGAGCTCTGGTCCGAATATGAAACTTCTCTCGCAGCCGATCTGAAAGTCGGGTATGTTGGCTTTGGTCCTCAGCTGAACTGGTGTCAGGAATTGCGTCTGGCTGCGACTCTCGATATTGTCGAAGAGCCAGAATGCGCTCATCAACAGAAGCGTGACGAAGCCTATTCCAATCGAGGAAACGGGATATCCGCCGTCTCTGCGGTCCGTCTCCATCATCCTCAGGGACATGTGCTGAGTGAGTATCAGCAGGGCCAGTCTCATTAGGCTGAGGCGCCTCGTTGGTAGCCTCGCCAGATTCTTCTGCTTCTTCTGCCTCACGAGGGCGTAGATCCAGCCGGCTATGGTCTCATTAGTATCAAATGCTTTAAATTACGGAGTTAAGTGACTTACCACAACGGGCATGTGCCGGAAACGTTGACTAGCCATGGATCTACACACTGTGGGTGAAATTTATGATCGCAAGGAAGCACTCGTACGTCTTGCCCGACGCTAAAATCTTCCGTGCAGATAGAGCAACCAAGATGGTCTTCCTCTGCCTGTCTACCACTCTCTTCGGTGTGATCTGAAGTGGTGGCCACAGGATTTTCAGTAACAGCTTTCGGAACGTCCTTCGTAGCTACCTCGGAAGTATTTTCAGGTTCCACATCGATTGATGTAACATCACGTTGTGTCGGCGATGCTGAGCGCGGCTGTCGGTCTCCTGAAATGCTTTCCAGTTCATTCTCCGGGTCTGGTTTTGCGGGTTGGGGATCACCAAATTTGACGATAGGCAGAGTCTCCAAAACAGCTCGTGCAAGACCTTTAGCTCGGCTCTGCCTTGGTCTTCCACCATAGCTAGCCCTCGGGCCGTATCTTTCGGGGTGACGATGTGCTCGGATAGCTCCGGTCGCGATAATAATGAGAAAGAGCAAAGTTATGAGACCAGTTATACTATATAAAATGCTCATAGCAACCGCTGAATTATTACCACCCTGGGTTTGCCCATTGTCGGTATCTGCGCCGGTATCGTTTCCTCCTGATATCGTTGCACGAACGATACCTCCCGTAGTATCCGATGTCCAGTTCTTGGTCATCCCGGCTGACTGCGGGTCGGTCATAGTCCAGATAGAAGTGAAATCTAAATCAGATCCACCTAGACCGCAACAAATTCCAGTCGTACTATAAAGTAAGATGGCTTTTGGTTGTCTGCCCATTACTGAATTTAATACGTCGTTGGAAGATATGTAGGAATCGTTGGAGTTGGAGTCGCAGGTTAAATAGGCAATGGAGTCTTTGAGGTTGAGATTATTATTGTTGTAGTTGGTCTGATCTACGACGACCATATCGCCTAGTACATGGAAAGCCTATCATGCACATTAGCGATCGCGCATCAAGATGGCTCATCCCATAAATTATTTACCCTCAAGGCATTCTCGTTGGTCTGGTTCAGCCCGGCTTCAGCCGTTAGAGGCGCAATCTTATATTCCACTCCAACCGGAACGGAATCTGAGGTCAAAGCTAGCGCCATAGAGGACTGGTCAAAATAATCGGGCAAGTCTGACATCATATTCGTGGTAGCTAACTCGGCGGATGCGACGGAAACGATAGAGGCAAGCCCGATTACGAAGGAAGCCATTTTGGCGACAGCGGCAACGGTCGACGTCGCCATGTCGGGCTCTTGTTGGCTTCCACACGATGGTCCAGCCGTTGTGGAATAGCTACCTTGATAGAGTCTAGAAAGAGAGGAAGGATCGGAACCAGGACAAGTCGATTAAGAGCAAGAGGCAATCGGATTGAGCGGACTAGTCCTTGTATGAGGACAGCCCTACCTAGCGCCACGCAAACAGGGCTGTTGTCTTTGGTGTCGCATCTCAGCACTATCTATCCTCTTCGGGGTAAGGCATGAGGTCGAGGTTCGTTCTATTGGGATATCTGAATCTTGGCGACGTTTCTTTCTTCTCTTGATCGGCAATAAGCGATTGGTACTACGGGATTTGTTGTAGATCCGGAGATATTTGAGAGACTGGGAAGAGGGAAAGGTAAGATCGGTTTGTCGGTTTGTCGGGTTGTCTAACGATAGCGACACCGTATGTATGTGTGTATGCGGTTGCGTGTGTGGTGTGTGTGTGGAAGAGTGTCAGAGTCAGGTGTATGCATGAGTTGAATGGTTTGACTTTGAGTGACAATTCGAACAAGCGCACGGGTGGGATGTGGGGAAAAGGCCGAAATGGAAAGGCGGTTTCTCAATTGTATGATTGTACGTACTTCAGCTGGGGCAGGTGGCACTTGCGGGCACTTACGGGGCACGGATTAAACGGCATTGGAATGCCAAGATCGCTTCCATGGCAACTTCCTAACTTCTCTCTCAAAAGCCTCAAGGATCCTAGTCTTATGTACTATGTCTATGAACTTTACATCTTCTTTCTTGAACAAGTACATAATCTCATGATGCGATCATACTGTATTTCATTCATGCAATGAATTATTTCAACATCTCAATTCAGTATTAATGACATCCATCATTTTATCAGTAGCAGCGAACAGACCAACGTATCAATCTACTATCATCGTGCTTGATACTCGCATCTAGGGAACATTCCGAGACGGGCATCGTTTTAGCGTCATCGTTCCTTTCAAGCAGAGCCAGCTTGGCATTTCCCAACGGCAGATCCTTCCGTGCACAGCCATTCACATATTATGCTTAGCATCTTTACTTATGTAGATATGTATGGCATGTGTAAACCTTGGGCAGATTACTGTAATTACTACACTTTACGCGCAATCTCCATGCAAGAGCAAATCGTGTGTAGGTCTCATTGGAATCTGCGTATCTGAATATGGCAACTCGGTTATCTGTAGCACCCCGCTATATAAACTCCTTCCAAGTCCCATTACCTATTCGGGCGTAGGCTCAAGACCAGGCAAAGATCATTGGTTCGCTCTAAGTGGTACTTAGTATCTTTATTTAGATCAATTCTTGAAACCCCGTAGCATGCTTACCTAACTCTTAAATGGAAAAGTATTTATTTGTCTATTCAAGTAGTAGCTTAAGTGCATATAACTCGTTATTTTGACACAAGATACAGATTTAATAGATACTGAATGTATTTACGACTTGGTCACTAATGAATCGGTATGTGACCCTGGTTTCCTAGAATCAGATTTGCTTCATAATGACATATACAGGTGCACGGGCCCTACGATCAAACCTTAATACTACATTATAGGCCTGTACAATGAATTCTAATTGGTCGGTCAGATCTAGACCTCCTAGAATCCACATCGGTCTCGGCCGCGAATTCTGAATCTAATTGTTTACAAATCTTGCCTGATATAAAGATGTCGTAATCGCATCTAGTCCCTCACCGCTGTTCACGATAAATGAAACGGTAGCGTATGTAAGTATACTATATATGCAGGCTTAACTAGTTCCAAGTTGCAAAGAAGGTCATTCTCATGTTGGAAAGCATTTACTGTTTCAAATGCATATTGCAATGTCACGATTAGTCACCCATCTACCTGGTAGGTAAATATTTCGAAGCGGTAAGATAACTGTAAGAGGGCATATGATTTGCTCGTTTATGAGAATACCTACTAGGTACGTAGATATCTAGAATGAGAGGTCCGAAAAACTCGACCACTTACAACGGCTTGTTTGGAAAGTCTATGCTCATACTCAGGTATCACGACTGTCGAGAGCCACTTTTTCCACAAACACCATCTTACTAGGAACTCCTGTTCACTTTTATATGAGTATAACATCAAGAAATAGTTCTACGGCTTCTCGGTATTCTCGGAACTGCTGTGGCACATAACTACAATCTTGGTTGCCGAGTATGCAAGTGTACGATTCACCCATGTCCTTGTCTAACTGAAGATCTGCTGCGTGTCAGATGCCAAACTCGCCCCAGAATGTCCTACATAAGCTACCCTCGGATCTAGCCTTTATCTTAAAACTCCTAAAGTAGGCACAAGATCAAGTTTTGCGACATGAGTAACCTTCTCGTGGTACGAAACGTTGTACATTGCTAATGCCGTAATGGTGTAGTTGGGTTACTAGTACAGCTGACAAGTAACAACCTTGGTTGAAACTATCCGTGGATTCGAAATAAACGAGGAGATATTTCCTCGGCGGCATTTCTTTGATTGTGCCTGATTATTGCTATCCTACAATCAATCAAGACGCGGTAGATTTAAGATAGGGGTTCATTAAATCAATAACTATATCTTGAAGCTGAATAACCTCAAACAATGCTCACAGAATACAGGAAGCATTTTACTAATCACAAAGTAGAGTTGAAGTTTACCCATTTTTCACCTAGAGCTCTCATTTTCATAGACGCCAACCTAGCTAAGTAGTACATATGTCAGATTATCGAGCCCTTGAGAACATAGATATCTACCTGATATTTACCTCCTTAAGAACGCAACTGCCAACATTTCGACAGTACTGTTAGCTCCTACAATTCAAATATTATGTATGGGAAAGGTTAAAAATCATGAGAACGGTGTGAGTATTCAATGCTTCTATTTTGGAATGACTCCCATGACATAGAATAGATATTAAATCACAACTATCACACCTATTTCCGCTCATTAAGCCTCAAGTCTAAGGCTAGTCCTGTCAGACATAAGAGATAATTCAACGTCAAGATACTAGTTTAGTCACTCATTCAATTTTCTCTCAAACTAAACTACGCGAATCGCTGTCGCTTCTATGTAACCATGTACTTGTAGTGCAAAATCAGTCTCGGGGGTAGTGGTTGCCGCATGTTATCCATATGAGAAATGAAAACATCCGGTCATATTTCTTCCATGTCTTCCAAGTCATCGAGGACAGGGTACTCGCCTACTTCGACTCTTTCTGGTCTGACAAAGACGCCATGTTTGAGTGCCGATTCGGTACCCCAATATCTAGTGCCGCTAATGCTTCCGTCGTTCTTTCCGACTGGCTCATCAAGTTGAACTCCGATCCAAGCACCTATGGATCCCGGAATCTCTTTAACTTCGCCGACATATTTGACCTCTCCTCTTCGAGAGTCATCGCCGCCGACTCTGCACCGTTTACCCACCTCTATGCCTCTACTTCCAATTTCGGCAGCAAATCCGTCAATCTTAGCCTTCTCTAGGCTGGGAGCGTCAGGATTGAAGCGACCAAGTCTTTCGGCCTTCTTCCAAGCCAATACCGAATCGGATTTCTTCTCGTACTCCTCCTCCGGCATAATGTATTTCTCAACCCCGGAGGTATCATTGAAGTTCAGCTTGGCGCTAGCTGGCCGAGTATCAACGATCTTTGCAATATGATTAGTAGATATCCAAAGGCCGCGTATTATTGTGAGCAGAATATTGGTGTGTAATCATGTCTGGGCTTTTTGACAAGATGACACGTATTTATGATATAGGGTGCTTCCGCGGCAACGACTGGCTCGATGGGTAGCCTATATGCAGCATCTATGATAACCAAATTTCACTTACATGCAGTTCTGCATAAGCAGATAGGGGAAAGTTTGACAGAACCGTTGTGTCTTCATCTACAGCCTCGACGGCTATGGTTTCCTTGGAGGCAGTCTTCAAGCTAATGCGCTGAGACGACGGAGGGATCCCCGTCACAGGTTCAAGTTTCCTCTTCAGTTGGCTGATCGACCATGATGGCGTGATTCTCCTTTCAGAGGCCGAATTCTCGGAGATGACTTGCAACGGGATATCCGCCATTGTTCGCCTTTCCTTGTCTGGCTTGTGGCGAATATCTAGACGAGATGAGTGCGTGCTGAAAGGCGTATCAAGGCCGACGATCGGGTAATTTCGATAGGATTAGCGGGATCACGCACGTCCTATTCCAGCAACAGCGGCACACCGGGCTGCAAGGTATGCACTGCAGAAGTGAGGCTCTCGATCTTGGGGTTCACGCCTAGATTCCCCACAGCGGGCTCGGTAAGGACCCTTGCTTCAGAGACGCAAGATGTACTCGGGCCGCACAATAGCTATGCAGCGACGGCCAAGACTCCGGAAATCTGTTGAGAACACGAGAATGTTGGGCAATAGGTGCATATATGATGGCGAATTTATGGTGTATGGGCTATATGTGATGTGTGCAGTAGCAGCAGTATAATTGCAAAAACGGAGATGTAGTTGGAGAAGAAGGCTATGGAAAGAATAGCCCAGCAATCCAGCAATCGATGTATTTTCAACCCTTGCCCACGCAGCCACGGTATGTCACGGTACGGTGCCTGGTAGTGGAGGCTGCTAGGCTGCTAGGTTGCAACCGCCCAGGGTTTAGAGCTTAAAAGGGAAGTGTTAGGTAGTACGGCCAACCTGTAGCAAGGGCCAACAAGCGCAAGCGCAACTAAGAAACCGCCACAATTTGCTGCAAGCCACAAATGTTTATGAACTGTCGCTTGCATTAAAAGTGCACATAGAACACATCGTCATACCTACTAATAATGCAATTTATGTACTGCACCCCCACAATGGCAGGTACATCTCCGGCAGCTGCATGGGAGATTTTATTATGAACCTTGAATGTCACTATGGCGTCTTTAGTCAGTTATCCAGATCAAGTTTATTTTTGGCTTTCTTTACTTTTTTCAATCATCGATCGTACGACGAATCTCAAAACGGTATCGCCATGCATACCGACCTGATTCAATTTGCAGCATTGCAGCAGGGAACCCGCGTAATATGCAGGTAACGCATTGTTAGCACACTACGCCAAAACATCGTGAAATGAAATTCGATCTCACACGACCGCTGACGTCTGTGACCCGTCCAGCCAGGCCAGGTTCCAGCCAGGTATCCGAGATCCAATGCTTGTCACGTAGGACAAACGAATCTGAAATAGGGGACCAAAGATTTGGGATGACGCCGTTTGCATCATTATCTCAGCATCCCCTGAAGATCCAACTCATCGGGTATCACGACAGATCTCGTCACCAGAATCGAACATATCCGGCCTCATCGAGTTTCCTTCTCATGCAATCGAACAGAAAGCATAAGAAGACATAAGATCTTGCACATAATACCTACCGGCATGCCTAAAAAGAACGCGGAATATGACACGCCATTTCGGCATCATTGTCACCTTTCCGCCCCCCACGTATGATTCAATTGCTTACAAGACTTCGATAGTTCCGGCAGCGAACCGGCGATCCTAAAACAGATCTATCAATCTCATTAGGGCGAGGCGCACACGTTCAGCCGCTTGACGGGCTGTCGACTTCGCGGGGAAAACCCGGAGCCGGGATCCAAGAAGTCCAGGAACACAGACCCGAGCAAACAGAAAGCTCTTTAGGTGTCCTAAGTATCCTCGAAATCTTGGTTATCATAATGGTCCCTAGTAGTTGACAAGTCACATCTCGGTTGACGCTACGCCACCCGCGCCCAGGCTGACACCTTAATGTATGTATGTATCTACCCATGCTCCATTTCCCCTTTCGTCCACACCACAGCCCTAAATGGAATCATTGTTCGTCTTATACTGGGAGCTCATGTGGCTCGAGATGCTGTCTTAGGCTACGGGCGTTAGATGAGCACACCAAGACCTCAAGGTAATATATCTAACACGAACGGCGTAGGCTCATCACGGGGGGCGAATATGCGTTGTTCCTGCCGGATGGTCCCGGCATCTATGACATTGTTCACCGCTTCGCCGTTGGCGGTCAGTTCTGTCTGCTGTCAATGTCCGACCCAAGAATGAGAGATACTACCGTCTTGCCGTCTCATTTTTGGCTTGCTGTATCATGCCATATGCTTCGGCATAGTCTTAATAGGGCAAAATAGCCAGTACTCACTTCCCGGGATTCACCTCAGGTGTCAGGCAGCATTGAGGCTTTTATTTGTTCGTTTCTCGTTGCGCCCTAACCATTGATTGTCGTTTGCCTGAGAGCCTCCAAAGCCACGACATAATAATAGCCGAACTTATGGGACGAAGCCACGGCGTTGCGGCTAGACGGGCATCAACGGGTCCTATGTATGTATGTACGGCAGGAAACAATTAAAGCAAGCCATCGATGCAAAGCCAACGCAGTTACCCAGGTGCAAACGGGCAAAACGGGCAAAGCGCGCAGAAGGGTTGGAAAGTACCTACCGGGACCTGAACCATTAAGGTACCGTAGCGGCAAAGGGTGTTTCCTCAAAATGGTTGTTTTACTGTACAATGATTTTACTCAGGGAAATGATTTCATATCCTGGAACGATTTCCCGTTTTAGCGCTAGGGCCACAATTCTATTCGCTAAACTTAGCTAAACCTTATATAGAGTTCCAAACCTTACTCTTTCAGTCACTAGTGGGACTGGCCACCCCACCAAGACTACTTAGCTCAGTTGTAATGCGCGTTTACCACACGTATGCATTGCAGAAGGGCCTGGGTTCGAGCCCTACCCTTTTTAAAATTTTAGGTTTTTCAAAAGTACCCTTGTATCTTTTACCCACTTTTCAATTATTTCAACCAATCAGAATCTAGTATTTTAAAGTCATTGCATGGAAGGAAATCGTTGCAGCCCAGGAAATCATTCTCTGAAAAGAAACGTTACCCTCCAACCGTATCGTTATTATAATTTGAAACCATTTCATCTACCCACCCACTCCCGCTGTGGTAGCTTACGTAGACAGCTAGGCAATAGGTAGGTACGGCGAAGTTGGGGATTTCCAATGGGCATCAAGGAACTGTCAGATAAAATTGGTGGCTGATAGTTGGGGGCTGACGAGCCCAACTAGACGGTCCCGGGGTTTACTGGCCCATCGGAATTCCTTACAGACCGGTTCGATTCAAGCCTAGGCCGAAAGGTAGAGAATACCTACCTACGTACCTACATACATACGCCTTGCCTCACTTGACCTCGAACGTTGCACGTCAATCAGTCCACCGGCCTCTCAGCACGGCCACATTATGTACGCCTTGCATCGTCCGGCGACTAGGTAGTTCACGATACGACCAACGGTTATGACATACATACATATCTATCTTAGGCGTCATGAACATGCTCTTTTCTTCTTAATCCTTCGAACGTTCGGGATTTGATTCCGGATCTGTTCCTCGTATATATCCCTCTCTAGGGCTGCTCCCGTCATTAGCAAGAAGCCAACAGAAATCACGATATATACCCTAAACCCTAGTAAGATCGTAGTGCGCTTCTTGTTAATTGATTGACAAACGGGAGAAGCAAAAAGAAAAGTACATACCTGAGATATGCTCCGCTTCATTCGGGCAGCAACAGTCGGTAAACGATCAATTTTCTCCTCATCCACACCATCCACACCCCCCCACGCCTTACGCTTCACGCTTCACACTTCCCACCAATCTGGGACAGGCATAGAAGTGACGATAAAAAGTGCAAGATTCTTTGACGGCATGCCGCTTCATTCTCGTCATAGAAAAGAAGTTGATATCGATGTAGTACAATATCTATGCTGGTCACAGAGAGCTGCAGCAAAAGTACATATAGATAAGTAGATAGATTGCGCTAGCTACGATGCTCGCAGCACTTGCATACATATGTAATGCACTTACAGAACGCAGTACAATGCGATTATATCATGCAGATACATATCACATACCTACTTATACACTAAGTAGGTACTTAGGACCTAGGTAGATACTTACATAGTAGGTATAGACGTGTTCTTTTTCCTTCGTTCTTCTACTGGCACTCCTCCCCTGCTTGTCTGCCCGACATTCTATTGAGGATTAGGTATGGTCCCTGAATTCGCGCGTAGCGCACGCGATCCATCATCTGGGATGGGCAGCAGGGCCAGCAAACTCCTCAACATAAGAGGTTCGCCCTCCGTCTTCTTTTTTCTAAAAGCGAGGAACCGGACAGGGGTTATGGTCCTATCAGAAATTGGTAAGGCAAACAAACAGCGCAGTTCTTGATGAGGTGTACGTGTAAGATTTTTATTTTATTTTTTGACAAGCATGAGCATCATGTGTGCGGATGGACCCAAACCAGCTTTTCCTAATCATTGTGATGCGTATCGGCAAAGTAGATCATGGTTCATGGCAGTTGTTTTAATGGCGTGCATGAAAACAGACATGGAAGGCTGAAGTTCGGTACCGCCTTACCTTTACTTGGCAGTGACGTGTGTAGGGGAAAGGGGAGGGATAAAAGAGGAAGAAGGGAAGGTTGAGGTATGGATTTATTGGATTGGATTGTTGTATTGTAGGTACCTACTACAACCACCGCCACCACCGCTATACCAAAGCTATACTAAAGCTATACTATACTCGCTATACGTCGTTGTCCTCCTTGTCCTCCTAAGAAACGGATACCCATCCATCTTTAAATAATCACTGTCAACTATAACCTACCTACCTATATCCACGATGCATGCTAAGTCTGCTGACCGCCAGTTCATCGGATCCAGAGATCGCTATTCCCGGTGACCCGGAAACACTCATTGACTGAATTTCTCTCGTGCTCACAACTTGGAGACAACTTGGACGTCCCTTGCAAAAACCCGGAATGCGAAAGATCAAGATGCGAAGAGTTTAAGAAACACACCGGGACCGTATCTTATTACAGGCAACGTGTGATGTGCCTGGGATACTATGTATGAGACGAACTGAAATCGATTGCAGATGATATGTTCATCAAAGCGTCGAAATCGCACAGACGTTGGGCTCTGTTTTGCAACGTGCGACTTGTGTAGAGAGCCCCATATCCCGTGTTCGAGGAACAAGGGGGGAAGATTTGAAAAAAAAGAAGTGGAGGAGGGGCTTTTGTTCTTTTTTTGTCATATTTTTGACTTTTTGACTTTTTGGCAATTTTTATTATTTTGGATTTCCTTCTCCAGTGCTCTTGCTAATTCTTGCTAGACTAAGTCTTGCTAGCACCCGGACTAGTGCCGTTCATTAGTGGAGAACCCACGGAAGTACATGATACAAGATTTTAATAGTACAATAGAACAAGAAAGTATTATTCGCAAGTATTGATCCATTGTTCCCGATAACCTTGAACTTCAAACAGACACATACCACATACACATATGCATATCTAGACCACAACCTCACACTACGCACTACGCACTACACACTATACTAATACACGTTACCACACTACTACACTACCACACTATACCACCGCACATCAGAACCATACAGAACCCTACGCAACCACACATAAACCATTCACACCGTTCCGTTCGCTTCTGCGTCCGATCTGAACTGACAACGCCGACCTGACCACCACCACTACTAACTACCACCCCAGACATGTCAAACCATTAACCCCCATGTTCCCATGTTTCCATAATCCCCATGTCCCCATGTTCGCGGATGGCGCAGTGAACTACAGCTTGTATACTATACCAGCATACCAGCATACCCTGCTCTCCCGGATGGGTGAGAAAAAACCAACCTATACCTTGTTTTTTTTTTCGTCCTCCCGCCTAGCCGGTGCTAGCGTATCTCGAAGGGGCTTCATCGTCAATGGCCCTTGCCAGCCCTCCCAGCCCTCCCAGGTAATTCAAGGTCGTAATCCGCACATGCACATCAGAAAATAGCTATACCCTAGCAACGTACAAGCCCGAACCGCCCACTGCCCTAAGGTAGCGAGGGTAGTAGTGACATAGAAAGGTAGGTCTGGCTGTCGGTTTCATGAATCTCCACTCTGCTCTGCAGTTTCACTCTCTACATGGTCTACATAGTCTACATGGCCTACATGGTCTACCTACATGGTCTACATGGTTTACATGGTTTACAATGGCCGCCACCGCCACCGACCTGTTCATTGGGGCTTCTGGAAATTCGGACTCTGGGTAGTATCGCTTTCCAGGGACGGGTCCTTTCTCCGAATCGATCTCTACCAAGCCTTGTGAAGCTGCCCTGCAATGGATCGTCAAGGGGTCTCCCAGGTCCTTAAGCCTCCGGAGCGGCATTGGGACGGCAACTGGGACGGGGTGCCTTGTCACGCCCAGGTTCTATGTATGCGCTTGTGCTTTGGCACCCGCGCAGAGACCCAAAGCGCATGCCGTAAGTCTTGTCTTGTCCTAGCGAACCCATCATGTTCGAGCTGTAGGGCGGCAACTCCTTGAAGTTCTTGCCGACAGCAGCAGCTTGCTTTCCCAGGGGGGAGGGATGGGACGGTGGATGGGATGGGAGGGAACTATCCCAACCCAACCCTGGACCGTCCCAGGAGCCTCTCGAACACCTCGTTCGTTTGTAGCCTTCTTCAGTTCGTCGCTCATTTGCGTCATTAATCCGCCGATTCAGCAGCTACCCCTAGCGTACTAACCAAAAATACATGAGAAATGCTGAATTGTTCTCTGCGAGTGTATGCATGCTTTCGTGGCACTCAGCCCCCCGGTCAAGTAGCTTGCATGGCCAACAAGTCGTTTGTGTTCGACTTACAATCTCAAAGTCTCTTTGGGGATGAGTAGGTGAAATATCCACAACACCTGCGTCTCTAAGGGCTTTTTGGACCTTAACGGCGTATCACCTGAAAAACTTGTCACTTGCTAGCCTGACTCCTCCCCCCTCCTTTCCCGAGGAAAGGCTTCTTGGGGGAGGCGGCAGAGACTATGTATGCCAGCACAGAATACATAGTCGGTGAAGTGGTTGACCAACTCCCACGAACTGCTGGTCTCTATTATACCTCGCACAACCTGCCTATTACCTATAAACGTAGAGACCTGGTGTCTATCGTCTCCACACTTATATTTCGACACACCATTAACTCCCACCCCACACCCCCTGGTGAGCTTGGGACCCTACAGCTTTGTGACCTGGACCTAGACCTGGACCTTGTCTATTCGTTCCTCTCACTGACCACCATACGCTCACATCAACCTGAAGCCTCCAGTCTTGTAGTCACTTTTTTTTTTCTTAACCTACCTAGTAGTGTTTCTTTTCTTGATTTTTTTTTCTCCGATACCAATTCGCACTGCGCAACCCAGACGTGGACCTATGAAGCTTTCATCGCCACTATAACGACACTCCATAGGAGATAAAGATTATGAACATCGAGAGGAAGTACCTTGGGCTGGCGAAACCTTAGACATCTACCTGGCTTGAGCGAGGTACTGTACCTACCCGCCTCATTATTCATAAGCGTTTATTGGCTGAAGGAAAAGCCCAAAAGTATCCAATCATGTGTGACAACTAACAAAACACCATATCCTTCACTAATCTAGAGCTCTGGCTTCCCTAAACACACTCTCCCTTTTGTTTCTAAACTGTTCCTAAAGTACTCCTTCACCTCGAACCTCGTACGATCTTCTATCCCACAATAAAGAGTTCACGAACTTGACCCGTTCAGCCTCAAAAAGTCAGGCACCAAATTATTATAATATTCTTCTTAAATCCAAGTACACAAAATCTAGACGGCTTGAGGACTGTTGTTGCCTAGTTCCTCAAGACAAAAAAAAACAAAGTCGAAACGCTTCTAGGCGATCTTGGTGGACTGTCGAAGCAGCACGAACTGTGTTGAGAAAAAACCGACTATCGCCGCCTCTTTGACGCCTACGAGGATCCTTAGCGCCTAACAGCGCCTCCATGAAAACCTGCCCGTCTAAGGCTCTATAGGCCCTAACCGTCATCGTGGATATCAACTCCCTTCTTAAGGGTCCCGACTCAAATGAGTCCTCTAAATCCCCCCCTCAGCATACCCGAGCCGCATCAGTTCCCCTTTCAACGACCACAGCCGCCTTGACGCCGGCACCCATCCCTGGACCACCGCTTTACGGTCCTCCACGTCTAGGGCCACTAGGACCAGGACCAGGACCAGCTTTAGTAGGGACAGTACCCGGAGAACGCAGCATGTCACCACACGCGGCGGAATCGCCTGCTAGAAGGCAAAGTAAATGGACCCGGGAAGAGAATGAGCTGATCACCAACCTCCGGGGGAGTGGTATGAAATGGGACGACATCTCTAGAAGATTACCAGGTAGGAGTGCTATTAGCTGCCGCCTGCACTATCAAAATTACCTCGAAAAAAGGAGCGCATGGGATGAAGAGAAAAAGAACAAGCTCGCAAGACTATATGAGAGGTGAGTAGGATGGTTTAGAAGCAGAATGTCGAAGTCGAACAGAAGTTTTATTTGGAACGTCTACCGATCAGGCTCGAGAGACCGAAGTAGCTAATGGGTCACGAAACAGGTTGAAACACGACATGTGGGTTAAGGTGTCCCAGGAGATGGGAATACCGTGGCGTACGGCAGAGGCGATGCACTGGCAGCTAGGAGAGCAGGACATACAACGCCGCGCAGGAGTAGCGCAACCCTTCATAATGTCTCCAGTGACAGCAGATGAGCCTCACGGCGGCCCTAGGCCATCTACACGACATGCGCATTCCCATTCACAGGGCAACCTTTCTCGGAACGTAACCCCTGGAAGAGGCTACGAGCGCGGGGAGCCTTCGACATCTAGCAGGCCTCTCGCATCGAGAAGGGAAAGCATACCACACCACGTCCCCGTCTATCCCGAACACGTGCCCGATAGTTATGGTTATCACCAACATAACCCCATGCCCCTGGCTCCTATCAAAACGGAATCACAGCCTCCTTTGCCTGGGATGTTACCGTCAGTCGCGGAGCTCACTACGGGCGTAAGCCCCTATAACACCATGGCATATGCAATCCCGAGTCTAAGCCCTGGTCCTAGCTCGGTCCCGAGCCCTTGGAATACCCATGCGGGTTATCCGCCACTCCAAGAATCGACAGGCTCAAAACGACGAAGAAGCCCGGACACCAACCACCTCTCCCCAGGCCTGAGGCGAAGACACCTAGACCCGCGGCCGTGACTACAAGGCTCCTATCCACATAACGAACTTGGCCTCGAACCACGGCTCAAGAGAGAACGAATTACGATACTTAATTAGGCGAGATCGAGATCCACGTGTTTATTTTGGATCTGAGGCTTGCGTTACATTACCTTCTAACGACTTACCTTATTTTTCTTTGTCATTTTACCCCTTTTTCGAGACACGAAGAACGTACGGCAACATACGAACTTATATCGTCGTCGTCGAGAGAACGAACAGAACAACTACAACAACAGGAACAGCGTTGCATCGGGACCGGAGCGAGCATTTTGAAGAAACAGGTATCGGGCATAAGCAAACGGGATATTCTTTCACGTATTGACGAAAACAAAACAAAACCACACACTTTCGAAGAGAAAACACAGACGGGCGGACAGGCGGAAAGAGTGGATGAGGAGAAGAAAAAATGATGATGTGAAACAATACGTATGGGCAGACAGGCAGAAAGCAGGCGGACTGGACGGTGCGGTGCGGGTTTTTGGGAAAAGAGATGAAAAGACCCGCCGGCTTTGGAGGACGGTGGGTTGATGGGTTGAGATAAAGGGGGGCGCAGGCAGCCGAACCGACGACTCCCCTCTTCTCTCTCTCTTTCTCTCCTCCCCCTTTTCCTGGGCTGGTTGACGGGGATTGTTCCCATTCTCGATCGTGTCCTTTCCCTCCGTCCATCCATCCTCTTCTTCCTCGAAATCATGGGGCGGCGCAAGGATCCAGTCAGAAAAAGTGCTTTTTTACTTTGTTCGTTTAACTCCTTTATTGCTTTTTTTCCCTTTTCCTTTTTTTTCTGGACTTTGATTTTTGAAACTTTTTTTTCTGCAAATATTTTTTTCGGTGCATCCTTTGCTCTTCGCTGCTGCCTCTCTTCTCTTGTTTTTTTTCTATGGTTTCCCGCACAGGGGGGGCGCGTTGTACGGTTGGGATGTACGGTGGCCTTGATACCCGGGGCGATGGGGGTGTTGGGGAACGGACGATGATCGGGGCGCTAGGGGGGACGGGGGGCACACACAGTAGCAGGAGTCTTCGCGGTGCGAGGTTTTAATGTATGGTATGGATTTGATCAACGGGAAACGCGTGTTTGGTTTTTGATTTTTAGTCCGTTATTTTGATTTTGATTTTTTTTTACTCCTTCTACCTACATCTCATGTATTGGGAAATTTTCTTGTAGCTGCGGCATTTACCACGGGCGGGTTGGGGAGAGCCAAGCATAGCTACTACTTATGTCATGATAGATAAAGAGTTAGACGATGGCAGTCTGACGGCATGCTACGGGTTCATTCTTAGGAATTATTGGAATTTAATGTACAGCACTTTTTTTTATTCGCTTAAAAGACATTTACAGATACCTACCTACATACCTCCTAGTACCAGTAATTATCATATTTGTTCAAGCGTGCTCGCGATCGCCGTTGTAATGTTATTTTAATATTGCTATCGAGATAGTATAGATGACGAACTCGTGCCTTTTCCTTCTTTGGGACTTGCTATAACCCACCAGTTGTCCTTTTCGTACCCACTCCCCAGGATCTCACCGCCCGCGGCCTCGACATCCTCCTCCAGCTCTCCTTTCCTATACAGGTGGTAATACCGCTGATACGTGGCCTCTACCGGGCCCGGCTCCCCGTTGTCGACACGTTCGCCAGCTCCTCCCCCCTTTTTGCTAGCACCGTCCTTCTTCGCTTTCTTGGGCTTGTTGGATTTCAGAACCCACGGCACTAGCTGGTCCTGATCCGCGGTCCCTTCGTCCCACCCCCGTCGACTGCTCCCTTGCTCGAGCGCCCACACGTACACCAGCACCTTGCCGGTCCGCGGGGTAATGCAATCGAGCAGCGCGCGCACACCTTCGATGCGCCGCTCCCGCGTCGACAGGTGGTGGATGACGGCGATACAGATAGCGAAATCGACACGTCTGCTGCCGCCGAAGGGGAGGTCTAAACCGTCCGCGACTCCTACCACATCGACTCCCGTAGCGACGCTTACCTTCTCCTTACCGTCGCCCTCGCTCTTCCCCAAAACCTTGAGATCGCGCGCGAGCCGGGCTAGGTTCGCGCTGCGGTCCGAGCCGAAGATGACTAGGTCCGGGTTCACGTCGAGGTACTTGCCGTTGCCGCAACCGACGTCCAGGCCAACGGATCCGGGGGGCAAGGAACTTAGAAAAGAAGCGACGAAGGGCCAAGGTTTGTATCGCGTAGATGAGAAGTGCGACGCGATGGTCTCGTAGACGCTGTGCACGTGCTGTTGTTCGTAGGATTCGGCGGCAGCGACAGTAGTGGTAATAGGGGCACCAGCTGTAGAGCTAGGGTTAGCGCTACCGTCAGTATGACTAGCCTGAATCCCAGCGACAGGTGCTGAAGAAACCGCTGCAGCTGGAGCCGCGGGATGCGAATTGACGGAGCCAGAGCCAGAGCCAGAGGGTTGGTGGTGGTGGCAGGCTTCTCCTCCCCCTGTAAGCGTCACCGCCTCTCTGGATGCGGTGCCGGCGGTAGTAGGATGGTTGCTGGCGTTAGCCCGTGCGGGACCCTCGTGGTCTAGCCGCCGCTCCATCCCACTGTTCGCTACATGGCCTGGATCTGGGTTCGCTTGCTGCATGGCTTGGGGTGTTGTACTTTGTACAATGATACCCGACCTGGGCAGGCTGTAGTTTGGTAGGTTATGCGGGTTGGCCTACTAGATCTGGAGCACAAGACAGAGCAGGGATGCGTTTTAGATTGCGCAGGCTTCGCTAGCGTTTGGCGCATACGTCGTATGTGCCTAGGGATGATGGAGGTGATAGGGCAGAGCCAATATGGAACTGATACAAGCGAAGATTCAGACACGGTGACATAAGTAACATGAAAAAAGGACCGGGGTATGGCGTGAGATGGGCAGATGAGAAGATAGGATTTGTGTGGAGTACGGGGGTGCGTTTTCTTAGATTTCTTGGACTATGGCGAGATTGGCAAGTTGTACGGCAGGCCCTGGTCGTTGGGATAAGGTAGGGAAGAAAGGTTCCAGTAACCCGGTAAGCTTCATTCTGTTCGGCGGGTAGAGAAGTGGGGGTGGTCTAAACCTTGGACCGTTCGGCCAAAAATTCATTTTGTATGGGATATATATTGTACATGGGGATGTACTGTTACTTACGTTATGACTGCTGCGACTACTGTAGGTGTATGTATTAGCCGTTAATGTACCCTTGTGTACATGGTTCAACGATCTAATGCAACTAATTATATGATTTGTACTGTGTACATGATCGCGACTCGATCTGTTAGTTGGAGAAGAGAAGAAGAAAAAAAGAAAAGCAAAAGAAACTACGATGACCAAATAAATGATAAGAACCTTGGAACTTTTCTCGTTACACACGTAGACATGTGGATATGTGGCTTTTCACGCACCTACTTCATAATTAGCTTCAATCTAGCCTAAGGGAAAGTGGGGAGTTCCAAGGTTCTTCTTGTGGCTTGGTCAGGCTTTATCGGTTCGGTTCAAAGTGGAGAGTTCCAACCCGAGGGGTCGGCTCGAACCGGTTTCCTTCCTTCGCTTGTTCGCTTGACTCTGCATGTCTTAGATCTTGCAGCTCAGCTCGTGTGATTTCTTCTAGTTTTTCACCTTCTTTAGATCCCCAGTCCCTGGATCCTGGGTCCTGGGACCTGGGTTTTGAGTTCTGGGGAACATTGGCGGCGGACCGTAATGAAAGGGCGGAATATGATGCCATGTGGTGAAACCCTTCCCGTCGTCCCGCGAGCTCTAAAATCTCGTGTCGTATGTTCCCGAGACATGCAGATAGACAGGTTCATTGTTGGAACTTTTTCTAATAATGCAATTCTCATTGCGCATTGTCTGCTGGTCTACTGCAGTGTGACAATAGACTTGTGTCCCCAGCAGCCTTTACTCGCTAATTCGCGTTGGGCATGAGGGGTTCGTCTTGGGTTGAGTAGGTACCTATGAGCAGCGCCACCTGCGCAGTCAACTAGCCTTGTCCATGTACGCCATACCACTCACACGATATCAATGGGCTGCAGAAATTTCAATCATTCATGGACAGGAATGATATGCCTCCAAACCATTGGATTCACCAACGATCCCAGCTAGGTAGGGTTATTTCGAATAGCCAATACTAGTTCAGGAATAAGGGGTTACGGCATGGTGTTACTGGGAACTAACGCTTACGGCCGGCATAGTGGGAACGAATAAAGAAACTAGGCAAGAGAGAAAAGAAATGAACGATTGGATGTTACCCTAAGCTTACGATAGCATTCACGTCCCTCTTCGTTGTTTTCTATGATCTAACTTTATGTGGGGGTGATAGAGCTTCTAGAAGATTGTGGTTGATAGGAAACATTGGACTTACGTATTTCATCGATACATGACCCTCGCTGTTTTCTGATTAGTCAAGGGGGGTGCATAGTAAAACGATAGGGTTGGATATAGAACCAGCTGGCATACACAGAATATAGTCATACTCACTTATTTTATTATGTCTACATGTCTACATGTCTACCTCGGTAAGTAGTCGAAAAAGCGATCGATATATGACACAGATCGTATTAGTTAGCACCTAGGTACCTTGTAGCTTTCACACAGCCGAAAAATAGGGGCAACCTGGATACACCAATGGATATCTTCCATCTTGAAGCTTACAGGCAAATTTAGATGGGCATAAAACGTAAATAAAAGCAAGCTAATAACGGTTTTAGCATTTGTAACTACCTAGTACCTACTACCTACTAGTAGGCAATAGAGATTCCAATTATCAGTACTATCAGTTAACGCTATTTCGCGGTCTCAGCCTCTAAACCCGTGCCGCCGACCTTATACCACCCGTCACCCGACCTATGAACCGAAAGGAGGCCTATCTAGTAATCGCTATGGATTCCGAATTCTTTTCTACATATTGAACATCCCCCATGTCTACATGGTGAAATTCCCCAATGAATTCCTTGAACTGCTCTAAGCACTGCACCCAGATCGCATGGCCTTTTTCGGTACGTGACCAATCCTCTACAGCTTGAAGGCCCTCAATATCTTCTTTCATGTGCGCTTCGTCTTTAGTCCCATCCAGAACTGCAGTACCTCCGAGGCCGAGTACGAGCGCATACAACGCGATGGGCCGTTCAGTACCAGCACAAGTAGTGATTGTTTTTAAAGGCGGAAACTCTCGGAGACGTGGGTTTCCAGATAGAACCCAGAATGCCTGGAAAGGAATTTTCTTTCCACGTAGATACGCTCTCATCTCTCTCTCCCAGCAATTCTCCACATAAAATCGATTTTGTACGCAAGCCGGGAGGACGGTGATCTCAGGCGATTCGCAAAGCTGCTTCACGTATCGAAGAGGTGTATTAGATATTCCTAATGACCTAATCGTATGTGGCACATACGTCTCCAGTGTCTTCCAGACCGTGAGTGTGTCTTCAAATGTGTCAAGGGGTGTGTGTAGAATTAAGCAATCGATGTATGGTTTCTCGCGATCTAGACAGTCGAAGTTCCGAAGCGAAGAAGCTATAGAGGAGTGGACTTGCTCCGCCAACGGCGCCAGCGGATCGTAAGGGAGATCTAAGAGATCCTGGCTATCGATAGGAGTGAACTTCGTTTGTATCTGAAGGTCTGTTAGTGACTTAGTCACCATACATCGTAACGAATAGAATGCAACGCACAAATAGATCGCTCCGTTTTACGATGCCATCTCGTATTGCCCTTTTCACAGCCCTTCCAACGAGGGACTCCTTGTAATGTCGGGGTTGAGCAGCAGTATCGATTCCTCGGAACCCGGCTTTCAAAGCTAAATACACATAGCGAGCCGTTTTGTATTGCTTCCAGGCTGTCCCATATATCATTTTTGGCATTGGCGTTTGTCCAGTACCTGTGGTAAAGGGCGTGGCATCTAAACCTTTACACTTCGATGAAGACATGATTTTTCTATAATAATTGAGGCTTGAAAATGGATTAACACGCGTTGTAAATAATGTCCTGGTACCTAGACGATAGAAATAATATTGCTTGAGTTGAACGGTCGCCCGTTACATATCGCCGTACACATAACACTAAGCGTTTTCGATCAAAATAAGATAAACAGCCGTTCTTTTAGCTTGGCAATGTTGTTCTCTATTCTTCAACTACATGTGTAATAAGGTTTTTGGTCCCAGGGGCCGAAGCGACATATAGAAAGAGCATTGGAAGTCGAGGTATATATTTTATTACCTAGTACCTAGTTCAAGCGTTACATCGTTATTTCTCAGTCGGATATCGATAGTATGCGTATAGGACTAGATAATAGCCTAAAAAAGATACAGCCATCCAATGTTTTAGAGAAAAAGAGATGATGAGGCAGCTATAAGTACTAGGCTGTAATGATCCATGGATGATTATAAATTGGGGGACGGAAAGCTTTGAAGTCACATACGTCATTCTATCTACCTAACTGCGCTTAGATTAAATAAGTTAAGCGCTTCGGATAGCGGACTCGGAATTAATAACCATTTATGGCAGCCCGGGTGGAACGCGGGGTATACCTGCACATCACCGATGACCTTAAGCTTCAACTAATTGATAGCTCTATATACATAAATACGACCCAAAATAGCAGTTATCTAATCGGAATATATTTCCGAACGTCAAGAGCCACGGAAGATGAGAAGGCTCTTGCTATGATATCTATATGCAAGTCCCACAATTGAAATTTACTGGTTGTGTAGGTGGCACTTGACGGTTGCAGACTGTTAAACCTACCTAAATTAAAGGAGATATGTCGGATAAGTCTGATAGGTAACATTCAACTACCCCGCTATCCCACCTTCGATCTCATCTACCTACATACTATCACATAGATTATTAAGAATTACCCCTAGCCTTCTAGTTATTGCCTACCTAGGTATATAAAGAATTGAAGAGTTCACGATTCGGACTTGCTATTGCACTTGTAGTGTCATTATTTCTACAACGTCTCTTCCGAAGTTCTCGCGAGCCGTACGCTGATATCCAATATGACTTCGCAACCCTTCACTATTAGGTGGGGCATTATGGCCACCGGTGGCATTGCTCAAAGTGAGTTATACCACACACTCTATACAGGTTGATAAGACTCATAACTAATAATTGATTCTGGTAGCTTTCACTAAGGACTTGCTCACCAACCCCGCTTCCCGTGATGTCCATGACGTCGCACATAAGGTAGTGGCCGTCGCCTCATCATCATCTAAAGCAAGCGCCGAATCTTTCCTTGAAAAGGTGAAAGCCCCGGCTGGTACAAAGGCGTACGGTTCTTATGCCGAGTTGGTCAATGACCCAGACGTTGATATCGTTTATGTCGCAACACCCCACAGCCATCACTTCCAGAACGCCATGCTGGCCCTACAAGCCGGCAAGAACGTTCTATGTGAGAAGGCTCTTACTGTCAACGCTGCCCAGGCGCGGAAACTCGTTGAGACTGCTAAAGCCAAGAACTTGTTCTTCATGGAAGCTGTCTGGACGCGATACTTCCCTCTGAGCATCAAGCTTCGAGAACTGGTGTCGTCCGGACTCATCGGACCTGTATATCGGGTTACTGGTAAGTTTACACAAATCGCATGCGACTCGTGCCGGAGAATACAACTTTGCCGAAACCATAGGTAAACTAACATATCTTATCATAGCCGACAACTCATTTGGCAATGACGGACCGAACGGCAGCCTAACCTTCCCGAATGAACACCGGATGGTGAACCCGGATCTGGCGGGTGGCGCACTGTTAGATTTAGGCATCTACTCTCTAACGTGGTTGTTCCAGTTCTTATACCATATCCAACCCGAGGCAGAAAAGGAGGCCCCGAGAACACTAGCAGCCATTAACAAGTATAGCACAGGAGCTGATGAGACGACCAATATCATCCTCCAATTCCCGAAGCACAAGAGTATGGGGATTGCCATGACCACCCTGCGAGTTCCCACCGATACCGACGGACATAACAGCGGTGGACCCGCTATCAAGATTCAAGGTCCCAAGGGTGAAATCCAGGTTATGGGGCCAGCCTACCGCCCTCTTCAGTACAGGATTGTTAAGTCGGATGCAAACGGCAAGGTTGAGGTTGTCGACTGCCCGATACCCAAGGACACAGAGCGGCAATTTGGCCACGGAATGTTCTGGGAAGCAGACGAATGCGCCAGGTGTCTCCGGGATGGCAAGAAGGAAAGCGCTACTCTACCCTGGTCTGAGAGTATCGTCATCATGGAGGTCATGGAGGAAGCTCTGAAGCAGGGAGACATCAAATACCCCGAGCTGATCACGACCGATGTCTTCGACCCCAAGAGTCCTCTGAACACCGGCGGCAAATAAAATCACGCATGGGTAGTGGCTATTAAGAGCTAAAAAGGGAATTTAACTAGTGCTAACAATAATAGAAAGATATCGCTAGTAATAATACCTACGGGTATTCCTATATCGGCCGAGATTTAATATAGGTATCGAACTCTGATGCTTGTGCAATGAAACAACAGGGAATTCAGTAGAGAGATCAAGGTTGATGAATCTACCTAGTAATTCTAAGAAAATTATCTAGCGAGGATCTCCTGTACCGTTCATCTTATTACTGCTTCTATTTCATATAGAATACTTTATAATGCTCACTAGTCTTCGGCCTACTTAAATATTATCAAACTCGTGGTTGACGAGGAGGGGAAAAGGGGTATAAATCGAATCTTAGGATGGATAAGTGGGCCACACCACCCACAGTACCTCAAAGGACGTATCTGAAAGTAGGGCCGTAATTTTCTTGGGCAGCGCCCTTCGCGTTTTCGTTCATTCTATTCGAGACATGGCCATACTTGCGGTCTAGTCTAGAGTTCTCCCACATCAAGAGTAGGCGCTGGGAAAGCGCGAGGAGAGCCGAGAAAAACATGAGGGCGGCGCAGATAGCCATACCCTCAACATACCTGGGGGCCTGCCTCGTGGGGAAGATGTTGTTTCCCAGAAAGGCACCGCACTGGCCGATTAAGTTGATGAGAACGATAGAACCTCCTCGTCGGGTGTCGCTGCCTTGGTTATCTACAAAGTGTTATTAATATCTAGACGTGCAACTCCTTTCGGGTATAGGGGCTGACACTGGGAACACTTACTTAGAGTCAACCCGAGAATATTAGGGATGGTGGAAAACACGCCAGCTGAAGCCAAAAAGGTGGCAAAGTAACGTACACCAACTGTATCAACTGTCGCAAGGATGATGTAGCCAACTCCACCCACGATCGAAGTGACCACGAGTACAAAACATCGCTGTTGGGTCTTGTCTGCAATCCAGGTTGTGATTAAGGCAAACAAAAAGGCCGCAAAAGACGGGGGTGCAGACAGTCCTTGCGCGTCAATAGCAGTGTAACCCATGTCCTCGAGAATGGTCGGGAGGAAAACAGGCAAGCTGGAGTAGGTTACGTTGCCACAGAAATACATCAACCCACATAGCCATGCCTTCGGATCAATGAAGACGGGGAGGATCTCTTTAACCTTGAACCCTCCAATTCTGGCACTTGCGTTAGTGCCGACCTGTCGCATGGCCCTAGCTCTGACGATATCCTTTTCCTCTGGAGTGAGGAATCTGGCCTTCTCGGGGGAATCTGGGATGAAGAAGAAGGCGAAGATAGCCATGAGCATGGTTGGTATTCCTTCTACAAGAAAAAGTAGACGCCAGTTCGCCAGGCGGGCATGACCGCTAGTGATACCATATGCCAAAGCGCCTGCGAACGTCGAGGCCAACGGAGCTGCCGAAGCAAAGATACCGCAACGGAAACCAATTTCATGTCGAAGGTAGAAGAACGACAAGAGATAGATGATACCAGGTCTACGTAATGTTAGCATTTTAAGTTTAAACTTTTCCAACATAGCTCGCAACCTACGCATACCAGGCCTCGAAGGCACCAAGGAAGAACCTCAAAGCCATCTCACCGTTCCAACTGTGGACGCCAGCTTGCACAGTGGCGATGAAACCCCTTTCTTAAGTTAGTTGAAGATGCCGAAAGTTAAGGAGGTGGACTAGTTGACTCACCATAGAAATACGACGCATGCGCCGACAATGTGAGGAGGGAAGACCTTCCATAGCAACACGCCGAATTCGAAAAGGACGTAAGTGATGTAGAAGATATTGAGTAGCCACTGATACCGGTTGCCGTCAAGCTTGAGGTCCTTGGCCATACCCGCAATCCTAGCGTTTCCTATGTTTCCTCGGTCTAAAAAGGCCAGCATGTCTTGGCAGCGCAAGGATTTTGTCAGTATACTTCTTGGCGGATCTAGTATTCTAAACATTTAGATGGGAATATGGGAACCACATCACTCACATAAAACGAAGAATAGCGTCATCAGATTCCAATCTAGCTTCTTGACCACGCGAGCCTCTTGCTCATGCGTATAACTCTCGTTGAGGCTAACATCCTGAGATTCAGAGCTTCCGCCATGCGGAACAACAGCCTCATCCGCCTCCAAAGCGGAGTTGGTCTTTTCGTTAGACATGGCCCCTCAGATGGGATAAAAGTGTAGTATAAAAACTCGGCACAATTATGCAGCCTTCTGAGACAGTCTGTACTACGCACGACCTGAGATACGCACGAGAGAGAATTGAGAGAGGAGGGCTGGAGTTTTAATAAGGCTACATAGAAAAGACGAAATAAAAAGAAAGCAAATAGTCAATATTGGGGACTTGCCGAAGTCGCAGGAAAAGGAAAAAGAAAAACTGGCGGACTGAATTCTTTGTGTTAATTCTTCATGTTGGTCACACAAACGCGCCCGTAATATCCGTTGATCATTTTTCTTAAGGTTAAGCTCTACATAGTAGATGACCAAAATCGCATCCTGGTTTTCGGTAGCCAATTAATTTATAATATACTTCCCGGATAATGATATATGCAGTCGACCGGTATTGGAGGGAATGTAGGAGCTCGGGTTACGCTTGCCTTGACTCATCATCCGATCCAATCATCTCTCCTTCCCCGATCATCTCCGTGAGCTCGGCCTTCTTCTGATTGGACAAAACCGACGCCTCAAACGCCTTTATATGTTCATACACCTACAATATTAAGTGTGGCTGAAGGGGGCTGCCTTCCTCTCGGCAGCGAGCATGATATGAGTTCTTTGTTTGCACCATCGATGCGATAGGAAAGTCTCCTCTTCTTCACCGGCTATGTTATATCCGAAGGTTTAGATTAAAGATATCGCCGATGAGAGCTAGTGTGACACATGCAGATGTGTCTCACTTAACTACATTCCCTAGTATTGTATAAATAGTAACGAAGACTCAGCGTTTGTACTAAACAGCCCTTACGGTATCTACCGATCCAGTAATTACGACTTCCGTCCCCGAATGGACTCCTTTCAAGCAAACTCCCTGGCTTCAACTAATATTAATCGTGTAACCACCCCAACGACCACAGTCTAACATACTGAGATATGTATTTATGGCTTAGCAGTTATTTGATAGATGGTTCGTCGACTTCCTCCTCATTATCGACGAGATTATATTTCAAGTACATGAAGCTATTTACATTCGTGCGACATTTCCTCGGTGGCTGACAGAGTGCTTAAAGGGGATTAAGTAAAACCGCAAGTATTGAGGATGTTCATCTTTGGTTGATTGTCGGGGGAAGGGGTGATGTCTACCTTATATGTCGATACCAGAAATTGCCTATTTGTATGGCTATAACACTATCCCTGCTGTGTGTTCCGTTTGCCCTTACTGAAAATTGCATACTACCAGTACCGAGTAGGTAGGCACAACCTAAAACGTGAAGCGATTTCCTCCATACAGAAAGATCCACGACCCAATATAAGACGCCATCATTCGTCTAAGCCTACCTAGGTAGGTAGGCTGTACACCGAAATGTACGCCATGTGTATTGCCCGTGGCGTACCTAGGGCTGAATGCGGATAGAGAAATAGGCAATGATACGCTTAAAGATGCTGCCACCAAGTTGTTACACCACCCTCCATTAACTCTGATCTGATGTCTGCATCTGCTCCAACCAGCTACGTGTATTGATACCTCATAACATGATAGATACGTGTGAAAACATGGTTTAGGATACTGTCTCTGGCGCCCGGAGCCTCTGTAGGCATCGAGAGTCTTGTTTATCCAAGTCACGGGGTATGCGTGGTTACAACAAGAATGCTGAGCCCCTACTTTATCAGACTTCGTCGCTCATCTGCGATGTAAAAGCATGAAGAACTAAGAGACGAATAAGACTTGTTCATCATACGATGCCTCAACCAGCGCTTACCCCGGAGCAAGAAGCGCATTTTAACGACACTAGAAGGCCCGCGTTATGGGGTTGCCTGATCACTTTTCTCGTTATCAACGATGTAGCTATCGCCGGCAGGTTATGGGGAACATGGAGGTCCGTAGCGAGCCGCTCACGAGTCATGGCAGAGGATATTTCGATTATTCTAAGTGGAGTTAGTTTCAACCTCCTTGATGACTACTTGTCTATATCCAGAGATCTCTATAGCTAATACCAAAAGTTAGATCTTTGTCAATGTTATCATAGCAAACCTGATGGTAGCAACCCACTACGGGCTTGGTCTTCACACGTACACTATCAATTCCCGAGATCCGGATTATCCATCGAACCTATCTAAGACATTCAGGGTATGTCAGGTGAAGTTACTTAACCATGAGTATAGCTAGCTGATTACATTGTACGGTAGCATATCTGGATTACGATGGTCTTGATGTGTGCCTTTTTTGTCTGCATTAAGATGACATTGCTGTTCTTCTACAGGCGATTATTCCTCGTATCCAACCGAGGTCTACACATCTTCTGGTGGATCAATTTCGTCTACATAATCCTCTGGTTCTTCTGCGGCACCGCCTTCTACCTATTTCAGTGCAAGCCCGTGGAATGGTACTTCCTTCAGTACTACGATAGGTTTCACAAGCCCGTTCCCGGGGGCAAACATGGACAGTGTAATGCTACTAGCGTCCTTCACGTCTCCCTACCGGTGATCTTCAGCCTTATCTCCGATGTTGGCTTATTAGCGCTACCCATTTGGGCTATCTCTAAGCTGAGACTTGACAAGACGAAAAAGCGTGGCCTAATGGTCGTCTTCGGAATTGGCCTAGTTGCCGCCATGCTTGAACTAGCTCGAATTCTGGCGCTTATCATCGACACCGATGACAAGACTGACCCGAGTTGTAAGTTGCACTATGCTCTTATCTTTACATCTGGGTGTACAACCTCATATGGATTGTGATGTGTCTACTTACACGAATGGATAGATGGCGTTGCCATATTTTTAATCCTTACTGCCACCGAAGAGACGACAGCAGTGGTTTGCGCATGCCTACCAGTGATATTCCCTCAGGTGGCTCGAGAATTTCGGAACCATGTTAGAAACAATAGCTATATTTATGATGGGAATAGAGGTCAGGGCTCATCCGAGCAACAAAGTTCTCGGGGCTTCAAGCGAGTCGTGAGCCTGAATCACATATGGACGACTGTTGGCGCTTCTAAGATGGGTACTACGCATGACGACGGTATTACCTTGCATAGCGTTGAAGTTACAGGGAACTCGACTCTAAGAAATGACGAGCGTGATGGTACCTCCGATCACACACAGCACCCATATTATCAAATGACAAACATGGGCCAACCCGAGCACGGATACCTATCGCATCCATACAACACAAACTACGTCAATCAGACAGCAGAGCCACGCGTTATATCGCAGAATAATATCCATGTACGTACAGATGTTCAAGTACATGTGGACAATGAGGCTAGAGCGAGGGAAAATATGTAAACTAACTCCAGGTATTCTTATTGTTTCAACTTGAGAAGGTCAATCGCGGTCTTGAAGTTTTTGTTTTCATCCTTACTAGGTAGGCACCAATGATATTTCTCACCCAGCGCTGTCGCGATATGTTGATTTCGGCTACTCAAAAAGTCAGCGGGGAGGTTACAGGAATAGGGGTAAGAAAGGGGTAAGATATAGCAACCTAAATTCCAAGGCTATAATCTTGTGTAACGTTCCAAGTCCAGGGGGATCTAAATCCTGATTGGCTGCTTATTATATTATAGTTGACCAGACTGAACCGTAACTCTAAGCAAAGTCCCTTAACTCCGTGTCTCCATATTTCCGGACTTGTGTTCACGGATTCAGGAGTTTAGGGGTATTCGACAATGTCGTCGATAACCAATTTCTTCTAGATACCCGCATTTACACTTCACATCACTCAACGAGACCATCCATGGAAACCTGCACACATAGACGTGTTCCTCAAACCTCATTAATCTTAAAATATTAGATTCACCAACGCCGCTCCCAACCCAACACCCTAATCCCTAACACATCCATCCATCCCAACCCTCAACAAACATCAAACCCCTTATAATCCCCCAAAACCTCAAACCAGCTCCTCCGCCTCCTCTTCCCCCACAGCTCAGGCAACACCTCAAACCCCCTCGAAATATTCACATACCCACACCTCTCCCAAATCCTCCTTAACGCACCCGCAAAGTACTCCCTATCCCCATCATCCCCACTCTCCATCGCCGCCACGAAAATCGGCCAGGAAATAACATGCGTCCCCTGCGCCGCGGGATCAATCTGCTCGCACACCGCGCGGATGCGTAGGACGTGCGCGCGCATGCAGTCGCCGGCGCGCCGCGTGCTCTCCATGCGCGTCGTGTAGATCTCCCCCGCGAGCCGGAACGCCTCCTCGTACAGCGGGAACGGCGACCCGCCCTTGTACACCGGCGGCGCTTCGTGCTTCGCGCAGTTGTGCAGGCTCTGCGTGTACGCCTCGAACGTCGCGACTGGGTGGTTGAGGAGGCGCCGCGGGGGCAGTGGGCGCGGACCCGGTGGGGAGAACGGGCGCGTGAAGAAGCCTAGGCTGGTTTTGGGGAGTTTCTGTGAGCTTGCTGGGTTTGTGGTTGGATGGGGGGAAGGGGGAGAGGGGATAGGTGGGCTTGGACTTACACGGAAGACTGGAAATACAAGAATTTTTCCAGGGCACCGGCGGATTCCTTGGGAGGGCCGCGTGCGTCGATGAAGGTGTTGAGGATCGTTATTAGCGACGAGACGTCCTCGTGGCCGGTGATGAGGTCGGCTACGGTGAGCAGGAGAAGGGTTGCCCATGCGGCTTCGCTAAGATCGGGGTTTACCGCCGCAGCTCGGGAGAGGCCCCGGATCAGCTCGGCCCTGACGACCTCCGCGGGAGGACGAAGTCGCGGGTGCTTTGCGGACAGTTGGAAGGCGGACACGACGCACACGGCTCTTTGGACGAGGGGGTTGCTATGCGCCATGGGCAATACATGGTGTCGGTATCCATTCTCCTCGTCGTCAAAGACTACCATGAAATGGGATATATGTACAGCGACTGAAGCTAATGATTAGTATCCCGCCATAAAGGACCGGAATTCGAGGGCTCGGGGGAATTACAGTGCAAGAAATATAACCGAGTTCTGGGGTCTAATTCTAATAATGACCTCGGTATTGTTGTCGCTGAGGGATGTGAGTAATTGGATACTGAATTTCCTACTACCGGTGACGTTTTTGAAGGCCTAGATCCAGCCGCCGCCGATTCTCCCGAATACTCGATCCACTGGCGGATATTTTTTTGGTGTTTCAACCCGACCTGCTCCCGCTCCGGTGCTGATAGCGGCGATACGCTCGAGCTAGTCGTCTCTTTAGCGAACCGGTATCTTATTCCGTAACCAGGACATGTCAAATGCTTTTTGGCACATTTGCGGCAAGAATCTCCAGTCTTGTCACAGACGATACGCCTCTTAATGCAGTTGTGGCAAGCTACCTCAGACTCAAGTTAGAGTAACAAGGGTCATCGGGATGGTGGACAGGGGTAAATAACAGCAAAATCCTCACCTTTCTTGGTATTGCTATCCCGGTTTGTCATTTTCCTTGTCGCGCGACTCTCGGCTGCGTTGCTGTGTCTCGGGCAAAGAACGAGTTAAATTCGCAGCCCGAGATGTTACAAATTTGAGTATGCAGGCTTAGGTACCAGAGTCCGGGTCTCGACCGCTCGGACGACCGCTTGTTATAGAAATACGGGTCATATTTACCCCTATGATTGACCAGTGCCAGTGATGTGACCTCCACCAAAATACGTCAGGGCCAAATACATTATGAAGCAGGAATCTCCAGCAAGTTTCTCAACTTGAAGAATGTCATTGTGACCCGAGTGAATACGAACTTTGGCCATTTCTTCCAACAGCCACCATAATGACAAATCTCACGAATTATTAATTCGTTGGAACCTTCAAGGGGCTGCGGAATGGTCCGGGATTATGTTCCAGGCAGACATTTTTGAGTCTCCAACTCCGCCACTCAGGAGCATGGCACCAACAGGTTCGTCCCAGCAGCGCGATAGATTCGGTTCATGGAAGACAATTTCTCCAAAACGTCTTATGGACTCTGTGTTGGCACGTTGGTGGTACGAAAAAGGAACCAAAAGACGGTGTACCTAGACATTTCATGACTCGAAAATTATTTCGTTTCCTATCTGAATGAGTCGTTGTCGTTATCGTATGTATCTAGTGATAGAGTGAGCTCCATGGCAAGATTTTACCAAAGGTGATTGCTAGCTCGGTATGAACTTGCTACTGTGGTTGCTGCGCCGTAAGGGGTGTTCTTGAACCTTCGAAATTGTGTTGAGGGGAACGGAATGCATCTGACTAGCAAGCTAATTGCCAAGTAAATCTCTTTCATAGAGCGGAAGGAGATGTCTGGTTTTTATACTAGCACTTAAGTTCAGTTTTTGGGAGTTCCATATTCAAGTTTTTCCTCCGTAGTCTCGTTGCTTTTATATATCAATTCAAAGACTGATCCATAGCTATTACCAAATCCTGCGCCGTTAATTTCATATGCCAATAATCACCATGCATTTGCCTCTTCTGATACTGCAACACGTCAATTTCTCACGTAATCTACCTATTTGAGTAAAATATTTAGGATGTTGGTTGGCAATAAGTTGAAGGGTCACATCGCACACACGAAACCTACATGCAGGAACCAGAGTCGAGGTTACAAAAGCTTAGGATATTTTCTCACTTTCTTTCCCGCTTTAGGAAAATGTAGGGAGATGTTCCTGGTAGCTATATGTTACTTAATTGATTCGCGTGTGAGAATTGATACACCCCAATCATATTTGATATAAAGTCAATTTATACATAAGTGAATAGCTTAATTGCGCCCCCAAGCGTAGCTAGCCGGTCCTCTTATGACCGTATAAAAGGCGGGTTTCTGATATACCTGTCTCAGATTCTGCTTGGTAGCTTAGACTCTCTGCGACTCAGTATTATCACTAGTAGAAACTCATAAAACCCGAGTGAGGTCGATACTTTGCATTAAGTGGTTCTACCTAGCGCTGCTTCCTTTTTCTTCATCCCTTCCCCCTCTCATGAACCACCAAACCACCAAGCACAAGCATGACCTTATCCAGCTATCCACAATTCAGCACCCTCAAGACACGATAGGTGTCCGGGATTCCAGATCAGACGAGACCGTGAAGCGTAAGAAGCCGCTAGAGATCCCGTAGTTCCCCTCCCCCCTTTACGCCTACGACGTTTTCTGTAGGGGACTCGACATCATCGGCTCATACCCTTTCTCGCTCGACTTGTTCATAATATGCGCGGGCGAGCGGTCCGGGCTGTCGCGCCTCTTTTCGGCGCCTAGGCATTTATTTAGAAGATGCCTCTTGCCGAAGGAAGCCGGAGTGGGGGGCGCACCCTAAGTACCCTCCACCTTAACCTTGCTTCGAGTTGCCGAAGTTAGTTCATCCTGCTTGTGTCGTATTAGCAATAGTGCCCTCGTAGATTTTGAGACTTGGCTTTTAAGGAGCTCACCTCAGCTTTACGCTTTCCTGTCACCGGCTCAGGAGTACCTCGAGCATAGGACTGCGTATTTCCGCCGTTGTTTCCACTGCCCTTGAACGCTTCCTGGTAGCAACTGGCATGGTAAATCTTTTCACCAACTCTCATGGTATCGGGCCACACGAATTCCTGGGCATCATCTAGCCATCTCGTCTCGAATTTTTCTTGACAGATGCTACAAACACTGTTCGCCAGACTAGGATCATCGGGAACTGGTATATATTGTAGTTGGGGGGCCTTGGGTGCAGAACCACCCGTCGCTGCATTATAATCCGTAGGCGGAGCAACGTGATCCTTGTCGATAGTCTCTCGGGTTTTAATCCAGTCCTAGTCATGTCAGTATATCTACTCTATGGGTGTAATTCGTAGATGGTAACTTACCATCTCGTCGACTAGCCAGCTTCGATGCTGGCCTCGTTTCTCGACCTCTGCAATGCGCTGATTCACTCGGAAATGCCAGTCCATATGGCGGGTTTTATCCTTCTTCCCTTCCTCATCTTTGGGGAAACGTCGACCACATTGAGTGCATTGAGGTCCTAAAGTTCCATAAAGGAATGGTAGTAAGTTGGGACGGAACCTACAAGCTTGTTAGCCTAGGAATAACATAAGGTTATGTTTAAACGTACTGTTTAAGAGACGAAGGTCTTAGGGCTATATCACCCGCAAGAGACTCGAGTGTCACGGGACCGACCGACTGGCTGATCGGGGGTATTCTTGGGATGCTCATTGGCATCGGAAAGGGAATCGGCGGCGTAGGATGAGAAGCTGCGGTTGAACTACTGGCCGGGGGTGCAGGTGGAAGTAAACCAGCTAGTCTCAACATGTTCATAAGCGCCATCGGATCAGTGGGAGCAGGAGGAGGCGGCGGGTGCGTGATAACCGGCTTCTGAGGCTCAACCCGTTGGGGAGGTGGAGTTGGGACAGATACAACCGGGGGTGGGGGATAAGGTGTTGACGCCTGCGGCGTGGTAGACTTTCGAGCCATTAGAGTAGCTAGTGCACCTGGACCAAACAAAGAGTCTATAGAAATCTTTGGCGCCGCTGCCGGCGGAGGGGCTACGGCTACGGGTTGTGGGACAGGTGTAGGGGGTGTTGTCTGAGTAGGGGCTGCTCTTATTGTCACGGCAAGATCAGCAATTTGATTCTTAACAAGCACTAACTGATCCTGAGGTAGGTTCTGAGTCTGAAGAATAGTTTGCAAGTCCACCAACGCCTTCAGCCTTCTCTGTAAACTAGGATCATGCGGAGCTTGCGCGATCTGAGCCTTGGAGGCCGAGATCAATCTCCGGATGTCATCATTCAAAGCATCTATGCTGATTACAGCTTTTGGTACGCCATAGCCTCCTAATTGTGGTGGTTGAAAGGCCATTGTTGTTGGCATAGGTTGTGGGGTGGATCTTGATGGCGGAGGCTGACTCTAGATGTCGTATTAGTATGGAACCATATATACTACACGTACAACGTGATACTTACCAGGTGTGTGGGTGGGTAGCCAGCCGATGACTGGGCTGGATGGGGATACGATGATCCATTAACAGTAGGAACCGGTGTGTGATTTTGGTAACCATTAACTTGAGGTAGATGGACGCCGGGAGGAGTAGGGGTATCGCGGTACGGCATTCCCTGATTCATCGGTCTTCCACGGCCAAATAACTGTTGCTGGCCTCGCGCGTGCTCTCGCTGTGTCTGTAGCGCTGTTGTTCTTGCCTTGATGAGGGCATTCTCGATAGGACGGGTGACATCAAGAGGGAAGACGGGTCTGGTATCGAGAGACCCTGGAACAGGTTCCTTCCAAGTCCTCAACATTTCGTCCATCTTCCGTCGTGTAGCCATGTCGACTGAGGCATATGCATCCATAAAAGTTTGGTAGAGCTTTCTGCCGAAATATAGCGTGTACGGCGTGCCTACATTCTTCACGATGGAATCAAGGAGATATAAGGCTGGTAGTTTCTTCGGGGGGATGACCTAAGAGAGAGCGCGTTAGTATAGCATTCAAGGGCTTACTATCCTGACTAGCAATAGCGCAACAAGACAGTGACAATCAGAACCGATCATCACATAGCTAGCTAATATAGAAATTGAACCTACCCGTTTGATATGTTCCTGAAGAGCACCGGAAATAGCGTGGGCATGTTCAGTGTTCTCTCGCGCAATCATTGTCAACGTATTGATTTCATTTCTGGCGAAACCTTGAAGATCCTCAACGGCCTCCCGGAAGGCCAAGGCTACTGCCTCGGACTCGGATTCGTTGGACATAGTTGCTTAATAGATATGAACACGAGATAATTGAGTTGATGAAGAAAAACTATTGAGAACCTCGCGATATTTGGAGGAATGTCAGAAAGTGACGTTGCCACCGTTTTTTTCTGGTGGCTTGTACTAGAGTGAACAATGGCCCAATTCCCCAATAGATGTGTAGAATATCACAAAGCCAGATGGGCAGAAGCCCCTCATGCAATAGTCTCTCACCAACGAAAAAATACGGCACGAGAATTGTAAAATTGATAACTCTTGCCTAAGCCCACCAACTTTGCCAAAGCAGCCAGATGACTGACCGTCTGGTAGAGAGGACCGAAGAGTTAAATATCCGTTCAAAGCATTGTTTTCATCACCAGGACCCTGCTACGCGGATGGGCCAGAGGCCTAATCTGCGTTTTACCTTCTTATTTTAGCTAGACACTACTCAAACTTGCGAATAAATTTCGAAGACGCGTTTTCGGTTGCGATCGTAGATGGGCGTGTCGTAAGGCGATGATCGATATCGTGTTGTCCAGAAGGCGATGTAATGCCAAATCGAAGTTGACTGTTGTTGGAAATTGAGAATATCGAGGATTGAAAATTGTCGCAAAGAACGATTATGGAGAAATAATAGCTTCGGTGTACGGAGTTGGAGCTTCGTTCCAATCTAGCGATTGATTGAAGTAGCAAGTTAAAAGATGGTAGAAGAGAGGGTTGGGTGGTGGTAGATGGAAGCTTAATTGTTGATGGAATGTAGAAATCGGATAATGGATAAAAGTTACACGGCAGCAGGGCCTAGTAACGTTGAATGAGGCTAATGAGCTAAATGAGTCACGTGCCATGCCTATGAACTAACTTAAAACCTTATTACACATTATGTTTTGATGCACTAACCTTATTCAGCAATAAATAGATCGATTCATTTTCATCTCTCTTGTTAGACGCTAGTACTAGTATGGTAAAGTGGGGAGCTATTTTTAATTTTAAACCTTTGCGTCCATTCGAGGGAGGGACCGTGTCCCAGACTTTGTACGCAGATAACATACAGAGTACATATATCCATCACGTTAAGAAGATGAATTCAAGAACGTATTTAATAACAATTATGCCGCTATCCCGATTATGATATACACTATAAGAACGCTGAATAACGCTATAATAAAAGCCAAAGTATTGCCCCGCAAACCATAATCAGGGTATATCCGAAGTCACCGAACCAGAACGCCTTTCCTCCTTAAACACCATGCCATAATGCTTATGTTACGTGGACAGGTCACCTTGTGCTAGTTGACCTATATCCTATTCTCGGTAAAGCGGTCAAGATGACTGGCCTCGCTGTATCGGCTCGATCTCGATCCAGCGTTGAAGGCGGGATGTAGCGCGGTGGGTGGGCGCTTGACATCGGGAATTATGGGACTGCTGCGGTCGTTGGTGATCGGCAGCTCGTCGCTAGGTCCGTACTCGACGTCATGGGTGATCGGGTGGCTGATCTTGGGCTTGGAATCGCCCTTTCCGAGGAACCATCTGCTCTTGGTCTTCTCCTTGCGGATCGAGTTGCTTCGGTAGCTTTCGTACTCCTCGGTGAAGTTGACGTCTCGGGTGGTTGCGCCGTTGTTGCGGATCTCGCGAGCATGGACGCCGCTCGCTCGGTTGCTGAAGACGAGCGACGCAATGACGTTAGTAGCGCCGAATGCGATCGCGACGACGCCGGCTCCCATGATAGCTTGCCAGACTGCGAAGGGGACGTTCTTGTTGTTGTAAGTATCGTTGCTGAGAGCGCCCAGAAGGTGGCAGCCCATGAGGATCATGGCGATACCAAGCCAAGTGAAGCCGCGATCTTCGCCGAGGACCGGCCAGTTGCGTCCAATGATTCTCTTGCCCATGTTAATTGGAAGTTCCGTCCAGAACAGGAGACCGGCGACAGCGATGACAAAGGCCAGGGAGATGTCGTTGAAAAACTGGAATCCGTTGGGCATCTTGGCGAAATACATCATAATTCCGGAGACGAAGATGACGGCTAGTAGAACGGCCAGGTTGCAGGCACGGATGACCTGAAGGATTACGAAGGCGGAGCCTTGGAAACCGGATTTGGACCCAAACATCTTGAAGGCCTTGGAGATACCTAGATTTGTGTCTCTAGGAGCGTAAGCATTAGCGTTTCGGAGCTTTGGCAGCATTGTTGGATTTATATAAAAATGGGAGACCAACTGTTGAAACTGCCTGCAGTTATTGTGAATCTAATTTTCGTGTCTCTGATACTTGGACCTGACTAGCAGATCTATGGAATTCGATCGATCGAAGGAACGTGAAAGGGAAATGGTGTGGTCGAGAAAGGAAATTGAACGAAAAGGAAAAAAGAAGTGAGTGTGCGGTAACGATTTGTGTGATGAAGATTTTATAAAAAATATAAAACAATGGATGAAGTTGAAGATATTGCTATTATGTACGTCCGTCTAGGACAATAAACCCCTTGTTGCACAGATTCGATGAACAATAATGAAGTTAGCGGACCAGCGGCTCAAGTTCTTTTAATATGTTTTAGAAAAAAAAGAAGTCTTGCTCAAAGAAGGATTGTGTAGAAGACGAGACAATAGATTTAGGAACAATTAGAAAGTTGAGATACCTAACAGTCCATCTGGGCGGCTCTAAACGTTTCGTATTGGACAGATGTTTTCGACCAATGATTCTGCTTAGGCGCGAGAGGTCTCACGCTCGATCGAAGCCTGAGTTGCCCCTCGTCAGGGACCATGCTACCGTACATGTTGAAGCTATTGGTAGACGCGTGCAGGTGAGCTAGGTACGAGCCGGCTAAGTTCGATTCTTTTTACATCTTCCTTGACCTTCTAGGGGTTCATCTACAGGTGGAGAGGGACAAGGACCGATCTGGATATTATTGCTTGCATCCTCCGTGATGCATGCTCATGAAGCATATGGTGAATCCCTACCCTTTGAACGTTTAGGTCTGCAACTCTTGGAGAGCCAACACGAATCACGACTCTTAACGGTCCACGTACTATTATGCCAGGAAACCCGCAGACAGGGAGCGTAGAATAGAACTGCAGGGACACATCATCTCATCCAATGATCTGGAGACGGTATGTATGCCCTTGAGCGAATATATCGCGAGAATTGGTTTGCCACGGAGGTTCCATTGGTTGTCGATGAACTAAATTCCGTTTCAGGTCGTTCTCGCGCTTATTGGCCGATCCCCACCAAAGTCCTTTTAAATGGTGACTAGGTAGGTATTACTTAGGTACGCTATAGATATCTGTGAGAAAGACGTTTGCTTTATTAAGTATAACAAAGACAAAATTTGATTACATTGTATTTTTGAGCTTGGGATACTTTCAATGATTTGAAAGATTGCAGCTTTTGTGAAGTATTGCAGTGTTGTTGGTAACAGGTTTTAAAGACCATTGTGTAGCGTTATAGAAATGGCATAGAAGCGTACCTAAAGTAGGTTCGTACAATACAAATGCGACAGACATTAAGTTTGACCTTTTAGCAATAGTTTACAACTCAGAAATGAGTTTAGATAATGTGCTATAGAGTCATAACTGATTGAGTATAATGAATTAGCACTGTTGAAGCATACGTTGTTGGTAATAATAAGTTGAGGTGTAATTCTTTACAGGGAGAAGAATGATCCAGAATAGTGACCGTGAAAGAATATGATTGGCTCAGAAGTCACGCGATCGCAAAATGGGAGTTTCCTTTTACACACTGGCCTAAATCTTACCCGTCCCTGCCCGTCTTAGGCAATTTTAGGGAAGGTGTCGCTGGAAACAGTGAGCAGAACAGCGGCTCTAGACAGGAATCCACCGCCTAAACTCCGACACTGTGGCTTATTCTTAGGCCTGGACCAGGGCCAACTAGTATTTATTTTAAGCAACTGGCGGCTAGATGCACGAACTCTATCCTCAAAAAGTTCACGACTTTATGGTATACAGCCAAGACACCGAGACACAAAACAATCCAACCGCGTTTTATTAAGCGCTGCTTCTGCTACCCTTATCTCGTCTAATTCCTCTTTTCCACATACTCGATCAAGATGGCCCGCGGCAACCAGCGCGAAAAGGCGCGAGAGAAGAACCTCAAGGCTCAGGCTTCTCAGGTGAGTCTTTTCGCCAGCTTACGTCTACCGTCTGCTATTTCCCTTCTGCCCACCGCCGATTCCGGACGCTCGCTATCGATCGGTCGATGAACCCCGCCGTGATACATCGCTATGTTAAAATATAAAATGAAAGACGGCTGTACATAGTCCAAATCGACCGACATGCGATATGTCTAAGTGACGCGTCATACGAAATGGCGGTGGAAAGGCTCCGGGTCAAATGGTCATAGTATACTAATATGCCCTCACGTAGAAATCAAAGAACGGCAAGAGCGGTACCGAGATGCAGCGTGACAAGGAGGCTGTCGCCGAGATGATGCGCAAGAAGCAAGCTGCTGGTAAGGACGATCTTGCGTTGAACACGTTCCAGATTGTTTGATAGCTGATTGATTACGTATTTTAGCCGATGCGAAGAAGCAAGCTCCCGCCTCGAAGTAGGTTTTCCGGTGTGAGCCTGGTGGTAGGCATACATGTGTAGATGGGTGACGGAAATCCCTTTTCACGATATCACGACGTACATAGGACGGATTTTTCTACAACAAGATAGGGCCCTAGGCGTGCAATGGCGTCTGGATTTTCTCAAATTCGTTCTTCGACGAATGCAATATCTTCAATCTAAAACTTATTTGACTTGGAGCTCAGTGACTACTCGTAGATGGAACTATTCTCTCGCCAACTTCGACCGTAGCGTTACAAAAGCATACATCTCTAAAAACACAAGACGGACAGACTTCACAACACTTCAACGAACGGGGGAAATGGTGTTTTACTTCATTGATGACCTATTAAGTGCACCTATAATATATAATAATATACGATCCAGTCATATGTTTAAAAACCTCCTAATGCCAGGTAATAATAAAAAAATAAGTCTAGTCATTCAGGTAAACCCCCTAAAACGGAATATTTCGAATCGCAGTCGCCGCTGCCGTGGTATCACACACTCATGATCCTCAACCGGACGCCGCACGTATTAATTAGACGGATTCCATCATGCTCGCAGGGAGAGCTCCTGTCTCGATGTTAGTAGGTATTTTAAAGAGTTGCTGGGAAAACGTGTACTAACCTGCAATACCACCGAAAGCACCAATACCTTGAGCTGCCACGGCGGGGAAGCTGCCAGAACTGCAAGTGACAGCGCAAACACAAGCACCACCTTCAATTACACCGCTTCCTTGGTTAATGCTGCCAGAAGCGGCGGCAGCAGAAGTAGCAGCAGGAGCAGCGGCAACTGCAGATGATGCGATCGCGGTCGAGTTACCGGTGATGGCGCTGCCGGCTCCAGTACCGTTCTGCTGGATAGCCATTGCTTGGAACATGGCTTGGGTCTTGGCTGCGCTAGGGTTGATCGAGAAGGTCATACCCTTACCGCAGTGACCGGACTGCCTGCAGTAGAACCATAGAGGCTCGGTGGTCATGACTTGCATGGCAACCTTGGGAGGAGGGTTGACGGTGTTGTTGGCGTTAGCCTGGAAACCAGAGTCCATACCACCTTCCATGATCTTGCAAGGCGTAGCGAAGGTAGACTGAGTCGCAGTGTGGTTTGCGCTCATGAACTCGAAGATAACCATGTCACCGACGTTGGCCGTTATTTGGTCGGGAGTGTAGACTAAACCAGCGGAACCACCAACAATGACAGTGTGTGTCGCGGCGGCGCCTGCAGCGGCCGAAGTTGCAGCCGCAGTAGTTCCAGCGGCAGCAGTGACTGTCTGGGTTACTGTGACCTGCTCGTGAAGAGTTGTCGTAGCGGCATTGTTTCCAGGGTTAGCCCAGATGACGATAACCTGAGTCGAGCTTCCTAGCTGAACACCCTGTAGGACTTCGATACCCTGAGCAGAACCAGCGACAGCTCCTAGCTCGGACTTGTGGCTGGTTCTCTTATGTTGAGGGTAGACGTTGTGAACGGCTTTCGCGATGGCCAGCGGCGCAATAGCGACCGAAAGAGCTGCGGAGTACTTCATGATGGCGGTTTAGAAGATTTGAATTAATCGTAAATATTCCTTTTTACGGGTCGTTATGAATAAGTTCCACCTGAATAAGTACCGGACCTGGCAATAAGAAGCTTGAAAGGCGAGGGCCTGCTCGTGATTAGAGAATGAACAAGACGTAAAGCACACAACACTCGAGAGAGCGAAAGAAAAGAGCGTATACACAGGACGAGTCGTCTGAAGAAGAGAGTGAAAAGAAACAACCCACGTCTGGACCCAGAAGGGAGACCTCTTCACTTAAATCCAGCATGAAGATCTCTTAGCTTGCCGTCAAGCCCGAGGCGAGCCCTGAGATATTACTCCTTGGCCAGGAGTTGCGCTCGAAACAGCACTGGAAAATCTTCCGTGCAGGACTCAGCTGGGGTTGGCAACCGGGGTTGAAGGGACTCCATTATGGCTGGATGCGGACGGTAACCGGAAGTATGCCACTTAATTGTTAATTACAACGGATACACCGTCCAGTATGGAATAGGGCGGTCCATGAGAAGACGGGTTTGGCGGCTCCAAGATTTGTGAAAGCTTGGAGTAGGAGGTCGATGTGACAGAGTTGTCTCGGATGGTGTTTTGACCCCTCGCTTAAATCACTATAGCGCAGGGGTTTTCTATGCGGTCATAGCTCAAACCCTAGAGATATTTAGACAGGGGAGCAACCGACCCGGAGCTGACTTTTCACTGAGCTATTGTATGCGTGCTAATTCCTTCATGACATTATCTTAGTAAACTTTTGAAAGGCCGAGGTAAATCTTTCTGTTTTAATCCATGCCTACCTTTCCGATGTAAAGAAAAGAGTTGTAAGGTTGAGATGTCATAGGGAGAGGAGACTTCTAGATTAACTTTTAACTCAAGGGGGATCTAAACAGCACCTACTAAAGGTCTCATCTCAAAAAGCTTTAGTGTAATGTCACTTTCAATTGAGTTTTGGCCCCGGATACTACCTATAATATGACAGGTATCAGTCTAAGCTTAAACTAAAGTTTATGTAGCGGCTAAGCCAAGCTACCTTGGCCTGGTACCTAATATCTCCTTCGGAACTTAGAGCCTTGGAACCTTGGAACGTTGAATCTCTTTGCGGCGCGTATTGCGAGCTGTGCTCCTGTGTATGCTCGGCACCTATATCCGACTTTCGTGGAAGCCACGTTTTATCGACTCTATGCCGACTCGGGATCATCTCTTATCCTTCAATTCTTGCGTAGAAACACAACGGCCGGAAGTTCTTGGTAACTGAAAATCATCCTTGGCAGGAAACGTGCATGTTTCCGTAGAGGGAACTTAAGTTGGAGGATCCCTGTAATTACCATCTGAACTCCCCAGGCGGTTGAGATTCTGTACCTGCTTAAGGATTAACCTTATCTACCTAGCAATAACCCCTTCCCGCTGGGCAGGCAAGGGAAACTTTTGAATATAACCCAATTCGAGTTAGACTTGCGCGTGCATTAGTTAGTTGAAGGGGGATCCCTGCCTCCTAGTCTCCTGCACCATGTTGTTTCTTCAATAGTCTCATCCTTCACCAAATTCATTCGCAGCTTTCAATTTACGTAGAATAGTCTATGAGTTTCCGCAAGCTAACACCGGCGGCCTCTTGATAACAAATAGTTCGGCTTTCGGCTTCGTTGAGAGTTGAGATCTCATGGCGAAGTTGTTTATGAACTCAAACAATGAGTTAGATGTGGAGCAACGTCGCCAAGGCTTTTTAAGGTAGTATACTAGTATTGACACTACAACTAAGAAGAAACCAGGATTCTCTTTAGAATCGAGTATTGATACCTATACCTACTCACTAAAAGCAATTTATTACTCTGATGATGATGAAAAATCGAAATTATTATAAATTTTGTTTCTTTACAGTCAGCTAGAAACAAGCCAAGCTGATAATCACAGCTAAACGTGGGGGAATCAGTTCATGATCTTCACGAAGAATATAGTACTCTAGGTTTGTTTCCTCGTCTTGGTCCTCCAATTACCATTTTGCAGTTTGATGTATTCTGCAGGACTCTTCCTAATGGCTGGAAACTGATGCATATCTTGTCGCATGCTAGCAGAATCTGAGCTGCATGACGTTATCACCGTCACAACCTCTTGTAACACAACGCGTTACAGATCCTTGCTTGTCAGGTAAATCCCATGACGAATCCCACAACGAATCTGAGTAGATTTGAGATGGGAATGGTAAATCTCTACAGATTTCCATTCAACTCTGTTCAGACTCTCGTTGTTGGGATTGATCTCGCTGGCCTTCATAGAGTCCCGTATAATAACCTGCATAATACCAGGACATCAATAGTCTCTTCAACCCTTCATCACGCACTGCGATATAATTGTTAGCTAAACTAGGTTCTATAGTTGATTCTCATCAAGGGGATGTTTTTCTTTTTCTCTATAGCCCCCAAGAAGGGTTAGGGCTAATCTGAAGCTCACCTGAACCTAGCAGCCCTTGAGGACCGGGTGCTCCACCATGCGGATGGCTATGCTGGAAGGTCGACGTTCCGTCCTCTTGTCTTCCATTCTGCGTTTCGTTAGAATCTTGGGAGATCTAGGCCAAGCTTTCTTGATCGTCCGGGATCCCCTTCAAGGGTGGACTTTCAACAGCGCTGGGTTGGTGACTTACGGAAGCTTCCCCTCTCATTTCGGAATCTGTTTTGAGGGAACGTGGACTTGACGGCTTGTGGACTTCCTCAGTCTCAGTCTTGGCATCCAAAGCTCTTAAACAATATTATCAGATAAGTATGTTTTCTCTAGAGCTGCAGCCACACAAGTGGCTGACGAATAGCAAGGGGAGTATGGATGAACTGAACTCACTGGTTTGAAAGATCTTCCACATTGCCCCCGTTTTTGTGAATGCTGTGATATTTCTACACATTATTGTTTAGATCAGAGTAAATTTGCTTTGACGTAAAATTGGACCATACCTTATATTCTTCTAGAGCATCATTCCACGAATTCACGAGGGCTGAATCGTCCCAGATCTCGTTATGGGATAATGCTTCTTTGGAAGAACTCATCTTAGCGACTAACGGAACTCCGAACCGGTGTGGCGACCTAGATTAATGCAGAGGAGCAGGCGTCGTGCAAGCCTAAGAAATGAATTCGGACTATTATATTGTTAATAGGCTGGTGATTTCATAGGCAGCAATCTTGCAGCTAATTCCCTTATCAGAGTATCAAGGTTTCAGTTAAGATCCTCAATGAAACCCGAGATCTGATTTAATATAGCAAACTAGAGAAAATTTAGAAATGGCCTGCCGACGAAACTACACTTCAATCGAAACAATTCGATACGAAATTGGTGAACACGCCGTGATAATATTATAGTTTTCGTTTCTTGAATCGATGCTCCAATCAATAGTGGTAGTACGACATGTACCCAGTATGTAGTAGGTAACCTACAGTGAAAGGGAGCTAGAGCTTGGGGAAATGGCATAAGTGGGGTTTACCTTCTCACCGCCAAAATTTAGGTGGCAGAATCCCCGGCGCAAAAGAAAAAAAAAGTTTCGCGACTTTGCACAAGATCATCAACTCAACCATTTGACGGTAAAGATATCTTAACAATGGCGCCAGAACTCAGGAAAAGAAAGGCCAAAGGTAAATATATACTACATTTAACTTCATACTTAAATTTCTGATATCTGACAATAATTATAGAAGTTGCCGTGTCGGTTGCGAAGCCTGCAACTAAAGGCAAAGCGGATGCTCCAGCTACCAAGCGGAAAGGTTAGTGCAATTGGCAGCGCATCTTTGAATCCCCCGACTAACACGACATACATAGCTGCCGATGATGCAAGCCCGGTCGCAGCAAAGAAATCCAAGCCTGTCAAAGACGACTCTCGTTCGAAGAAGGTTAAAGCCAATCGATCAACAGAGACGAAGCCCCCCAAGAGCTCGAGATCCGCCAAAGTGAACAAGAAGGATGAGGAAACCGTCGAGAGCGAGGACGGTGATGCGCAATCTTCAGATGACGAGAAGGATAATGCCAAGGCTCTCGCGAAAATCGTTGACAGCGATGATGAAGATGCTGTAGTCGATACCGACGCTGCATTTAAGGAAGGCCAAGATGTAGGCGAAATTCCGAAAGAATCTAAGGAATTGCTCAAGTCCTCTAAGTCTGGAGATGATGAGCATGGCGTTGTATACATTGGCCGCCTGCCGCGTAAGTACATTGACCTACGCTTTGAGATAAATGCTAACCCTGAAGGTTTCAGACGGTTTCTACGAACATGAGATGCGTTCATACTTTTGCCAATTCGGCACCATTGAGAGAATCAGAATGTCTAGAAACAAGAAGACAGGCGCCAGCAGACATTTCGCCTTCATCGAGTTCACCGAAGCGTCAGTTGCAGAGGTTGTCGCGAAGACGATGGACAATTACCTACTGTTCGGCCGAATACTGAAAGTCAAGGTCGTCCCCAAGTCCCAGGTTCATGAGGACCTCTGGAAGGGTTCGAACAGACGCTTCAAGAAGGTACCTTGGAACAAGATGGCTGGTAATAACCTGAAGAAGCCGCTGTCAGAGTCAACTTGGACCCAGAAGATCACGAAGGAAGAGCAGAAGCGCGCCGAACGGGCAAAGAAATTGCAGGATATAGGTTATGACTTCGAAGGACCTAAGATCAAATCCGTTGACGAAGTAGAGAAGGATGCTCATGCTATTGAAGGTGCCGAGGATGAGGCACCGAAAGCTATCGAGGCAGCTCCCGAGGATGTTGCAATGGAAGAGGAAGTGAAGGATGACAGCAATGATGTGCCAGCTGTTAAGGAGCCTGCTACGATAAGCAAACAAGGTGCTGCTAAGTCGAGCAAAAAGGGGAAGAAGTCAAAGGCGAAGAAGGCTACTGCATGAGTTTAAGGCGTTCACTATAGGTCTACGATGAGTTAATGATATACCGCTGCTAAGAAGCATCATACCACTTGAATAATTCGATGGATATATCTATGAACTCCTATTCTTTTTCACGTTTAGGTATTTTCTAGACTATAATAATACGTATAGATGCACGGTGTGATATCTGCACATAGCGAACCCATTGTACCCATGGACTTAAGCTTAAGTCGGGCAGACAGCAGGATTATAAAAGGCATTATCGCTCTACTTCGACCGGGCATATAAATTAGCCATCTATTCTTCACAATTAAGTGAAGGCAGCTTCAATTTCAAAAAGTGCCAGCGAAGGGTAGAAAATATGTGTAGAAGAAAGAAGCGTCGCAAATCTCAAATTTTCAGATTTCTTTTAACGAATGATTGATTGGCCAATCATATCTATGAACGTTCGGTACTGTGGATATGAACATAGGTACCTACACAAGCCACATTTAGTAAAAGCCACCGGCGGGGTTACCTTGGGACAAAGCTCCGATGAGTTTGTAATTGGATTTTACGCAGGTACAAACAATTCAATATATAACTTTCAGGAATACCGTATACATAAACTAACATATTAATACAGTATTCATGATCATATACTAATTATTACTAGGTACTCTTGACGGTTCGTATTTTCAAATATTGCTTAGCCTATACGAGGGTTGGCAGGTTGGAAGGCCTGTTTCTATTTGCACCCAGAGCTCGTCTAGCTTAATTTCCGTCCCATCTAGATGGTCTAGACTCTGCTAAAAAGTGAGTTTGGACAGTTGCCGCTAGGATTGAATAGAGATCAGACGGTATCCTGGATCTAACCTCCTGGTACCTAGATATGTACCTAGTCAATCACAAAATAGGTATGTTATTCAATTCTTGGAGGTCATGATCGCTTCACAACAGATCCCTTGATGTTGTATTATAAACATTAAAAAAACGAGACTTGGGTATTAGCTACAAGTAAAGTTTGTCTACTCGCTCCAAGGGCTCGGAAGGCTCAACTGGTAGTTGCAATCGCCCTGTAATATGGGGCTCATGTACCCTATTCAATCATTCAACAGCGATCTGATTCGCTACTGTAGGTACCTAAATACTTAGCTACTTAAAAATAACCTTGAACCTGGTGCAAGACTACCTAAGTACAGGTACCAAACTTCATTAAACCGCAACGACCAAACGGCTTACGTGTGGGTTGCGGATTTGTAGAACGGCGCAACGTCCACGGTCTCTCTAACACCTTTCAAGACCATAAGACCACATGCGGTCCATACTACTTGGCAAAAACACGAAGCCTCGCGAATGATTTCACAATGGCGCCGACAGAGCCGACTCAGCAGTTAAATACTGGTTAGTTGCTAACTATTCCTAGCAATTTCTAAATATTCTATCGCCGGTTAATTATAATAACTAACAAGCATGATTTAGGTGCTAAGAAAAAGAATAATAAGAAAAAGAAGAACCACGCAAAGTCGAAACCGGTCGAGGACGAAGGCAAACCCCCAGATGCAAACCAAGATGGAGAACAACCTGAAGATGACGGCAATGGGTCCGACGATCCAGACACGGCCGTACCAGAGGTAAATCCGACCAATATCAAATCCAGACCCTCCAATATGGAACTAATAAAATTGGAAGAAGACGGTGAAGGAATCCACGAATGGTCATGCTACATCACCAACTACCAATGGACACTCCGCCCAAGAATCCAGTACGACAGAAACCACCGAATCCACAGATACAAGTGCCCGACTCGAAGCTATAACACAAGAACGGGAGGCTTTAAGGGCAGAGGTGGAACAACTACGGAAGCAATTAGAAAGTATACAAGAAACACATACGCAAGAAACGAGCCAGCTCAAGTCGGATTTGGAAGAATCTGAATCGGCGAAAGAGCAAATCGAGGAGCAATATCAAACACTCGTAGAGAGGGTAGAGAAGATAAAAGAAAACGTCGGTAATCGGTTAGCGAGAGGGAAGGAAGAATTAGAAGAGGCAAACATACGTATCGAAGATTTGGAAAGCCAAAATGAGGAACTTCAAAAGGGTGCACAAAACTCAGAGGATGAGATTGAGAAGTTAAAAACCGAACTACAAGATGCCACGAGAGAACTATCTAGCCTGCGAAGCCGAAATAATCTCTCGCAACATAATTCGTTAAAAGAAAAAGAGGATATGACGAAACAGATCCAGCATTTGAGAGAAGAGGCAGAAGCGGCAAAAGATGCAATGGGCGATTGGGAAGTCCTAGCGATGGAGGAACGATCAATTAGAGAGAGCTTGGCCGAGAAAGCATCTGCCCTCGAGGAGCAAATTGCATCGCTCAGAGATAACTACGAGCGAGCTGCCTCCGAACGGGACAGCCAATCGCAAGCTGTCGACAGCCTTCAAAGAGCATTGCAAGAGATCCAGGAGGCCCGCAAGAAGGAGTTACGAGAGATGGTCGAGACATCCGAGGAGCAACTTCAAGCACTCAAAAAGTTAGTTCTAGAGGCTGATACAAGAGCTACGGAAGCAGAAAAAGTCAAAGACTCGCTTCAAAAGGAGCTAGAGCGAACTGCGCCATTTGAGAAGGAGGTGAAGGAAAAGAACCTCCTTATCGGAAAGCTGAGGCATGAAGCCATTGTCCTCAACGACCACTTAACGAAAGCCCTCCGGTACCTCAAGAAAACCAAACCCGAGGACAGCATCGATAGGTTTGTTCACCCTTTATACCGAATTATACGTAGCACAAACTAACCTAGCACAGGCAAATTGTTACAAACCACTTCCTTCAATTCCTCGCTCTTGACCGTTCGGACCCCAAGAAATTCCAAATCCTCCAGATCATCGCCGGGCTTCTCAATTGGACCGACGAGCAGAGGGAGCAAGCCGGATTAGCCCGACCAGGAACCTCCACTAACAGCCTCCGGCTCCCGAGCTCTCCGTTCCACAGGACGCCTAGCACGCCGTCCCTAAGCGCGGATTTCTTCTCGGAGCCGACGCCAACATCCACCACGAAAGAATCCCTCGCGGATCTATGGGCCGGGTTTTTAGAACGCAGCGTAGAAGAGGCCTCACAGGCGGGCGGGTCGAGGAAGGGGAGCATGTCGAGCACGGCCGGCACAGCGAGGCCGGATACGAGGAGTGGTAATTAATATCGGGTAGTAGAAGAAGAACAAGAAGATGAGAGAGAAAAGATCCTCAGCTCTGTAGATCCAAATCTACCTGTGTACACAAGTGCTTCATTCGTTTCCTGCTGTTGTTTTTGCTGTTGTGGTTGTTTTTTTCGAGCACGGCTACATGTGATAAAAGACAAGCAAGGCATACAATCATCATCATCTCGCGGCGTTTATCGGTGTCGGATAGGTACCGGGTGGGGATTCAGGGAGGGGGGACGGCTTGAGATAGTTGATAGGATCACTACTTAGGCTATGGATGTGTTTGCATTTTGGGAACTCATTAGACGGTGGTTCTTCGTTTACTTGATTCTTTTTGTTGTGTGGGTTGTGTCTTGTTCGGCTTGTCTCGAAAGCGCCGTTGACTCGTAAATCGAGGACCTATGAATCTGGTCTTAAACTCGAGTCGACACTTTCCAGGACTGAGTTCGAACATGCATACACACCAAGAAGGCATCACAAGAATCCTGAAATCAAAAGTAAATTCTATTCCATCTACGACCCCCTATCTACTTACATAGGCACAGCCTCTATCTACCCACCCCCCATCACCCCACCACACTCTCCTGAACAACCTGCTCCATCTTCGGCAGCACATTCAACGCATAAGCATCGGCATCGCGCATGATATCCTGGATATTAATCCGATTCTCCAACGCATCGTTAACCCCCTCAACAACCTCCCGCTCCTCCATAACCTCGCGCATGAGACGTCCCTCATGATGCCAGTACGCCTGCGTTCGCGCGCGCAGGTCCTCGTCGCGGAGCGCCGTGTTCTTCACGATACCCACGGCGTTGAGCCGGCTCTTCGCGCTCGCCAGCCGGCGGGTCACGGCCTCCACGCGCTCCGCGGCCCCGGGCGGGGCGGCGAAGGCGCGGTTCGTGGAGGAGAGGTAGAGGAGTGTGGCGAGGATACCGTCGGAGAGCGAGAGTAGGATCAGCCGCGCCGACCGCGCTGTCCAGAAGAAGAACTCGAGGTCGCTGAGACGGGTCGCGCGCGAGTTCGCTTGGTAGTTATACGAGCTGGCGAGGTAGGCGTCGAGCGCGCTTCCTAGCCCGGCTGCGATGGCGGCGGTCGTGCGCCATTTGGGGCCGTGGGAGCCGGCGATTAGGTCGGAGGTTGCGAGGGAGACGATGACGAGGTTGACGAGGTGGGGGGTTAGGATGGCGGGCAGCGCGTAGTAGAGGTAGGAGCGCGGGTCGTCGGAGGTGCAGAAGGGGCAGCTGGCTAGGACGTCGGGGCCGTGTTGGAGATACAGGAGCCGCGATTCGAGGTTTACGAATTTGGCCCTTAGCGCGGTGTCGACGGTTGTGAGGATGCCGTTTGGACGTAGCGAGGCGAGGCGGTTGAAGAGCACATCTGTGGGTATTTGGAGGCGTGATTGTGTTCGTAGAAATATATTCTCGGGAGCGAATATAGGGAGAGCGCGGACGAGGAGGACGAGGGCGGTGGTACTGAGGATGATGAGGGCGCGGAGAGCGGCTGGTGGGATGGGTTGGATGGGGATGCCCGTGGCGGCGGGGGCGGCGCGTGCTGAGCGGTAGTAGCTTATGGCTTTGGGTAGGAGCATAGGCCCGAAGAATATAAGGAGGGACTTTATCCTAGGGTGAGTTAGCTTATACGTTCAAAGGTTGAGGTTGAGAATGAGGACGGTAGAGGAGAGTGGGATACTCACGTCCCCCAGGGAATCGCCATTGTGTCGTTATATTGGTGGTTGTGTATTTAACATGCCGATCAGTATACTACATGTATTTGCTGCCGTATATGTTGTTTTTAGTATTATGGTATGTTGGAGGCCAGGTTGGCCAGTTCGAGAATCAGTATTCTAATCGAAGTCAGCTTTGTATGTAAGTTTGTCTTATTTGCGATCGCCGCTGCTGTAAGTACTTGTACATCTGCACATGACGCAAGTTGTTCACAAAGATTATATCAACAGGGGTATGTGATTGGTGGGCGCCCTGATGACCCACTTGTATCTATTTATTTTCTCTTTAAAAACTTCACACTAAGGATTTGCTTTCCTACTTTCCACACAATTCTTGACATTCAGATCCCTTCATGTTAGAGAACATTTACACATCACCTCAAAGTTGAGTTCGTGGTGAATCAAGTGGAATATGAATTACGTCCCGTTAACCGGTCTCGCTTGAGATATGCTTAGAGCCCATGATCAAAGCTGTCCTATAACCGAAACGGAATGGGGAATGGAAAGGAATCAACGTCGAGGTAAGACTATGATATGTATGTTACTGGCACTTTCGAAGCTTTGGCGACCTCCCTTCTCGATGGTCGCTAGAGTCAATATGATGCCTAGAGCGACCCCAAGTACTCTGCCAAGAGTCATCTCAATCGTGTTACAGAGTTCCTAGCTTCTGCGATGAAAAACTCTGCGTCAAATTAGATGAGAGACATGCCTCCTATCTACTTACGATAGGTAAACTCGGTAGTCCATATTTATCTATGAATTTCGTGTTCATGAATCCTTTTTATTCTTTGCCTCTTGTGATTTGGGTATCGGTCCCTTCTCCATGCCAACCCCGACTGGTGGCTTCTGAGCCATCTTTGCACCCAGCAGTAGTCCTAGAATAGCAGCGATGGTATCACTTGTCAACAAGACCACTCCAGTACAGGCCGTTTGCCATGATGCGATGCTAACGCTGCCGACCGGAGCTCGTGGGAAGGATAATATCCATTCGACGTAGTACGGGAACCAGCCTTGCGGAAGCCAGAACATCGGCTGCTTTGCATACCAGAAAGGAAGGACGAACTTCAGGCCAGTCGTAGCCAACCAACGTATAATGTTAACGTATCGATCGAAAGTCGCCTTCGAGGCATCATGAGAAGTTTCTTGTAGCGCATATCTGTTAACATTTATTCCCACTTCCATTTTTTATGCGTTTATGGGAAAACGTACTCATCTTTTCTAGCTGCTCCACGAGTTTGTCATGTTGTCGTCGGAGCTTCGCCCATTTCGCAAACTGATCCTGGCTGCTCGTAGCGGTTAGGTCACGGCGGAGAGAGACACATTCTTTTCGCAGCTTCTTCTGCTCCGCGGCTTGCGTCGAAGTTTGTGTCGGGAAGGCTAGATATAGATTCCATAACTACAACGTGGTCAGTTCACTACTAGTACGTTAATGCGCTGCGTTCCGAAAAGATCTCACTATGTTATTTATCGTTGCGGCGCCCACGGTATTTACCAAATGAGCACCTAGCTCGACGAGGAAGATTAGGAGGAGGAGGGATATGGACAACATTTTCGTTTTCGTCCCCGAATACAGCTTCACTAGAGTTGCGGAAAATACGTCACGGATTTATAAGATGAGTTTGGCCGCGAAAACTAGAAGCTCTACTAGGTAAACCTTGAAATCGTGGCCTTATCCGATATGCACCATCGAGCCTTGATGCCCTGATGAGGCTTAGGCTTATGTGTTGTCAGGCATAATATGCATTTACAAAAGCTATTCATTTACTCGGCATAACCCCGCCATAGGAGCGATACACATACATGAGTTATTAGTAAAACGAGGTTCAAAAAGTTGTCCTTTGTCCTCTATCCACTATCTTCCACAACGTCAAGGAATCCCCAGAGTTGTTGACCACTGACCAGGTATTGAATAAGATGGCCATTATCTTAATACCGTCTTATCAAAGCAAATCCATGACCAACACGTGCAATGTCCCGCTCACTAGACAAAGATCTTCTAGCTCACTTGAAGGCCGACGATCCAAATAGAGTATACAAGGATATCTCCATGATACTTGCAGACTTGCCAGACGACGAACTACTGGAGATTGAATTTCTTGGAAAAAGTCATCCTCTAGAGTCAGGAGTCAACTACCTGAGAGATGGTGCGGCCATAGCAATTCCTAAGCTAAGGCTTGCTCAGGCATTCTTCGTTGCCCGTCAAATACTGCAAAATTATCAAGATGGCAGCCCTAGGGAGGATAGCGAGGTTCTCGCCGCGGCAGCTGTAGTGCTTCTCATGGACTCTGAACACTTGACAGCTGCGAACATAAGGAAGAGACTGCTCATGTCAGCAATAAAAACGAATAGGCCAGATAAATTGTTAAGACGAGAAAAGCAATTTATCGATAGTCTTGTCACGTCAAGATTGCATCGGCATACCAAATCTCCTACTCTCTGGTCGCATCGTCGTTGGCTACTTCACTTATTCGCGACTCATAATGTCCCCATAGACTTAAAACACGATATCAAGAACGTTGTCGTAGTAGCAGGAATTCGGCATCCCCGCAACTATACTGCCTGGAATCATGCCCGGTTCTTGTTAGATCGTTGTCCAGGACTCGCTGATACTCTCATTGTTGATGTCAAGGAGTTCTGTTTGAAGAACCATGCCGATATATCTGGCTGGAGCTTCCTCATCTATGTTATAGGCAGACTTGAAGACGGAGAAACCCGTCACGAGGTCTGCTCCTCGATTCTCGCAGAAGTCCTCAGCATCGCAGATTCATTACGATGGACAAACATTTCCGTCTGGGTATTTTTGCGCAGCGTAGCGGCATCAGAGCTTATTAATGATCAGCAATTTGCGTCATTTTTGACCGTGAATAAGAAACTTGTTTCCATAACGCCAAAAGACAGCGATCAGTGGGGAATTCTGGATAGCGCACGACAGTGGTGCGAAAATCGTCGTCTTCTTACGGTCTCCAATGTGGCGGGGTGAGAGGAACTTGCCCTAGCTAGAACTTCCAACAGCGAAATATTAACGCCTGATTGGCGTTGTTGGTATACCGTATGGTTGGCCTCTTACAATTAGGTGATGAATAGCCTAAGAATAGACGATCAAGAGGCTGAAACAGAATACGCACGCTTTATATGTCATCTGCTTCCTTTTTACCCCTATTTTGGCGCCACCTTCTCCTATTAGACTTGTTGGATCGCAGTCCGGTGCTGGTTGAGGCTCAGCGGTTGGCAGTTGTACATAACTATCCGGGTACCGGCTGAGAAAGGCATTATACGGCTCGGCAATAGGCGCGCAAGTGACACTGACAGGCTCATATGCCGTGTTAAACTAACGCAGGGGTTCGGCTTTACCGTCTAGCGGACACTGTCGGACAGTGCAATATGTTCCTCCTATTATTATCCCATTGCATACCACGTACTTACCTTACATTTTGGGTATTGATCCAGCCAACTTTAGAATTCTGATACACCTTGGCGATTATCAAAATCCTTCTCCCAACCTTACGAAGATCCCACGAGTGGCGGAGAACCACTTAAGCAGCTAAGCTCACGGACATTTCGCAGGCGGTTGGAGATGACGAGCTGACGGGATGACGTTCTGTGGTGCCGGTAGTGCCAAGCTTTTCGTTCGTCGAGTTTATTCTCGCCTTTTACAGCATACAGCGTACATTCATACACATGGTGCGGGATACGGATGAATTTGGTTGCCTCGTGTCGACCTAGACTGGTTTCATCTTGATGTTAAACATCTCGGATCTAATTTCTATTTCAACGTAAGCACTACACTATCGACTGACCTACCTTATCGAAGAATTCGTGCTCTAGCCCAGCTTGAGGACCATGAATATCTAGACTATCTCTGGTAAATAGCAATTGTTGGCCAATGTGAGATGTGCATACCGGGTTGGCAAGGACTTGATCCACTGATACGATTCCTTGAGCCAAGGATCTCCAGAGAATGCATTCTTGGCTGCTCATCCATTCCCGATCAAGGCCCTCCTCTGGGGCCACTGCCTGGCCATTGAGCCCAGGTCCCTGCAAGCAATCTAAAGACAATTCAGATACTGTATGGAGAATCCCCTACAAATCGCCGAAGCTGTAGGCTCTTTTACCAGTCACTTTTTCTGGGTCGGAAAGGGCTTCAATGGCGTCGGTTGAAGTTCCAACACCTCAACCACACAAAAATGTAAGCAATAAATACTGTGTAGGTATTTAGGTAATAGGTAAGCTAAATTCGGAGTGGCAGAGCGAAGTGCACATTAAAAATATCTCAGTAGGCTACTGAATTTTGTACTATTAAGCTGTAGACAATGGCTTTGAACGTATTCCGCCGCAAACACAGGGGTCTGTCATAACCTAGCCAATCACCTATCTATTACGACGAGGACCCAATTTCCCAAGCTGATCACTATAATAAGAGAATACTCTGCAGGTACCTCAATAAAAGCCTACAGAAAATTGGATTCCAAAGTCTCATCTAAGTAGATTAAAAGCCGGGAATCCACAAATGGCGCTATCCTTACTTACCCCTACATGGCTAACAGGGGTTGTCCTTGAGAGTTCCTCCTCTAGCGTAAATACGTTTATCATTTTTCTCGTACCCAGGTAGTCACGGAGAGAAACAGCGAATGTTTACAGCTTTTGGTCGTTTCTGGTCATCAAATTGATCAGATAGCCGGACAAGTAACGTACCTACCAACCAGGGCTTACATTACATCTCGCAGTTTAGACTATCCTCATAAGGAAAAAGCCAAGCATTAGGAGATCCACGATGATGCTGGTCCTCGCTGCTGACAGGGGCTGAGGAGCAGTCGATCATCTTTGCTTTCACTTTCTCCTCCATTTTTTACCGGCCTCCACACACCTGGACTTCCAGCATCTACCTAGCATCTAGCATCTTTAACCACCAACCTAGCAACCTTACATACTTCTCCACTGCCATCCACCATCCTCCATCCCGTTCCGATCTCATATCTTTCCTAATCGTTGACCCTGTGTATATTGTCATCTTTCTCCTCAGCGCCACATCACTCCGTCTTTTTTTACTTTTTTACTCTCTTGTCATTAATTAATAGACGGGGCGGCGACCTGTGTTTGGAATTTTCTGCTGTCTTATTTCTAAAACGTGTTTCTCCCAGTGGCGCCTGTCTTGGAATTCCAGATCGACGTATCGAATACTCACTTTCCGCGAAACCCTACGTTCCTTGTATTATTCCAGATCGTCGCTGACAACCTCCTATTTTTCGACTTCTCGCCTCCGGTCGATTCGCCATATTTTATTAACTATCCGGGTTTCCAATGACGCTCTTTAATCTTTAATATAATAATATCTATACCAGAGAGTCTGGTACTCTTGGCCTGTAAATCGCCAGGAGCAAACTATCTCGACAAACCCAATTGTCCTTGTGACGCCTCGCTTACTTCTTTGGCAAGCTTCTTTGTTCAGACCAGCTTTGCAGCACTGTATCCAGATGTGTGTGCGGACTTAGTTTGCTATCAATTGACTATATAACGACCAACCTGGCGAGTGACCTGAGACGCCAGGCATTTCCAACCGGGGGAGTAGGTTGTGTTGGGATCACGCTACGGAACTTCTCAATATGCATCGAGGCTCAATATTGATTCAGCTCTTGTTATGGGTTACCGGAATTCACGCCTTTTTTCAGCTCCACCGAAATGAGCGCTCAACCGGCAATGCCGGCTTAGAAGAACGAGGCCTTGGAAGCGAAACGAAACTTGATAAACCAAACCCTCAGTTCGGATTTGTTACCTTCAAATTGGTCCCTAAGCAAGCTAGCGTATGTTGAAGTTCTGAAAACACGTAACTAGAATTTCGCTAACATGTAGTCCAAAACATAGGCTAAAGAGGTTCTCACGGAAAAGGTTTCGAGAGTCATTCACAGTCTAGCTTCTAAATATGGATCCAAAGTGCCGACACGGTCTACTTCCTACGAAGATGCGGCCCTTCTCAACCGAGACAACGACTACAACGTAGTGAGTGCTGCCAAACCTACAGTTAGCAATGCCGTGGGTATCGACCAAGACGGAACCGATTACTCGTACTTCATCGAAGCGAACTTTGGTTCTGAGGGAAAATCGATGTATATGCTTGTGGATACCGGAGCTAGTACGACCTGGGTCATGGGCTCGGGTTGCACATCTAGCGCCTGCACGAAGCACAACACATTCGGTCCCAACGATTCAAAGACGTACAATGATACTGGAAGCAACTACTCTGTCGAATACGGCTCGGGTGAAGTAAGCGGCCATGTCGTCTCGGACACCATATCCATTGCTGGATTGAAGGTGACGATACCGTTCGGAGTTGCCAATGTCACCTCCGACCAGTTTTCTCAATTCCCCTTTGAAGGCATTTTAGGTTTATCTATGGTTCCCAACACGTGGCTTGCCTACGTCAGGGACGCCAAGTTGATTCAATCTAACGTCTTCGGGATTGCGTTAGCTAGGAACAGTGATGGTGCCAATGATGGAGAAATAGCTTTTGGCGGACCCAATACGGCCAAGTTTAAGGGCGATATCTCATATACCACCATCCAATCCGGGAACAGTTGGGCTATTCCGATGGACGACGTGCTGTATGATGGCAAATCGGCTAACGTGAAAGGTCGACAAGCGTACATTGATACTGGTACAACATTTGTTTTCGGGCCCCCTTCCGATGTTAAGTCGCTATATGCTCTAGTACCCGGCTCTAAGACTACCGACAAAGGTACAACATACACCGTCCCATGCAACAGTAATGCGTCCGTCTCCTTCAGCTTTTCGGGACAGACATGGACGGCCTCGGCTAAAGATTTTACGTCTGCTCCGAATGGTGACGGGATCTGCTTTGGCAATGTGTATGGCATGGAGTTTGTGCCAGGGGCTTGGTTGCTCGGGGATATGTTTCTGAAGAATGTTTACAGCGTGTTTGATGTGGATCAGAAACGAATCGGTAAGTGATGCAATTACGATGAATACTAGTGTCTACTAGAGCTAATCATAGATATAGGGTTCGCCGCTAGAGCAGTTACCAGCACCAGCACCAGTACACCTACCGTAACAACAATTGTTTCGGGTGGCTCGACGACAATCAGCACGAGGACGCCAATGGCTACGTCGACCGATTCCGGAGTCGGCCTTGTTCCTCACGAGACAACGACAGGCACAGACAGTTCAACCGGAACAGCAGCAAGCAGCTCACCTAGCACGGAATCGTCGGGCGAGAGATTACATGGAACGGGTGTATATGCCTTGATCTCCATTATCTCGATGATCGCGATGGTTATTTGATTGGATATAGGGTTTCCTTGACAAATCTCGGATTTATATATTATACATACACTACGGACTGCTTCGTCAGAGCAGATAGCATTGTTTAATACAGTGCAAGCCCCACGGGGCCGCCTCTCGTTTAGACAGGGAGGCATTGCTGGGTTCTTGAATAGACAGCACGGAAGACATGCGTGGGAGATGTACGAGGAGGAAAGAAAACTCGTAATAGCGCAGAAATGTACACGAATGATACCCACCGCGGAGGAACAAATAGTTCGGCAGAAGCCTAATATCAGCATATACATACGCTGTTAGGCATTGTATGTAGTAAAAATGTAATGAACAATGTAAAATTCAATTCTAATAGCTGCCATCATCGTTATTGTTGCCCTCATCTACCGTTAGAATTCCAGTGGTATTAATATTACGAAGTGTGACGAAGTATAATAACCCCTATTCCTGGAGAGAGGTAAGGTGAACAGTACTAGAGTTAGCGCTTTCCCTAGTGTAGAAACTACGGGTAGTTTAAACCAATATCGGACCGACCCCCAGAAATAAAGAATTTCGGGAAGGTAAGACTTGAGGCCAAGAAGCAGGGGACCAGATCCAATTATGAGCCAATCATCGTTGAGTTATGCTGTAAGTATAATTCCTTGCATTAGAAAAGAGTACGTACATGTAATGTAATCACATGCTGATAAGGAAAGAAAGAATCGGATTCCATACCGTTATCGTAATTGTTTCCTTAAACAGTTGACACGGTCTACACAGTGAACACTGCCCGGAATCAGAAACTGACCTATCTCGAGGCACGGCTTAAAGCTGACTTACGTACGTCAACAGTATTCGTTAACAACATCAAGGGCCGTTGTCGAGGACGGAAGTTGACTTATCCATCCCTTGTAAGGATGCCTCCGTAATAACACAATGGCCAAGGCCACGACTTATAGCTCCTCTAGCAGAGAGCAACCGCGGAACGATACTACAACTACAGCTTCATCAACCGAAGAGCAACATGGCTTGCTCGCTAACACTGCGTCTGATGAAGACGACGACGACGACGAGGATGGAATCATAGTGCACCCTGGCGATGCCGAGGACGGTGATCCTCACGATGATTCCATCCGCACACCGCGGACCCCTAGAACCCCTAACCGAGTCCGCTTCGACCTACGACCAACCAACATCCCACCGCCCGCGAACGGCCACAATCACGAGCACTCATCCGAGCCCTCCGACTACTTCGACTTCACCGAACCCGACAGTCCCGACGAGGACCACGACTCCACGCCCCGCCACCCGCTACTAACCGACATCGAGGCGCCGTCCGTAGCGCTCGCCAACAGCCTCGACAACGACGACGTGCACGAGTGGGCAGAGCGGGAGCGCAGCAGGCCTAAATCGGGAATGCGCTCCGCGTTCATGAACATGGCGAACAGCATCATCGGAGCCGGGATTATCGGGCAACCCTACGCCTTCAAAGACGCCGGTCTTCTCGCCGGCATCGTGCTCCTCGTCGCGCTCACCGTCATCGTCGATTGGACCATCCGCCTCATCGTCATAAACAGCAAGCTCAGCGGCGCCAGCAGTTTTCAGGGCACTGTCGAGCACTGCTTCGGCAAGACCGGGCTCATCGCTATCAGCGTCGCGCAGTGGGCTTTTGCCTTTGGCGGCATGGTTGCGTTTGGGATTATTGTTGGGGACTCTATACCCCAGGTCCTGCGCACGGTTTGGCCCGGCCTGAGCGATATGAGTGTGCTTTGGATCCTGGCGGATCGGAGAGCGGTTATTGTGATTTTTATCCTGGGGATCAGTTATCCGTTGGCGTTGTATAGGGATATCGCGAAAGTGAGTTTTATTTATTTATTTCAGAATTGGCGGTGATGACCATAGGCTAAAGTGAAGATACACAGCTCGCGAAGGCAAGCACGCTTGCTTTGATAAGCATGGTGATTATATTGGTTACGGTCGTCGTCCAGAGCGTCCTTACGCCGGCCGAACGTCGCGGGTCCTTTTCGACGCCGCTGCTTACAATTAACGGGGGCATATTTCAGGCTGTCGGCGTTATTTCTTTTGGTAGGTCTACTCCGTATCCTCTTAACAACAGAACACCGCTGACGCATGCCCAGCATTCGTTTGCCAACATAATTCTCTCTTAATTTACGGCTCCTTAAAAACACCGACTATAGACCGCTTTTCGAAAGTGACACACTACTCTACGGGGATCTCGATGCTGGCATGTTTGGTCATGGCGCTTGCGGGTTTCCTTACCTTCGGCGATAAGACGCTCGGGAACGTGCTGAATAACTTCCCGGCCGACAACACGATGGTTACATTTGCCCGCCTCTGTTTCGGACTAAACATGCTTACGACCTTGCCGCTGGAGGCGTTCGTCTGTCGGGAAGTCATGCTCAACTATTGGTTCCCGAACGAGCCGTTCAATATGAACCTCCACCTCATTTTTAGCTCCGCACTGGTCGTCTCAGCCATGATACTGAGCCTGGTGACGTGCGATCTAGGGATCGTGTTTGAGCTCGTGGGGGCGACAAGCGCCTGTGCGCTCGCTTACATACTACCGCCGCTGTGCTATATCAAGCTGAGCTCGAGATCGTGGAAGACATACGTCGCGATGGGGGTTGTGGCGTTTGGGTGTGCCGTCATGGCTATCAGCATGTTCCAGGCTATCGGCAAAGTGATTAAAGGTTCGTCTAAGAAACTCCAGAGTTCGACGTGCCTACCCGTCTTACCCTTCCTTTCCCCGATGATGAGCTGTCGCGCTGACTTATATTCTGTTTCGTATGTGCAGGCGGGGGCGAACCATCCCAGTGTGTATAGACTTATAGACCTTAGGTACTGCGCGCGCGTTATTGCGTATTTGTATATTACTCCGCATTGTATTTTGTTTTATTCATGTAATGCGATGCGATGTGATGCGATGTTTCTAGGAATACAAAGGAGGCAAACTGCATGGCCGCGGATGCGTTTGTTCATGTCCCCATAATCGAAAAGGGGTAACGACGGACATCGATGTGAACACGTTGAGGCGTTTAGACGTTGGAAGCTTCTCATCGGGAGACGCCACCTTCGGTCGATGGCAGCTTGGTCGCAGCTCGGTCCAGCTGCAGGCAACGGATTCCGAGTTCGTTGTGATTTGAGGAGGCAACCAGACAGTCGGGATCCGCCTGTCTGCAGGTTATATCCACCCACGCCTTTTTATCACGGCAACAGCAGCAAGCAAGGGTTGTATCGATGATGTACGCCGTATGCGTTGAGGTTGTATCGCTTATCGCGGGATGATGTTGTTTGGCCTCGCGCGCGCGGCACTTTGCAGTCCTGACCTTTCTAGGCCGCTTACAGATTTTCCAGGGCCTACAGATGGGACGCGCACATGCACGATTGATTAGATAGTGAGACCGCGTCTGGATGGGTCGATGCAAAGCACCACTTTTAGTATCCATACCCAGTATAGTCACCTAGTACCTATGTAGGTAGTATAGCCATTCAACCCACGCCAGCTCTTTTTCTGCTTACACGGCCCTTGAGAATCCTTCTCTTTTTTTCTTCGAGTTCTAGGACCTTGCCCGGTATGTAGACGGGTTTAGAGGTAACGGAGATGGAGACGTGTTACCGGTATAACTTATTTGCATAACCATTGTACGCCACAAGCGCCATCGACGGCACACCAACATACGCCAACAAGCACTCACAGACATCATCACCACCTCCTTCTCCACATCCAGAGCTTGTTTCTAAGGGTCCTATTAGCTCGTAGTCCTAGACTCAAGCCATAGTCCTACCTCACATCCACACGTACACACGTCCACATACATATATCCCCACCATTCCCCTCAATTGTATACATGACACGATATGTAGGTTTATTTACCGAGCATGCGCGTAGGGGACCGAAGGGACCACTATAGGGCAGGATCGATCTCTTTTCTTGGACCCTTTGCTGCGTCTCGCAATTGAACTCGTCTCTCCTATCAGTACCTACCTAGACATATACCTAGGTAGGCATGTAGGTATGTGATGTCGCGCTACCCCAACTTCAGTAATCCGTCGTCCCGTTGGAGAAACGCAGATGACCCGTCGATGCCGGTCCCCATTAGGCAGGTTTCCACGCCCGACGGGGACTTATGACTTGGCCTTAGCGGCTGGGTCTGAGACAGGTTTGGTGATGGTGTATGAGATATGAGATATGAGGTATGGGTTATACGATGCGTGCGCGCGTGCGCGAGTGTGCCTAGATAGAGACTAGATATGTGTAAGACTTAAGTGAGTGTGAGTGTGAATGTGAGTGTTGTACGCATGGGACGTAGGGCGTAGGGTGGTCTATCACTATGCGCGTAAGCTGTTAGGCGGACGATAACAGGTACGGAGGTGTGGAAGAATGGTTAGGTACATTAACACTAGACAGGTAAGGGATAAGGGTGATGGAGAATTAGGGGGGGTTAGAATGGGGGGGTGAAGCCAAAAAAAGACGGGATGGTACAGAAAATACTAGGCAAAGAAACCGAGAGCCCGTTTTTTAATAAAAACAGGAATCATGATGAGGATCGAAAAGATTATTACTCGAGAAGATTACTCGATTGATACATATCTATGTAACATCCATTAGACATACGATACTTACCTAGTAGTACATCATCATACATAGACGTATCCATAGACCTATCGACGTATCAACTTATCGATATATCGTGACCCATGATTAATTCTGATCCTGATCCTGATCCCCCCCTCGATTGCACCGAACCCCGCTTGCCACTTTTATATCAAGCGTCGAACGACGTAAAGACCATTAACAATTTACAACAAGACCCAACCTTAGAACTGCTTAAATACCTTGCCTATTCCCACATCCCATCCATCATCAACATCATACCACAAAACATACACAAGATCTTTCTTGCCCTACACATCCAAACCATCGATCAACTTTTTATACGATCTACTATCTGTAAGTGATATATTCTCCTTTCGTGTTATGTGACAACTCTCATCCGCTCCTCCCATCTCTTCCCGATGTCTCTGAACGACCGACCTTCACTCTAAAACATCCCAACTTGAACCCCAACTTGTGGAACTTATCCGCCTTACATATATCACCCTTCTCATTTGTTCATCTGCTCATCTGCCTATCTCCGAGTCTATATATACCCAGTACCTACCTAGCTCCTCTCTACCTACCTACCTATACCTTCTCCCAGAAGAGGGGGAGACAACAAAGAGGGGCAGGCTAGCAGGCCTGAATTTTTATTCTATCCTGATATCCTGATATTATTCCAACTTGTTCTATTGACTTAGTGCTTATAAGCTTAACTACCTAGTATCTCACAAGGCTCAGCTGACTGACTTATAGCGGATAGAAACGGTTAACTAAGGCCACGCCAAATCCCCCCCGGTAATCCAAAATGCATAACTCAGCTTGCCCCAAGTGCGGAGCCAACTTCGAGGGTGACTCCAAGAAGTGCGGTGCCTGCGGTGCTGTAGGTTGATTCTCTATTAACTCTTTATAATATCACTTGAATACTCATATATCCAAGGATATAGACTCATTTTCCCACCCCCAAATACACCTAACTCACCTTCCTTCCCTCAGAACTACCACTCTATAATTAGTACCCGTACTAACACACTCCAGACCTGCCCCGTTTAAGCCCCCATCTCTCACCATGGCCAGACGAACGCAAGCAAAGGGAGCCAGGACTTAATACACCACCACCACCACCACCACCACCACCAACCTGTTCATCTGTCTGCCAACCACCTACTAGACCATTCGTTTCTTCCCCTTAACGGCGTACTTCATCCGGGTCGACATGGAACAACGGCGGGGACCGGGGCGTGGGGAAGGGAGAGACAAGGAGTAAAGGGGAGAGCGGGGAGCGGTTTATCGAGGATTGTGTTTTGTGTTTCCTAACTAACCATTCGATTTCCACGTTCGATTTCCATGTTCGGCGGGCGAGAGAGAGAGAGGGAGAGGGAAAGCACACATCGGCGAAATTCATAAATTGCCTTGCCCCTACGGCACCAACTACTAGATAAACCAACCTAGGTATCCTAACCAGTTAAACCCAAACCCCTTTCCCCTGAGTTGAATTGATGTGAAAAAAACTGTTCTTCCATATACAGACGAACTCCTACAAACGGTGATAATTTACGAGAATAAATCTCTTCCACACTATTCTCGCGGATATGTGATATACACTGCACACGCACACAGGGCGGCGTTAAATAGTACCTCACTAGTGCGCAAGCCTCCGGCATGGCGTCGACTCGTATCAGCCCAGCGTAACCGGTGAGATACGCAGGTAGTAGAGGTGGCGTAACTTTACCCGTGTTTCTGGAACCTGCCTAGGTACCTAATAAATATCATATCATATCATGGATTGTCTAGGCACCACCCCGGGCCGAACTCACATGACTGTCCCCAATGCGACTACGGCCAACGTCAGACTACGATGGAGCCTCGCCTTGCCTGGTCTGAGTCACTTTGGCGAAACCCTTCTCAGGGAAGGTTTCCTATGACTGGCGGTATCGTATAGCTATAGGTTACAGGGAAAGCTTCTCACAATACTGGTGATGTACGGGCACGCAGCAGCAAAAACTGATTAGACGCACAAGGTAGAGACCGGCAGGACATCAGGATATTAGTAAGGAGTATGATTGGGAAAAAAGACAGGTAGAAAGAGTAGCCCCTGCACAACAAATGTCCACTCCCTGGTTTGGCCTGACGCGGGAATTATCAAGAGCAGTAAAAAGGAGAAGATTTATGATATAGCCGTATTCTCTGGGGTTGTCTCGCCAATCTTGACACACATACCACAACGCACACCACAACATCCCACACTCTCTCAACGGCAGCAAGTTTGCCTATCCCCTCCTCCTCTCAATCCGTATCGTTTGGGAATTCAAGTACAATGATACCCGCTACCCCGTCACCAATATACTCCCTTTGCAAATATGGGAGCCACGTGAAAGCTGTCCTGAGTTGCACGCCGGCCGAAGTAGCAATCGCGAGCAGACGAATCAAACTCCAGCCGTGACTATGACGCGTAGGCGGTCCAACCCCTCCAGTCCGTCCAAAACCCTTTGTCATCTGCGTATCTCGTCCGTGTAATGAACCTAGAAGGACGACGATGGATTACGACGGTATGTCGAAGGTATCATAAAAGCCGTGTATATTGTTTAAAGGACTAAGCACTTAGAGTGCTTCTTCTGTCCTTTACGGGACAGCAGGGCAGCGCGAGTGGCATGTTCGAAAACCTCTCGGACACCCTCGTTCGTCTTGGCCGAACACTCAAGGTACTTGTAGGCGCCAATCTTCTTACGGATGTCCTCACCCTATAAAAATCTTAGCAACTACGTAAACATGTAACCGGGGGGGGGGGGGGGGGGGGGGGGGGGGGGGGGGGGGGGGGGGGCGGGGGTGGGGGGGGGGGGGGGGGGGGGGGGGGGGGGGGGGGGGGGGGGGGGGGGGCGGCC